CTTCAAGCAAAGTTATGTGGCCATCAAAATCGGACATTTCGTCCGCTGTGTCTGAGCCATGCCTGCTCCTGCAGCCCCCCCAAGGGAGAGGTCGGCCCATTCCATTCTTTTGAGGGGGCGCTCCCCAAAGCCATGATAGTCTCTCTGCAGCTGCTCCTGTTGGTTCCCCCGCTCGGTCATGTATCCTAAGTTACATCTTTTAAAAAACTTGGCATGTTCACAGGACTCCCGTTAACAGTAATCACGATCAGGAATAGAACCTACTGGTCCAGGAGCAGTATACCCCAGAGTAGCAGACACCTGGGACAAACTCCAGGGAAAGGCTTTCCCCATTATGCCCTGCCTCTGGATCATCACTGGAACCCGACTCGATGGGCTTCTTGTGTGCCTGGAAGCACTGAGACAGATCAAGACTTCCTGTCGCCTGGCTCCTGAATTTTCAAAGTATCCCATGATATAAACAAACTCAAACAAATAGGAACAGAATGAGCTCTTCTAATGATGATGCAGGCACGTTACTCAGCTGAGATGTTCTATCACTTAGTGACGCAATGGAGGAACATTTGCTCGATAAATATTTTGGTTCAGGGAGAGAAGCACACCAGAAAAGCAAGGGAATTAATTTAACGGAAGTGCAGTCTGTCCCAAAGGCTACTAGCCAAAGTGATGGATAGCAGCTTCTACAGATAAACACTCCTGAAGATACGCAGAGCACGTCCAAGGAAGCTGCTGTGACAGCCTTCAGCTGGAATTCGGCAAGCAGGACTGGAAATATAAAGTCCGCCAAGGATCGGCGAAGTGTCTCTGCTTCCGGCAGCTGCGTTGCCTGGATGTGCTAAAAAGGCAGCACAGCTGAAGAGGCCAGCCTTTCCTGGCAGGGCTGCGGAAGAGGCCAGCCTTTCCCGTGTTGCAAAGCGGTCCCAATCAGCACAGTAGGCAAGGGAGGGCTGCTGAATTGCTGGGGGTTGTGCATTCCAGTCCACTCACTAGCTCGTACCTCCGGGCCCTCCAAAGTCCCTTGAAACTGGGGCCTCAGATAAAAGCCCTGAAAATGTGGGGAGGGCCTCCAGTTCTATGAGACCCCTGCTTTGCAGGCAGAAAGACCCAGGCTCAAGCTTCTCCAGGTGGAAAGAACCACTGCCTGAAATACTGGAGAACTACAGCTGCCTTTCAGTGTAGGCCATACTGGGCAGTCCCATCCAAGGACTGAATTTGGCAGGGAGTGGCATCCAGGGTTCCTAATGCACTGTGTACGTGGCCCTGGGAATCTGTGCTTTCCTCAGTAAGGAAAAATGGGTCTTTAGTTCATTGGTTTGCAGGAGGGATGGAAAAGCACAAAAGAGCTGCGAGCCAAAAGCATCTGGGGGGCCTCCCTGGAGTTCTGGTATGGGACAACAGACTCGGTGTGCTGGCTGGCTCTGCCTGGGGGGCACGTAGCAACTTGTCTCTCAGCCAGAACAAAACATCAGCAAGAGCCCTCTATGCTCCCACTTCCAAAGGGAGCCGAGCACAAGCGGCACTGCCCTGGGACATCTTGCCGATTGGAGAGGTTCCTGGGGTTGACGAAGTTCCATGGCTCAGAAGTAGGGCCCAGGCTGTACATGCAGAGGGCCCAACTCTGTTTCCCCCCCGCGTCTGGTTGAGCTGAAGAAATCCCTGCCCGAAGGCCCAGACGGCCGCCGCTCAGGGCCAGCCATGTTCCAGAGTGCCTGGGTTCCTGAAGGTCTAAGAGCCAGAAGAAAATGGAGAATGAAAAAGCATGACGGGACGGACCAGACTGAGGAAACGGAGAGGCCGGGAGCGGTGGGAGAATGGATCGTACCAGGTAAGAGAAGCCCTCCCTGTGCCGTCCAGAAAGAGCATGGGATGTGACGAGGGGCGTGTGAGTGCAAGGTAAAGAAAGACCGGCACATCCTGCCTCAACTCTGTGCAGAGGAGTTCCCTGTTTGATCCAGCTGGACTAAGCCGATAGCGTCAACTTTAAGGTACGAAATGCCCGGACTTCCCAGCTCCCGTCTGCACCAGGACAGCGCTGAACTGGTCACCCACAGTCCCGACGGATCTCCCCTGGAGAGGGTCTGTTGGCTGTGGGTGTGAGTGGCATGAATGCGAGTGTGGACGAGGCCTCTTGATATTGTTGCTGACGACCACTGCATTTATATTCTTATACTTCAGTATTCTTTATATCATAGAATAAATGTTACACGCATAGTGTTTAAAGTCAGATCTGGGGTTCAGTCTCTCTCTGAGAAGGGCTCTCCTTGGAAACCTGATAGTCTCCTCTTTACTGAATCAAGGACCGCTTTACTCTGGTCGCAACAATCCTGATGGCCCAACACAATGGCTTGATCAAGGGCAGCTTCTCATGTTCCATGAGCCACAGGGACACCTTCCACAGGCCAGATGAAACTCAAGGGCCTAAGGCTGCCCTCTCCTGTCTTAGACAGGCCCTCACGCAAGCTGACTCGGAGGTAAGCCCAGCCACAGTGGGACTTCTCGCTAGGTATACAGGCAAAAGACTGTGCTTCTGCTCTTCTTGCAATGTCTCCTCTGCTCGGAACACCAAGTTCCCTAAGGAAGCTACAGATTAGCGTGTGAGAGAGAGAGAGAGAGAGACAGACAGACAGAGCACAAATGGTCCTTTTGCACAGCAGCCAATGCTACAGACACGGCAGTGGAGGTCTCGAGGAAAGTCCCCCAGGGGGTTTACCTGGATCAGCAAAGACAGCCCGTGTGTGGCAGGCCAGGAGCATCGCGACGATGAAATTGAACGCCACAGCATGGAGCGGACACCACAGGCTGCAACAAAGAGAGGAGATGTGACTGTCGGCGTTGTGCAAGCTTTCCTCACACGACTGCCCATGTGCTTTCCCAGCAGGTGAAGCCGGTGAAACTGGAGAGCTCACTTGATCGCTGCACCATCATAATGATCCCTCATCAGGTTGCAAATGGTGCATTCTGACAGCCTGGCAGGAATCATATGACTGACGCAGCAAGATCAGGATTTCTTCGTGGAAGTAAAGGCAGAATATTAACATTCACTCTACTGCTCCTGTTTTCTTTAGAAAACCTGCTATTTAAGGTGGAGTGCCTCTGAACATGTAAAGAGTTCCATGCCCAGGAGAAACAAATTCTTTCCTCACTGCCATCTCCTCGAAAATGGCCTATTGCAAAAGGCCCCTATTCATGTGCATACATCTTTCCTCTTCCAAGTCTTTCTAAATTAACCTCAGGGCACAGGGCGCTAAGCATTTGCCAAATACATGCCTCCAATGGAGATAGAGACTTTCCAAAAGGGGCTTAAGCACACTGTCTCTGTACACCTGCAGAGGTCCAAAGTAAATGCACAATTTTAAAGAAAAGGCCTTCAAGAGGTAGCACCTTGAGTCTCCTGTCACCTTCCAATGGGAAGCAAAAGCTTTCTAAAAAGAGCAGAAGAGTGGAGTGCAGAGTATCCCCTTTCCAAAACCAAAAAAGTTTCCAAACCAGAGCTAAATACCAATCTGCATGTATAACTCTCATGCACTCCCAAGTCAAGGGCAAAGAAATGTTTTGCAAAAAATGCAGGGCTCGAGGAGGAAACTGCCTCTGAGCGGGTGCAAAGTACATTTTCTCCCAGGGTTAAAATGTCTTTCCAACCCCTTTCCAAAATCAACACCTGCACAAGGCTCCCCCGAGTGTGTACAGAGCGCCTTTTCTCCCAGGGGTAAGAAGTCGTTCCAAGCAACCCGGACGCAAGAGCACGGTGCCCCTGCGCGTGTGCAGAGGGCCTTCCCTGCCAGGCTGCAGCGCCCTACCTGCTCCGGAAGCCCGGCTGCAGCAGCACATGCTCCAGGATGACATAATCGGCGTAGCCCACGCTGAAGTAGGTGAGCAGCAGGCAGAGCACCCCGCACGGGTCCGCGCGGCAGCGCCCCTTCCCGCAGCACCGGCACCGGCACAGGCACCGACCCCCGGCCGCTACCGCCGCACCCATGGCAACCCCCGGCGGCCACTTCCGCTCCCGCCCCTCCCCGCCCGCCAGCCAATCGCAGCGCGGAGAGCGGGGCAGCGGGAAGGACGCGGAAGGCGAGGGCGCCGCCGCGCGCCGCCGCGGCCTCCTGTTACCATGGCGACGGGGCCCACCGCCCGCCTCAGGCCTTTCCTCGCGTGAAGGGCGCGGCGCCCCCTCCGCTGGCTTTCGGGGTGCTTGTGAGGGGGGCCCTGAAGGCCAGAGCCCCTCGCAGCCGCAACAGGGGTAACGACGAGAGGAGAGCTGCGCTTGGGGGTGCCTGTAAGGGGGCGCTGAAGGGCAAACTGCCTTTGAGGCACGCAGGCTGAAGAGGATCGTAACAATGTCAGCAAGAGTGCTTCTGTGTTGCTGTGCCGGGATCAGTCACTTCTGTACGACGCCCAGATTCCAAATAAAACTAACCCCGTCCCAAAACAAGTTTTTTTTTAAAGACTAGAGCTTAATTCCATCCACGACTTTTGGAATTTAGAATCCGCACGTCGTGAGCGGAGCCGGGGGTCAGACTAGATGGCCCGGGATGCCCCTTCTGATTCGTGCTGTTTCTCTGTTTCTAATTACCAATATTTTTCTGGCAGCCGAAAAACAACCACCACGGGCTGCTTAAGAACATCTTCTTTCCACTATGACAGCTTTGGGCGATGGAAACATGAATGATATTAACAACAACAAGGATAATTAAACCATGCTTTTTATACCATAAACGGGGCTTTAGAAGTAGCTACGAGAGCTCTGCCCCAAGGCGCTTACAATCTAAAATAGACTGCTCAGCCTTTCCTTGCAAACGACACTAGGGGGTTTTTTTTGGGGGGGGTCGTCCCCCAAGAGAGAGAAATCGGATTTTCGCTCAGGCTTCCCCAGCACCAAGCCCACCGGGGGGGGGCGTAAAGAAGGCGCGGCCCCGCCCGCGGCGTGACGTCACGAGCCGGGCCCTTCTTGCCCCCGCCCCCTGCCCACCGCCTCCCCGCCCCTTGCTTGCCTGTTCACCTTCCGAAGATGGCGGCGATCGCGCTGGGCATCCCCGGGTGGAGCTGAGCGCGGGCGCGCCGGGCCGGGCCGGGCCGCGCCGGGAGGCCTCCCCAGCCAGCCAGGTGCGCGGGACGGGGCCGGGGCCGGGCGAGGGCGAGGGCGCGGGCGGCCCCCGGGTGCCGGGGGTCCCCCCGCCACCCACCCGGAGAGGACACCTGCGCCCACGGGTCCCCCTTGCACGGCCTCTGTCGCAGAAGGCGCTGGCGGCCGCATGCCCCCGGCAGGCCGAGGATGGAGAGGCCGGGGCGGGACGTGGTCCTTCCCCCGGCTCGGCTCGGCTCCGCGGATGCCGCCGCCGCCGCCTCCATCGCGGGCTCGTCTTCGTGCTGCAACCTGGACTGGCGTTTGCGCGAGGGAGCAGGTGCACGGTGCTGGCTGCGTGGGGCGAGGCTCCCCCAGCCTGGTGCACTGCAGCTGGGAACTGTAGTCTAGCACACCTTGGCCGGGGTGTGGGACGGGTGGCGTGCGGATCCGTGGTGGGGGGTTCCTGGAGGGCAAGGGAGGAGGAGGAGGCAGAGGAAGCAAGGCTGCGAGTCCTGATCGCGGAAGGCAACCGAGATGAAGGGGAGTCCGTGAAAGAAAGTGCTGAAGGTCTGATTTCGGCTCCTGGATGGTTTCCCAGTCATACAAACCGGTTTTGTGAGGCAGAAGGAAAAGCACATGATTTATTTCTTCTGTGATTAATTTTTACATTTGATGATGAGGCAGGACTTGGGCTTCTACTTGTGATTTAGACTTTCTTCAGGGAATTTGGAGAGCCGCTGTGAACCTGTACTCAGTCCTGTTTCTGGCTTCCGATATTTGCTTCTCTGCTTTGGTGGATTTCTTTGAGAGCAGGAGGTCTACAACTTTACTAACTTTTAATTCTCCCTTTTTCTTGGGAAGTTGGATTTGGAGCCCAGACTCCGAATGGCACTATTGCATGGGTGCGCCAAGCGACTATTTAATTAGGAAAGAAGGCATCCAAGTTTCAACTCCAGTTCTGGAAATATGTGTAGGAAATGCATTTAGAGCACCATTTTTCAGACCAAAAATATGCATTTTTCTATACATTTAAAGGTTCTCCTTGCAGCCCTACTTTTGTCCCTCTATTCTTATAGTGTATCAGATGACTTTGTGCCTGGGACCAGTCTTGCTTTCGCTCAGCCTAATCTACCTTAAATAAATTAATGAAAGGGATTTAATTAATTAAAATACCTTGTGAGGTTCTGGAACAGATACAAAGGCTGAGCTAAAGAAATCAAGACCCAGATTTATTTTATTTCTTTGCTTGTTTCTCTAGCTGCTCTTTCTACCAAAGAATAAGATTTAGTGAAACAACACCAATTCAAAAATGTGCCAGGCAGGCAAGACACTAATAAAATCAAGAAAATGGCCAGGTAGAAGCCCTGATATCATACTTCTAATCCAGCATACAGGCCCAAAGCCAGCCCATCCATTAACCCAAGAATTCTAACCCAGAATGCTGGTTTATCCGTTGAGAAGCATACTTCGTTTTCTCTTTGGAGTCCAGTGAGGAAATCCCACTAGCTTTGGAAGGATCATGGCTGGTCAGAAGGGAGGCGCACCCAAGAAGAAACCCGATGGGCATGATTTGTGGCAAACTTGCTGAACATCAGGCTCACAATCTGGCTTTTCAGGAAAAGTTAGACCACCGTTCTCCTGAGCACCGCTTGCGTGCCGTTTCCCATTTTTTGCTTCGTTTCCCCCACCCAAATGAATAAATTTTTTCACTTATTTCTAGCATTTTTCTGCTGTTCGTCAGCCAAACAAGCTCCCTCATCTGTGAACCCTTAATCAGTTCGACAAAACTGCCCTCAGGCTTATTATTATAGTATCGTTATTCCATTCCAGGAACAGAAGAATAGGGAAGGCAAAACATGTTTTCTGCCGGGGATTGTGAGGTGGCTGCACCTGCTTCGCTTGCTTCATACAGCCTGTTCTAATTCTGGTGTTCTTATAGGGACATGGGAAGTGTGGCTGCAGTCGGACAATTTGTCCAGTATTGTTGATGCTGAAATGTCACTTCTAAGGTTTAGTGACTCGCTGAATGAGTCTGAGAGAATGCTGGGAATTACGGGATTCTCTTCCTTCCAGAAAGGTGTGGGATTATACTCCAAAGCTAAAATGCGCCGGTGCTTTGGTCCAGCCCCCTTTTGCCGATAGCTCGGCGGATCGCTGTGACGCCAGCCCTTCCCCAACCGCTTTCCCAGAAGCTGGCGTCCCAAGACACAAACTTCCTGCTTTTTGCAGCTGCTGTTGCAAGAGAGCCCTCCAGCATCCCAGCACCATGCTCCGGAGGCTCCTGGATCGTCCTTGCACCCTGGCCCTCCTCATCGGCTCCCAGTTCGCCTTCATGGCTTATTTCTCCTTCGGGGGCTTCCGGAATTTGGCATCCATCTTTGGGCACGATGCCACCCCAGCCTTCGACTATTCCCGGACCCACGACGTCTACACCAACTTCAGCCTCTTGCTGTCCCAACAGCCCCGTCAGACCAACCCCCTGGATTCGCTCCGCTACTGCCCAGAGCGGTCGCCTTTCCTTCGTGAGTCCAAGCTGTGTGCGAAGGGTGACGGGAAGGGGTTCTCCGGGGGTCAAACAGCAAGAGGGGGTTGATGGGGCGGTGAGTGCAGGTCTGGAATACGGAAGGGCTTGGGACCTTTCCTGATCGTACCAGACGGCGTAGAATCACAGCAGTAGATAGTCTGTAAAGCTTGTTTCATTTAGCTATTCATCTGGCTTGGTTATTCATTTGTTTCCGACTTTTCTGCCAAGAAGATGGTGCTCGCTGCCTCTGGACTTGGTCTGGGGCTCAGAAGCCCCAGCTTCCAGCCTCCCCTTGGCCCCATAACTCACGGGGCGACTCGGGGCCAGATCTCCAGGACTGCTGTGACGATAAAAAGGAGAATTGGGAGAAGGCTGGTCTATGTCCCCACTTTGGCTTCTTGGAGGAAAAGTTGGATTTTAATGTTATAATGCTTTAGTGAATGACGTTGCATCTGCTTTTTTAAAAATCGTACTCAATTAAAGCACATACTTTAAAAACTTAAGGCCACCGAAGAACTTTCCCAAGGTGATATGTCAAAGGACAGCTTCTCAGATTCAGTTTACAGCTTGCCTCGTGCTCCAGACAGGAAAGGCCTGGCTGTTTTCTTCCTGGCTGGCATGCTTGACCTTGGGTGAATGGGTTAATAATTACTTAATATAACTCAACGTACAACCTAAGAACAAAGGTGCCCCTTGAGAGCGAGGCTTCTTTTCTTTTCCCAGAAGTAGTGCTTAGTCCCCGGCCTGTTTCTTGAGTGCTCTTCCGTCCCCTTATCAGCACAGCCTTATTTGTATGCTCTCAAAATGCTTCTGAGATCCCGCGGATCTTGCTGCCCATTAACTACATGTCCCAACCTTGCCCAGCAGTCAGATCTGTTAGGAGGCGGCTCTTCTGGTCTCCCTGGGGAATGATGGGAGTTGTGGCTCAATGCATCGAGCAGGTGGGAGAGGCTGGTGACACACCTGCAACAAGGCCGGGCATTTTGTGGCCCCACAAATGTTTTGGCCTACAACACCCATCAACCCTTCCTGGAATGGGTACCACCACAGTCCAGAAACCTGGGCATGCTCAGTGAGAACGGCTCCCACTGGTCCCAGAGCCATGATGGGGTCTCCTGAAATCAGCCCTCGTAATAGCAATTAGCCAGGTCAGGTATCCCTGCTGATTCCAGGGGGGCGAGAGGAGCGGGGCCCCGTGGCAAGAGTCCGGGGTGACGGCGACACAGCCTTTCTGATCCTTCTCATTCTCTTCTCGCCCCGCCGGCTGACCTCAGTGGGCCCTCTGACCGTGAGCTTCAGCCAGGTGCCGGCGCTGGCCCAGATCCAGGAGAAGAACCCGGCGGTGGGCCCCGGGGGCAGGTACCAGCCCTCCTCGTGCGAGCCGCGCTCCCGGACAGCCGTCATCATTCCGCATCGCAACCGGGAGCTGCACCTCCGCCACCTGCTGTACTACCTTCACCCCTTCCTCCAGCGCCAGCAGCTGCACTATGGAATCTACGTGGTGCATCAGGTACACCGACGGCCTGCTTGTCCCGGGGCCGGGGGCCGGGGCTGTGCAGCTGGGCCACCCGGCTTTGTGCGGGGAACCAAGCAGGCGCGGGCGAGCGGCTGGAATACCAGGCCCCCAAACGGCATTGCTCGGTCCCCTGCTCTCGTCCTGAGGATCCCCTTGGGCTCCTCATAAGAGGGGAAGCAGTGGCACCAGGTGAAAATCTTCTTATTTGCCCGCCGTTTTAATAACTAGAAAGTTTAACTGGGTTTTTAATTATCCGCAGTTGCCGTCCTGAGGTGCCCCGCATATAGGATGGGATAGAAATAGCTTAAATACGTAGATAAATAATAAGGATAACGATACCTTAAGAAAGAAGTGATGGGAATTGCACTTCCCCGCCTTAGCCTTGCTGCCCTGCTCCAGGTCTCCGGAGGACGTCCCTTGAGTCCAACACTGCAATTCATTTATTGCGTCTGTGTGCTGCCCCAGCGCCAAAGGCCTTCCGAGGAGCTCACAGTGCAACATAAAATACAAATAAAAGAACTAACAATAGTAAACCAAAAGCATAAACAAGAATAAAATACAATGTAAATACAGTAAATACAGGAAGTACAAACACAATAAACCAGTAACAACCCATTACAACTATAAATGGGCAGCAAACCAAATTCTTACCCCTAAGCAAATACTGCATAAAGTCTTGACTTGGCGCCGAAAGCGAAATGAAGCGGGTGCCGGCCATACCTCCCTCGGAAGGGAATTCCGAAGGTGAGGCCTGTCAGACAAGGCCCTTTTCCTCGCTGATTTCCCCTTGCCTCATTTGTGTGGGGGGGGGTCACGAAGGAGGGCCCCCACTGATGACCAGTAGGGACATATAGAGACAGGCAGTTTTGTTTTGTTTTAGTTATTTATTTATTGATGTATATCCTGCCTTTTTCCTACAAAGGGCTCAAGGCAGCTTACATCTCCTCCTCCATCTTATCCCCACAACATAACCCTGTGAGGTAGGTTGGGCTGAGAGCCTGTGACTGGCCCAAAGTCACCCAGTTGGCTCCATGGCTGAGCGGGGACTCGAACCTGGATCGCCTGAGTCCCAGTCACATGCCCTTAAGTACGACACCACACTGGCTTTGCATGTCGGTGTGAGCACTTTGAATTGGGCCGGGGCAATAAGAGGCAGCCAGTGCGATTGGCAGAGGACTGGCGTGAGATGGTCCCTGGGACCGGTCCTTGTGAGTAACCGCGCTGCTCCGTTTTGAATTAACTGGAGAGCCCGGACCGTCTCCAAAGGCAGCCCCACGCAGAGCGCATTGCAGTAGTCCAGGCGAGAGGCTATCTGGCTCAGCTCTGCTCGTCCAAGTAGAAAGCGTAGCTGAAAAATCCGCCTAGGTTGAGGGAAGGTGCTCCTGGCCACCGAGGCCACCTGAGGAACAGGTGAGAGCAGAGGGTCCAGGGGCTCCCCTGAGAATTATTAGCAATTCATATTGATTATTGGCTTAGCTGTTTCTGACCTTAAATTGGCTTTACAGTTTTTGGCTTCGCTTGCCTATGTTTTAAGTGGGATTTGGGAACGGCCGTAAGTGTGGGAAGCTGGGAGAGGCCCCTTGCAAATGAGGAGGGCCACTGGGGGAACCTGGTGCAGCCCCTTCCCAGGGCCTCCCCCCACACTCCAGCTCCAACCATGCAATTCCGCAGGCCGGGAATGGCACGTTCAACCGAGCCAAGCTGCTGAACGTGGGCGTGAAGGAGGCCATGAAGGACGAGGAGTGGGGCTGCCTGTTCCTCCACGACGTGGACCTCATCCCCGAGAACGATCACAACCTGTACGTCTGTGACCCCTGGAGCCCCAAGCACGTCTCCGTCGCCATGAACAAGTTTGGCTACAAGTGAGAGCGAGCGCGGGGGCGGGGGCGGGGGGGGGGGCAGCGTTCCCCGCGTCACGGGAATTCCCTCCAGTTCGAAGGCTCAGCCGCCCCCACTTGCATTTGGCCAGGGAGCTGCCCTTGTGCCGTCCCATCATGCCCCGGGGCACCAGTCTGGGCCAATCAGAATGGAGGGTCATAGTGACCCTGTGGAGCGAAGGGGGCCGTAGTGATGGCTCCTGGCTCGGGTACCGGCAGGGCAGCAGCTGCCTCGGGACGCCCAGTGTAGGCGGTTGGCCGGGCCTTTTCCGGAGGGACACTAACATTTGACTCCTCTGCGATGGCGTGTGTGGCGGGGAGCTCATGCCCCCCAGGTGGACAAGGGCGGAGGAGCTTGGCTCACCTTGCCCTCTTGGGGAGGAGGAGGAGAGAGGAAGTCGCAGGAGCTGGTCCTCCGCAGGGTCAGCGAGCCCTGCCCCTCTGCTGAAACAGGACCACTTCCTCCAGTTGCCCTGTGCTGGTCAAAGCAGAAGACGCTCCCGTGCCACATGGGTGCTTTTCTGCGGGTGGAGAGCACCCATCCCTCCCAGCCACTGGCCAGACGCGCTGGACCCAACGGGAGTCCCAGTTCAGCCCATCTGGCGATGATGGGACTTGAACCAGGGAACAGTCCCTGCTAGCTTCCCAGCGGAGTGAGCTGCCTCCCGGGTTTGTCTGGCTCGCGACAGCCTAGCCCAGGGAGAGGCAGCCGGAGGTACGTGGGCTGCAGCTTTCTATCGCAGCGCCAGTGGTCCTGGATTACCAGTGTCACCATCTGGAGGGCACCAACCAGGCCTTGTCAGGTTGTGGGTCTCCAGCGCTCAGGGCGGAGAGTGTCTTCCTCGCCTTTCTCCCCGCCACGCTTTTCCAACGGGGCGGCCGTGCGATCAGATTCAGCATACGGAGTCGCGCAGCAGGTCACGACGCGAACCGCCTCTCTGTTTTCAGCCTCCCGTATTCACAGTACTTCGGGGGGGTGTCGGCGCTGACGCCGGACCAGTACCTGAAGATCAACGGCTTCCCCAACGAATACTGGGGCTGGGGCGGCGAGGACGACGACATCGCCACCAGGTCAGCCCTCCTGCCTTGCCTCGGCTTCTCCCCGCACCCATCCCTCTCTGCCTTCTCTCGTGTCTGGCTGAATTTCTGCACTGCGGCCGTTTCCGTTCCAATGGCTGCCGTAGCGGCTGACCCAGCTGAGAAAGAAGGCACCGGAAGTCCATACCCCTGCCGGGGCTCTTCCACCAGCCCTCCACACTTGGTGCCCTGAGATGTTTTGGATGTCAGGTCCCATCGGCACCAGCCAGGTGGGCACGCTGGGAGCCGTAGTCCAAAACATCTGCAAGGCAGCACATCGCCAAAAGCTGGCCCAGGTTTGCAGCGCTTTTCTGCAAGCAAAGCTCATTTGTTGTGCTCAAAAAGGAAGCAACTGCCCAGGTTGTTTAAGAGGCTGAATTCTGTGTGAAATGCCAAGGCCAAAATCGGGCTGCGGAAGAGGACCTCCCAGCGGGGGATTGTGGGTCGGTGGCACAATAGTTTCCCCATCCCCTTTTGTTGCTTAACACCCACGTAAGGCTCAAAGTTCCCCAGAACCTTGACTTCCCGCCACCCCCCTGCAGCCGCCCTAGGTGCGACGATTCTTCTGTTTCCCCACTTCCCGTGTAACATGGATTCCATTCCCCGCTTCCTGCCCTGCAGCTGGAGGGGTGCTGGCTTTCTCATTGCTTTCATCATCATCATTTCTCTCTCTCTCTCTCTGTTCCGTCTTACGCTCTCTTTGGATCCTTGCATGATCATTTCCCCCTTGCACAGGGTGCCCTTTTAGCCGCCGTATCCAGGTAAGGCGGGGAAAAATAGCAAGCTAAACAGTGCCGTGCCTTGATCAGCGGCCCCATTTCTCGTCGCGTATTTAAACTTGTCATTGGCTTGAAAATGGCGTCTGTGATGCCATGGATTGCTCCTAAACATCTCCCGTTGCTGAAAGAGTTGGGAGGAGGGTTTGCTGTGGACTGTTCATCCCCAGTGCAGTGGCAGCCAGGGAAGCCAGGAAGGAAAATCCAAACGACTTAGGAAATTGTGTGAAATTTTAAATGGGAGAGCCACCTATGCATGCCCAGAAGTCCTGTGCCTTTGTCAGGAATGGCAGAAAGGCTGAAATGTTCTTGATCGGTTCCAAAGATTTGGAATATTTGAGCTGTTAAAAACTGACCCAGCGAGAGACGAAAGAAAGCAAGCTTGCTTTGAGCAAACCGGGGTTTAAAATCAGAACACCGTAAAATCAGCCGATGTGGCTTTTCTAACGCAGTCGCTTGACAGCTGTGCAGCCTCGCGTGGAAAAACCCTGCACAAGGATCAGCAGGTCACTATTCCAGCAGCGCTATATAGCACCGCTCTTGCGTCGCCTTCCAGAGGTTGGGCTTCAGCCCAAATGGCCAAAAGCAACTCGCCTAGAAGGAAAGCTTAGAACGCCTGGGACTGTTCAGGTTGAACGAGAGGCCAGCTGGGGGGCGGGGGGGTGCCCACACGGTCTGGACAAAGTGAGGAAGGAAATGTCGCTTCCCGCAGCATGTAGTTAGACCATGGAGTTGACTTCCGTGAGATGCATGGGAGCGACCAAATGAGAAACACAGAAACAGAGCGAGCCAGAAGAGTCTCCTGGGCCATCTAGTCTGACCCCTGGCTCTAGCTGGCTCCGCTCACAATTCGGATGTCTTTAGATTTGTGGAGGAGAAGTTGCCCGTGGCCACTGGTCCCAGTGGCTCTATCCTGGCTCGCCAATCAGAGGCGCTCTGCCTACATGCAGAAGTTGCTGGGGAAGATGGGTGGGAGGCGCTGCTGCGGTTGGCCTGTGCATGAACAGGATGCTGGGAGCAGATGGAGCTCGGTCCGACCCAGAGAGCGCTTCTGTTCACATCATGACCGGTTGTGGGAGCCATATCCCAATCGCCACAGCACACATAACATGGCCCGGGTGACCCCTCCAGGGAAGCAATTTGTTCTTGGACGGATTCTTTGTTCGTGCAGAAAAATCCGAAGGGAAAACAGTCGGCCGATGGGACAATCCCACGTCCCAGACCCACCTTCAGCTCCATGCTGGTTTCTCCAACCTGCTCCTCTGTTGCTCTCCAGGCTTCAGGTGCCCCCTTCAGGTGCCCCCTTCTCCCGTCACCTTGCTCTGGTTTGCTGTCGCTGGTGTCCTGGTGGTGCCACCACGCCGTCTTGCATGAGCTGGCACCTTCAAGGTGAACCGGGCGACGGTTCCCATCAGCCCCAGCCAGTGGTAGTCCAGGTCAGAGCGTACCTGCTCTCCAGCTGTGGTGTTATCGATCTGATTGATCTAATGCTGTTGATAAATTGGCATTTTCTAGGATCGTATCAGCCCATAACAAAGGCGGTCCCCAGCCCCATGGGTTGGCAATCTTGAGGTCTGGTGGCATGAACTAGCGGCAAGAGGGCAGGGAAGAGGAGGATGGGGGTAACGAGGGGTGAACAAAACGGGTGGCTCGTTCCACCAGCCTCACCCAGGGAACCGTTCGGCTCCCTGGAAGGGCGTCTCGTTAAGAAATTTGGCGAGGACAGGACATCCGTTGCCATGGCAACTGCTCTGCCTTCCTCTGCAGGGAAAAACGAGTTTCATTCTTCACCTTGCGCACAGACAGAAACGGAGAGAAACCCAAGTGGCAAGGTCGGCATTCACGCCGCCGGCTACTTCCACGGCTGCCGCGGCGTTGAAAAGGCGGCTTTTAAGTCCCGCGAGGGGGTGCCAAGGGCCTCCAGGTGGACTGTGGCTGCCCCTGCAGGAAGGGCACGGCCTGCTTCGATCTGGCGGGGGGGCACTGAGGGCCGAGGGGGGCTGTCCCAGAGCCCCCGGCTCAGCCTGAGGCCGCACCCTTGCTTCTGCACCTCGCAGGGTCCGCCTGGCCGGCATGAAGATCTTGCGCCCTCCCGTCTCCGTCGGCCACTACAAGATGGTGCGTCACAAGGGCGACAAGGGCAACGAGGAGAACCCACACAGGTACGCGTCTGCCGGTGCCGTCGGAGGGACGCCCCATCGTCCGGGGAAGGATGGGGGGCGCCGAACACCGGCCCCTGGCTTCCGAAACTCGCAGCCGTCCGTGCTGAAAGGGATCTGAGAGTCGGGGGCTCAGGCCAGGCCTCCCCAGCTCGGTGCCCTCCAGAAGTGTTGGCGGAGCAGGGAATGCTGGGAGAAATTACCCAGCATGCCAAAGAGCCCGAGGTTAGGGGAGGCCGTGGGGGTAGAAAGATGGGCTGTCGTGCCCTGCGATGGCTGCTTTGCAGCACCGGATCTCCTTTTGCAGGTTCGACCTGCTGATTCGGACTCACCGGGCCTGGACGCAGGACGGCATGAACTCCCTCGAGTACACGCTCCTCTCCAAGGAACTGCTGCCCCTTTACACGAACATCACGGTGGACATCGGCACCAACCCGCGAGCCACCAAGGGCAGGAAGGGCTCCCTGCCCAGCCTCGGAGGGAGGAATTACCCCAGCGGCAGCAACCACGACTTCCGCCAGGAGATGCTGCGCAAGACGTCCTTCGCCAAGCTCTCCCGGGCGATGGGCTGGGGCGAAGTGCCGTTCGCGACGATCCAGGCGCTGCTGGACTCCGCACAGAAGGAGCAGCCGGCCCGGAGGCCCGGCACAAGCCCTGCGGCCCGGAAGGAGAGGGACGGCTCCCTCGTCCCGGCCGGCAACGGCACCGGACACACGCTCCGGGTCGCCCCCAGCCCGGAGATGCCCAGGCGGGCAGCAGAGGATGCTGGGAGAGAGAAGCGGCCACCCCGAGCTGGGTGGGGAAGGGAAGGCACTGCCAGCACCGTGGTGGGGAGGACGGCCCCCACCCTGGCGCCCCAGGAGCAGGCGAGCAATCACACACGGTCGGAGGTGGAGGACTAACGAGGACGGCTGCGAGCTGCGGGCCCCAGCACCCGAAGCGAGCGCCAGGCCCCCGTGTCTGCACGCTGCTGCGCTGTCGCCGTGGCCCAGAATCCTTTGGGACTGCCACGTGGGCAGCCCGGGCGATCGGCCTGTGGTGGTGGGGGGGGGGGGCGGGTAGGGAAAGGGGGAATACACGTTCCCCTCGTCAGGAAAACGCTCACTCCTTGTCTCCTTGGCCACCGTCGGGCACAAGGGCATCCCTCATGAGCGCTGGGGTCGCGTGGCGCCGCCGAGCCCTCGTGGGGCCGGGCACGAGCTCCTCGGCGGGATCGCGTTGCCGTGAAGCTCGGGTGTTGCGGGGCAGGAACCCAAGCCGGGCAAAGGCCAAGCGATGTGAATGAATGCTGCCAGTGGGGGCTGCCCCCTCCCACAGCAAAGGCAGGCTCCACACGGGCAACGGGATGCGATCCCTGCGCTTCCGGAGCACTCCTGGCCTCGGGGCAGGAGTGGGGGTCCCAAAGCGGCCCGTGTGGCCTGGTGCCAGGAAGGGAGGAAGCACGGCCCGCCGCCTCCCGCCCCCTGCGAAGCTACCTGCTCGGGCCTTTCTCGACAGTGGAGCACGATGTACTTCTGGCGTCCGGCTCCCCAGCACCCCCTTCTTGCAAGCCACCTGGTCGAAGCGGAGCGTCTTCGCTGGGAGAAAAGGGGGGCAGGCATCGTCCCGAGCCTACACGATCAAAGCACGCCGCAGTGCCCGTGCCGGCGTCTCACACCGCAAATTCGCCCAGAGCGGGGGCCCGGGATGGCCTGTGCCCCCCTCCGGGGCGCTTCCGACCAGACGCCCGACACCCCTCTCTCTCCGGGGGCTGAGCAAAGGGCCTCCGCCACGGACCCAGCCACGCTGAGCGAAGCGGGCCCCCGAGGCCGCTCGCCCCGCTCTGCAGCAATAACCTCCGGCAACCGTCACCCTCCACTTCCGTCTCATCTCATCCCCACCACCAAAGGGAGGCGCGTCGTGCTCTTGCCACCGAGCCGGCCTCGCCGGACAGCTCCGAGGGGTGTGGGGGGCTGGCCGTGGCACCTTCTTTAGCTGCCGAGCGACAAGTTTTTGTAAAAGCTCTCCCGTGCGCCCTCCAGAACCATCCAGGGCCAGGAATCCAGGTGTTGGAAACACCGTGCGTACACTTTAGCCCCCTCCCATTCATGGCCCCCCTTCACCCCACGCTCCTCTTCTCCCAGGGCTGGTCCCAGCCTGCAGTCGACCCCTGCACCCCAAGCCCTTCCTTCCCCCACATCCCTCGGTCCCTTTCCATGTGCGTCTCACAATCTCTAGTTATTTCCAGTGGTGTGTAGTGAGTTATTTATTCTATTTATGGAGTTCTCTCTCGCCGTAGATGCGTTGCCTTCTCCACCCAAACAACTCCCCTTCCCGACTGTTTTTGATATACCATTTTTAAAAAAATAATAATAAAAAAGATGATCCATGGATTAAAGAATGAGCGGTCCCTTTTTGGCTTTTGCTGCTTGTCTAGCAGGGCGGAGAGAAAATCGTCCCACTTGGCTTTTATTTCAGGAAAGGTGAATAGTAAAAAAAAAAAAAAAACCCAACTAGTGTCAAAAAGTAAATAGTAAAAAAAATCGTGTCAAAAAAACTTGGGACCCCTCCCTGAGAAGCCCTGGAGGGCTGATGTTCAGGCTTTGGTATCTCAGCTCCAAGTTCATAGGATTTGGGAGCTGGGACCCCAAAGCGCCCTGCTGCTGGTTGTGCATCATTCTAGGATGCCGAAAAGCCGCTCGTGAGGTTTGCTCGCTGGCGGAAAGACCCTTCAAGTGGAAATACGCTGCCATTTGCCCTTCTATCACTGAAATGTCTCCCCAGGACTCCTCCACAAGGGAATTCAGTCCTTCGACTGCAACCGGCACTAAAAGACCCTTGCAGTAAAATGAGGGATGGAGAAAGTTCCTTGTTAGTCTTGCAAAGGTGTAGCTTGGCACCGCTCTTTCCCACCCCTCGCACGACGGAGGGAGGGGAAAGCCGCCCTTCGTGGAGTGACGCCTGGCTCAGCAGGACAAGCCACGGTTTCTCGAGTTCGGACGACACGGGAAACGGTGGCTTTGCTCTCCAGGTCAGAGATGGAAGCTTTGAAACCTCTCCCACGTGCTGTGGGGAGGGAGGGCCTGCGGGGGGCCGAGGCTTGCCCCTGCTCACCCCTCTGCCTAAGTTCAAAAGCCCCCCCGTGGGCTCCCAGTCCCTCCCCTGACAGTCCTGGGAGAAGAAAGGGACGTGGGGCAAGAGAGGGAGAAGAAAGGTGGATAGTGAGGCGGAGGGAGGGAGAGAGAGAGACGAGGGACAGAGGAAGATCCCACCCTTGCTGTGTAGCTCTTGGCAGATGATCCCTGAAAAACGTGGCCGCTGAGAAACGTTCCCCATTCCACCCCCCACACACACCGCGGCTGGTTTTATACCCAATTCAAGCCCAAGCCCTCAACCCGCACGCCCTGCTTTGCTGAGGAACAGCACCAGCTGGTCCAAAAGTCCTCCCAGCACCCCCAGCAACGGGGCTGGGCTGCCTTTATTTATCCCAGTATACCAGGGGAGCGGCCTGCAGACCTTAATGGGGAGAGCGAGCAGAAGCGGGGCTCCTCCAACCCAGATCTCCCCCGGGGGGGTTTCTGGGGAGCTGCCACTGATGGAAGGACAGAGGCCCCTCGTGCCAGGCTAGCCCCCCTTGGCAGCCCGGGGGGCAAGTGCCAAGCCTTCGGGGGCGTCCCAAGGGGAGCTGAGGCCTTCTTTCGGGACGGGGCGCCGTCGATCCGCTCCACCCATCACACTGTCACTCTAAGCACGGGCCAGAAAAGCGGGCCCTGCGGTTCCGGGCTGGTTCAAGGCAGCCGGGCTTCTCCGGAACGCGATCGGTCCTGGCCTCGTTGCTCTGGGAAGTCATCACGTGCCCCACTGGGGTGCCGGCGCTGGTGGGGTGCGCACCGAGCCCCCGGGGCCGGAGGAGAGGAGTGCTTTGGTGCACAGACCCCAAGGGGCAGAGGAGAGAGGCCCTCTCAGGAGACGCGGCCGAGGAGCTTGGTCACGGCTACCTGGCTGCTGGAGATGCAGTCGTTGACGGAGACGCCCCTGTAGGACGCCCCGACCAGGCTCAGGGGCAGCTGCTCTCGCTCCAGGAATGCCTCTGCGTTCTCTGGGGGGGGAGAGAGGAGGTCAGGGGGCCGCTAACAACGAAAGACCGCCAAGGCGACACACTGCAGCAAAGGCCGGCTCGTCTTCCCAAATACGAGCCTTCCCAACCTGGATCTGTCTCTTACAGCCGTTGATTGTGGCCAAAACACTCTGCACATGCACTGGCACTTTGCATCCCCTCCTGGCGGACTGAAGGGGGGCAGGCAGGACCCGAAGGGACTTACCCACGTGTTTCCAGTGGCCGAGGGTATACTGCGGGATGCAAGCCTGCGGACACAGAAAGGAACAACAGATCAGCCGCTCTCGAAGTCTTCCAATTTGCTCGCCGTGTGTGTGAAAACCCAGAATTAAAAGCCAAGCAGCAAAGGGTGGGGCTCTCTGTGGACTATCTGTAGGCACACGAGTTTCGTGACGCGCCTCTAAGCCCAGCCCTAAGTCTAAAACTAAAGCTAGGTGGGCCGTCCCTATGTTTATTTATTTAAAACATGTTTATGCCGCCCCCATCGCAACAAAGCCTCGGGGCGGCTCACAAACAAAACCGAAGTTATACAATAAAAATATTAAAACTCAGTGCATCTCGGCTTAAAATGTTTAAAATCCTACACAATGAATTAACACTTAAAATAAGTTTTAAATAAAAAGGTCTTGGCCTGGTGCCGAAAAACAAATGACGGCGGCGCCAGGCGGACCTCTCTGGGGAGCGCATTCCATAGCCTGGGCGCCACCACAGAGAAGGCCCTCCTCCGGGTGCTCACCCTCACCTTAGTGCCTTCTGGGTGTTTTGCACTACAAATCGCAGCATTCCTGGGTCATGGGCCATCCTGGCTGGGGCTGATGGGAGTGGAAGTCCAAAAAAGGGACCCAGCAGGCATGTTCCATGTTTTTTAAGCCATCAAATATTTTAAAATTACAGTTCTATTATATTTGGGATCAGTATGGTCTGGGTCTTGGGGTTTCATGCCACCCTCTTCAGGCTTCTTTTATCTTCAGATTTGGGGTCCTTCCACAAGGCTTGGGGCTACCCTGATATCTCCCCAGCTGTGCATGGCAGGTGCAATTCTGGCTGTCTAATCAGCACAGGGAGAATTGGGTTTGCAATTAGTTTATAGGATACAAGTTGGAAAGGGAGGATTGAAACTGCACACATACAGCCAACCCAACCTGCAAAAATCCAAATAAAAGAGGTATTTTTTAAGGTAGACAGTAGAAGCGTATTGGCGCAGCCACCAAGAAATTCCTATTATTTCGTGCCATGGTCTTCCTGTCTGTATAATGAGCACAGCGGCAGCCCACTTTGGCACAGATGCTGAGAAGGCAGCATAAAAGCACCTGGGAATCCAAAGCTATCCAGAGCTCTGGCCGCTTTTGTTTCGTTTATTTTTATACCACTCAACAGCCGAGGCTCTCTGGGTGGTCAGCACAGGTTACAATTCAACAAAAGTTTACAAGACATGAGCCCAAAATTGAAAGAACAAAACCATAATAGCAACAGCAATTGCAACTGAATCGGAGTAGAAGCATAGCAGCGGTACAGAATAAAATAGGATATTAAAACCAAGTTTAAAGTTCCACTATTAAAATACTGGGAAAATAAAAAGCACTTCGCCTTGCATGGAAAAGCATCTTTCAATGCTTTTCTGTGCAAGGCTGGGAACCCTTTCTGAGGAGCCTGGGAACCCTTTCTGAGGAGCTCTTTCCAAAACATGCTCCTTGCAAAGAAGTGAACTTCTCCTCTACACTTTGGGACCCCCCCAAGAACCTTCAGGCTGCTCTTGCCAGGGCAGAACGGGCTGTTGCGGCTGCTCCCCACCTCCCCCCCCCTTTCTTGGATGGAAATCTGTCTGACTAGGAAGGCCTAAACCACAGGAGTCCATTTCTCTCTTTCCATCCCACGGCTCACAAATACATACCTTCTGCACCTTGACGATGGTGTGAGAGGGCTGGGCCACGATCCCCAGGTGCTCCCGGACAGCGGTCTGGGCTCGGCTCAGCAAGGCTGCATGGGAGACTTCGTCTGGATCCCCGAAACCTGGCGTGAACCATGCACCCCCTAGCATCACCTGCAACATAGGAAGGAGGCGGTATTCCCAAGAGAAAAGGGTAGCGAGAGACAGGATGCCACACGCTCGGAGCAGGGGACGGACGCTCCCCAGTCCAGCCCCTTTTCCTTCACTGGGTCATTTTTCAGTGTACATTTTGCCTGTTTTTAATCCGTTAATGTGTCTCTTGGTAAGATCTTACGGCATTATATTCTCATATAACCCCAGTCCTCTACCAGCTCCATTGGCTTCCCATCAAAGTCCGGGTCCAATTCAAGGTGCTGCTTATTACCTATAAAGCCCTAAACGGCTTGGGACCAGGATACCTAAAGGAAGGCCTTTTTCCCTACATGCCCTCCCATCCCCTGAGATCGGCAACAGAGGCCCTCCTCCGGGAATCTTCTGTGAAAGACATTAGGAGACAGAGTACCCGGAGGAGGGCCTTCTTTGTGGTGGCGCCCCGTCTGTGGAATGCGCTCCCCAGAGAGGTCTGCCTGGCGCCGTCATTATATGTTTTTCAGTGCCAGGTCAAGACCTTTTTATTTAATCAATATTTTAATATGTATCAATAGTAACTGGATTTTATTGTTTGTATTTTATTAACTACAGCCAGCGTGGAATAGTCAATTCATTTATTTTATTTTGATTTATGTTGCAAGCCATCCAGAGACGCTAGTAATGGACAGCATACAAATTTTATAAATAAATGAATAAATGAATAAATGAATGAATGAATTGTATTGTATCATAGGCTTGAGTTGTTTTATATACTGTTGTAAACCTCCAGCTTTGAGGCAGTACAGAAGTGAAATTAATAGTAATGATCATATTCTCAACTGACCATTCACACCCTCTTTGTGGCTGAGCCCACACCACGGTCTGAAAATTCAAAGTGCATTCATGGAGTCAGCATTAAACCCTCTTCGGGACACAGAATTACAGTGCAGGACAAAGAAATCGACTGTCCCAGCATCCGCTGCATTCTTACCGTCAGGCGAGTGGCCATCCTGTTGCGTCCGTTCTGTTCAGGAAAGGCGACCGAGTCGTAAACGATACCAAGGAGCGAACGGTCTTCAAAAGAAGGCACCAAGTGCCCAAATCCCTGGAGCCAAGGAAAATCAGAGTTTGGAGGTATTTTACTTCTCTTTTGCTGTATTCTAAAGATTCTGAGAACTATAGAAAACCCAATGAGAACAAAACTTTTAATTTTAAAAAATTTAAAAATTCTTTAAATTCTATGGCAACATTTACTGGCAAGGTTTAGTGCCCAGATCCCCAAACAAGCCCATCTTAACGGGCTCCAGATTCCTCCGTAGAGCTAAATATATTGTCCAAACACGAGTATCTTGGCTTTCGGACTGGGGAAAGCATGTATATTTAATGGCACACCTGTTTCTTAATTGAAATATGTTTCTTGTTGAAAGTGTGCATTTTTCCGCAACTGAAAAATGTGCATTTGCAGCGAGGGTGAAAATGCAGCCCGGGTGGTGGCTGTGGGGAGTGAAATACTTGCAAGAGCATTTATCAAGGAAAACAAAAGATGTTTGCATGAAACGATCGCCTTGACTCCAGAGAGACACTCTCTTCATTGCACTCTCTCTCTCCTGGCAGCTCTGTTTGGAGAGCATCTTCTTACCGTGACGGGAAGCGTCACATTTTCGTATTGCAGGTTCACCACCCCGACAGAAACCGCCGTGATGGCCTGCAGCTCCCGGGCCAGCGGTTCGGCCCAGCTGGGAAGCGCCGCGGCGAGAACTGCGAGCAGAGCAGAGAAGATGCCGGTGAGGCTGGGAGTTTTGGGTCCTGCGAGATAGTGCTTTTTCTTGGTGCTTCTCTCAGTTTCATACGTAACGACCCCAGCGGGGAACCGTGCGACGGCCTTCTGTGCAGAGCCTCCATCACCACAGCTGTTGGAACTTGAAGTCGTTTCCAAGTTATGGGGACCCTAGGAACGAACCTCCCCCCAAAACTTCCTCTCCCTGACAGCTTGCCCAGCTCCTATCACCCACGCCCTTTTCCAAGCACTCCACTCCGTTCCTTTCCCCGTTTGCCCAGTTTCCTTCCCCCAATCCACAGCTCCTGCCAGGCCTGGGTTCAGTCCTCATTTGGCTATTTGGCGCTGTATTCCTTGAGGCTTCTTTCAGCTAAAGATTTTGGGTCGTTCCCCAAAACCTGGGCTCTGCCCGAGCTGACTGAAATCTTCCCTGTTGCATGCAGAAGGTGCAGGTTTAGCTTCTTAAAGCCACCCTAGTTTGCAGGACTGGATTACGTGAATTTTTCGGGGCCCAGCAGAAGAAATAATTTGTTTTTCTTTTTGCTGTCGTCTGTCCTCAAGGTATTCCTAACCCATTTCATGTGCTAAATCCCCCAACCCCAAGTTTTGGAATGAGACCACAAAATTAAGAGATATAACCCTGAGCAGGTAAGATGGAACATGGAAAGATGCTTGTCTCAGAAGCGGACAAGGGGGTCGCATTTCCTAGTGGTGTGAGCACTCCCTTGGCCCAACTGGTTACGCCCTTCTTGATACCCCAAAGGGGAGAGGTTGTCTGCCTCCTACCTTTGGCTGGCAGAGCGCTGATGATATGATCTGCCTTCACACTGCCATCTGCTAGCACTATCTAAAGAGAGAAAAGTACAATCAGGGTTAGCTTTGCTTCTCTCGGGCTCGAGCACGGGGGGGGCACGACCTCAGGGCTGGGGGGGTCAGATGCGGCCCTTCTGAGGTCCCGATCCAGGAGCAGCACTTTTGGGGCTGTTTGTCTTCCCTTCATCCCAAAGGCTTCCTGACTAAAGGCCTTTCGTAGGTTCTTTGGCAGTAAAAATAAGGGAGTTGCAGAACCCATAATACAAAAAAGCAATGCCAGAATACGGGCTGTGAGGGAAACGCGGCTTAATGCCAAGCAGGCGATTCCAAACAGAAGACCCTCCTCTGCCCAGATTGGAAAGAGCAAACCAGGCCAGCCAGTCCTACAACTTAGCAGCCACCCACTGAAGGGCATGACATTTGTCAACCACTTTGCCTGACGCCGTATCCTTGAATTCAGGATGCCAAGGCCTGCTCCTCCCCACACGAGCTAAATAACGGAAGTGCCTACAGAATTCGGAAGTGACTCCCAGCAACTACCTGGCTTATCTCCAGACCATCAGCCTTGGTATGTCATCTGCTGATTCTAGTCTCTCCTCTTCCCCCAGGTCAGAAGCTGTATCTACAACCTCCTTACGAATCCCTTGCCTCGGATCACCAACAGTTTTTTGGTGCATTCCCTCTGCTCCGGTCTAAAAGGCGGAAATGCCACCTCCTCACTAGGGTGTACGCATTAGTACTGAACTTCTGGCTGTGCTATACTATGTCGGAGCTCTTACATGGGTGAATGCTCTTCTCTACAAAAGATTCCCCGCACTTAGAAAGGCAGCACATCCCCAGCCCAACCACCCTGACTAGCTAGATGTCTATTTGCAAGGTTGGCATTGTTGTGAGTGCTTTGAGGAGACACGATGCAGAACTTGCCCAGGTGGATACAAAACCTATCATCCTCGGCCATGCATGGCTGGAACTGGAAATGGCACAGCTCAGAGGCTGCCCATTGCTTGGGATAAAGGACATTGCGAAGGCTCTGTCAGACGGAACATTTACCTCCCACAAACTCAAAGCTCCACCTTGCACACAGAATCCGCCTTCCTTTCTGCTTTTCCATAGCACAGCGACAAACGACTTGCGCCCCCGAGATAGTCTGGCCTACAACTCCCGTCAGCCCCTGCCAGCACAGCCCACACCGAAGGATGGTGGGAGGCGTAGGCCAAAACACCTGGCGGCCCACAGGTCGCCCCCCTCAGCCGCCCTTCTCAGAGGCCTGCCTTGCTCACCTCCCAGGAGCCGGAAGCCGTTCTCTGCAGCCGCCTCACGGGGGAGTTGAGGCGGATCTCCACTCCGCGCCGCTTCAGGAAGTCCGCCAAGGCTTCGGGGAGGGACTGCATGCCATCGCGCAGGGACCACTGGCTCCACCGCTCCTGCCGGGCCCGGCGGACCAGCGGAGAACTCACAGGGTCACTCTTCCCTACCAGAAAAGACAGGTTGGAAGCCAACAGGAGAAGCACAACATGAGCGGGGACAGACTAGATGGCCCGGGAGACCCCTTCAGCCTCGCTCAGTTTCTGTGTTTCCTCTTTTTCCTAGCCGTGGGCATTTGAGGCACAGCAGCCCTGCCAGCAAATGGCAGCAGGCAGAAATCCAACAGGTGCCACCTCCTTGCCTCTCTACCATGTGCTTTTAACATGATCTTGGATCCCATTTTTCTTATTTTTGTATGCTCCTTTGGGAGTTACTTTCCTCTTGGGAATAAAAGAGGAGAGGCTAAAAGAAGCGTGGATTTTGCCCAATTTGGATCACTCACCGAGGCAGCAAAATTCAGCTCTCCTCTGTGTACCATTTGGATGTGGTGGGAGGAAGATGGGACAGAGTGTCCTAATTATGCTTACTGGCAAGGGAGAAAACGAACTAGTCCTCAGTAAGGAGGGGTTGTCAGCTCTTTCTGGGTCGTGCCACTTCAGACTTAAGATAGGGAAAACTATGATGGAAAAGTCCTACACACACACACACACACATACATTTGTGTGTTGAAATCCAGCACAAGAAGGGACCCTGATATGCCAGATTTTTATGTGCAGGGGTTTTTTTTGAGACCATTATAGTAAGTCATGTGTAACAACATGTGCCCATTATCACAGGTCATATTTAGAGCAGATCCACTAAGACCTAAGCCGGGCCTTTCTACCTTAAGCTCCATCCATTTCAATGGGTCCGGTCTAAGCTTGGCCAAGCCTGGATCCAACTCACTATTTTAAACACCTGAGGAGGGGTTCAAATGCCAACACTGTTCTAGAAAGTTCCAAAATTTGATTAGCTTTCTGTAAAGTCACGTTCCCTCCCTTCCCCTAAGGTCTGTTGGGGGTCAGTTTTCCCTATCTCTACATTTCCACCAACAAGAAACTCCCTAAAAGAATCTCAAATGAATTTAAATTCCACTACCTAAAAGAACAAAGAACAAGTTTCTAGTCCTCAAGGTTACCTTTGGAAGGGCACAGATGATTTTAATTGTTGGGAGTGTGCTCTTGCAGAAGACCATCCAAGATCCGTCTAATATGAGCACCCTGAGGTGGAAGGGGCCAGGGACTGAGGAGGAAGGCCCTGCAAAAGATCTGGCCCCCATCCTTTCCTGCCACTTTACCCCCTCGTCTCCCTTCCGGGCCTCACCTCCACCCAAGACCATGCCCAAGATGACTGAACGGTGCGTCCGCTCAGCCTGGAACAGCGCTGGGAAGCAGGAGCGGATGCTCAGTGCCCGGCAGTCTCCGGCAAACACCCCCCGGCACAGGCTGTCGACGGCAACGTCGGCCAGCTGCGGGGAAGAAAAACAAGCCAGTCAGGACGGCAACAGGGAGATCCAGCCCAGGACGCTCGGGATAACAAAATGGGAGCTCCATTTGTGTCCAGGGATGGAAACTCGGCTTCTTGGGGACGTTTTATTCTGGGAATGGCTTGTCCTGATGGTTGGGTTGGGGTGGGGTGAGAGATCAGGGAGGGCCCTCCCTTCTCTCAGGCTGTGTGCGGAGCTGATAAGGGGCAGGCAACAGCCCGGCCGGTGGTCCCACCCTCCCTTCCCCCCCCCCAGAGAATATACACTCCCTGCTTTTGGGCTGAGCCCTTCTCCAGCCTCACCCGCCCCATTACGACCTGCCACCTTTCCCACGCTCTTGACAACCACCCTGCGTGGGGGAATGAAGCTGCCAAAACTGGGCATGGCGGGCATGTGTGAGCGGAGCCGGCTGGAATCGGGGGTCAGACTAGATGGCTCAGGAGGCCCCTGCTGACTCACTCTGTTTCTATGTTTCTGAGCTTGCCAGGACAATAACATCCAGCCAAATTGCTGCCTCTTGGACTGCTCTTAAAGGCAGGGGGCCGGGGCTGGGAAAAAAGCTCGGATCTTGGGGCAGAAGAAGTCAACACCTTTGAAAGGGCCTCTTCTTCTCATCTGCCCTCTCCCGCCTTGGGAAAATGGGGAGTATTTGTTCCACCGATATCCTTCCTTTTCTCAAAAAGCTCCCCACTGCAGTGTACATGGTCTGCCACCTCTTTCTATCCTGACAACAACCCTGCAAGGTAGGCTAGGCTGAGCGTCGATGATTGGCCCAGAGTCCCCCAGTGAGCTCCATGACTGGATAGGAACTAGAACCTGGACCTTCTAAGCCCTACTCTAACGCTCTAACCACTATACCATGCTGCCTCTCCCTGATGGAAGGAAGGGAGCCTGTGGGGTACCCCAAAAGCACCAACAAGACAGAACATTCCTTGTGAGATTAAACAGGCTAGACATGCACATGGTGGGCATGTCATGAGCGGAGCCGGCTGGAGTTGGGGATCAGACTAGATGGCCCAGGAGACCCCTTCTAACTTGCTCTAGAAACACAGAAACAGAGCAAGTTAGAAGGGGTCTCCTGGGCCAACATGACCCAACACTTTATTTTTGGACGCCTGTTGAAGACATCAGTTCATTGCGGGACTTTCCTGGACAGTTCAACCCACAGGGTGGGTAGGCCTTCCCAAAGCTGAACTGCAAGACCGTCAGTCCCCAGAGACTGATGATCAGGGATGATGGGAGTTATAATCCTCCAAGTCCTTCTGGAAGGCACCAAGTTCTAGATCCTGTGTACTGGTTATTAATATTTTTTTACGGGGATTGTAGAACACCGGATGGCTAGGAATGGGAGGCCACGGGAGTTACGAAGGAGCTTTCCCCGCAGTCTCGCAACCCCTCTGGCTTGCTTGTGCAACTCCTGCTCAGATTCCCAACCAGTCCACACCCTGCTGACACATTCCTCCCACCCTCATTGCCCACGCCTTTTTCTGTGCTCTTAAGAGTCACCTGCTGTGTACAAAGGTAAAAATGTTCCTGGCAGAGACCAAAAATGTTTCAGTACTGCATGATTTCAGCATGGCCAGGCAATGGAACGACAACATGCAGGGCCGGGAACGTGGCCAGGCTGTCCCGCAAGGCGGGAGAAGAGGATGCATCTGCCTTTTGGCAAGGGGATGCCACGATCTGCCACGTACGGAGCACGTACCTCTTGGCCAAAGCGGCGGCTCACGAAGGCGTGGATGGTCTCGTCCGCCCCAGAGCCCCGTGGGGCTGTGAGTTCTTTCAGCCCGCTCCAGAGCAGAGGACGGGTGAACGGAGACACCGTCCGGAGGATGCTGCTGGAAACCCAACAGAAAGGGAGGCACAGAAGTCCGAAGAGCCCTGCTGGATGGGCCACCATCTTGTTCCCACAGGGCCAGCCAGTTGCCCAGGGCGAATCCCCCAGCGGGACAGGAATGGGTCCCCCCAGCCACCTCCCCTGCACCGGCCTCTGTTTCCAGTATTGGCACCCAGGACAGAAGCATCTTTTCCTAGTGCTAATTAAGAATGGCGGCTGAACTCTCCATGCACCAGGATTTCTGGAAAATCAACCTACCCGATACCTGAAGGGAGTTTGTGTAGCATCCCACCAACATAGAGGTAGCGATTCTTGGAGGCCGGATGGTCACCCGGTACGGGAAGGATGCTGCCTTCCAGCCCAAGGTCAGATATCTAGAGAGGAATTGTGTACTCTCAACCTGCTTCTCCTTACCTTCAAAGCCTGCCTTTCCCCCCCTCACAAGGAATCACAGCCCTTTCCCTATTTCCCATCATTATGAATATTGTCTATTGCTTCATCCAGTGCACGTTCAGGTAACGGGGAAGATCCCTCCCTGCCCCGAGTCATAACCCGTGATTCCCACCTTCGGCACATCCGCTCTTCCCCCTTCCCAACGTACCATAAGAAGCGTGTTCCTTCCCACGGCCCCGGCAGGCCGGATCCCTCTGGGCCCATGTTCAAAAGTTGCCCCATTCTCTGTGCGTGTGGAACGGATCCAGCCGCCCAGGTGGTTGCCACCTTCTAAAAGGATTACCTGGATGGAGGAAGGAGGTCGGGGAGAGAGAGATGGACAAAGGTGGCGACCCAATGAAATCCATTTGGCCCTGTTTTTAACATGATTGCGAGCTGGTTCATCACATTACCTCCATTCCCAGTTTTCCACTAAGCTTGCTGTTTGAGCGCTGGAGCTCCGACAGGCAGGAAGAAAGTGCCCAGGGCATGAGAAGGGACACACTGGTTTTTTGCATGGGGATGCTTCTAGGTTGACAGACACCGAAGGGAGTAACAGAACACCGGGGTGGGAGGAGAACAGAACTGAATATCCCGAGAAGGAATAATCCGGACGGCAATATTTTGTTGTAGTTGCTTGTTTCATTTAGACCAGGTGTGGCTTTTTAAAAAAGGATTTCTCAGACAGTCATGTTATCCCAAAGTCACACCAGTTACAATTTGGAAACCTGCACAGGTTTCAAGGGGCTTGGGCTGGTTCAGGTGGGGACGGCCTGGGCTGTTTAACGTTGCTTTGATAAGAAACTTTGCTTTTGAGAGACGGGTGTTCAAAATCTCACAATGGTTTGGGTCATCACTGCCTGCACACGGACACACACCAAATACGGCCAGGGTAGAGGGAAAGTGCACTCGGTTTTGGTCTGCCTTTGCAAGCGGCCCACGGACAGGCCGGCTCTCACCTTGGGCACCTGTGAGCTCCGGGCCAGGTAGAAGCAGGCTGCCAGGCCGCTCACCCCTCCGCCGAGGACAGCCACCGCCCGCTGCATCGGAAACCTGGATAGCAGAAGAGGGAGAAAGTGAGCCTGCCCTTCCTCGATGTTGCACTCCAAAAGATAAGGAAAATAAAAGATGCCCCCCCATAGCACTCGGTGGAGGGAGTGCCCAGCAAGGGCTTAGCAACTGCCACGGGGGGCGGGGGGCATCCAGCCTGCAGGGCTTCCAAGGGGGCCATGCCTCCTTCCTCTCATCCCACCCCTCTCCCCACATTATTTGGGGCTTTCCTGATTTGGGGTAGGCTTTCCCCCATTCGAAAAGGCAGGAATGCTTCCCCGAAGGCTGAGTTCCCCCAGTTGTAACAGCAGCGTGACCCTGGCAACTCTATTTAACAACGCTTCCCCTGCTCATACCCCACGGGGCATTTGCCCTTTTCACGCGGCGTGGGCAACCCCAGGATGGCCTTCCCGGCCAGGCCCTGCCGGCTCCGGCTCCGGCCCCGTCCGCACGGGGAAGGCGATCCCGCCTCCGCTCAACGGAGCCCGCGCTGCCTCGTCCACAAGCCCACGAACACCCCCATGTCCCACCGCGCGGCACATGCTCCCTCCAGCTGTGCCAGGGCTGACTCCTCCGACACCAGACCTCTCCCACCTGCTTTGCCCGCATTCACACGAACACGCGTCAGCGCGAAGGGCCCCCGAGCCTCGCTCGGATATCCCGCATCGACGCCCCCTCTGCCACCACAGCTGCGTCAAGGCTCCGCCCCCTCCACTCGGGATTGGCTGAGAGAGACCGCGACGTCGAGTTCAAAGGGCTGGGCTAGTCCCCTCCAATCGAGCGCCGCGTAGGTGGGGGCGGGGCCAAAAGTACGGGGGAGGCGGAGCGAGTGGAACGTTGGGTATACACATGGCTTTGGCAACTCTAGTGGGCGGAGCTTTGCACTGGCTCCGCCCAGCGGAGCGCTTTGTGTTCAATTTTTAGTCTTTATCGGCTTCGGAATTAAAAGTTAAAAGTTTCGAAACAAATCAAAGCGAGCCCTGCTTTTAAAGAGCTACCCTTCCGGACAAAACTTCTCCGCCTTTAACGGGCTCATGGCAGGCAGCAGTTCGACAGGTTAAGGAGCTTCACCCAACTCGACCGCATTGCTGCGAGTCGCAGCTGCGTTTTGGGAAATACGACAAGCTGCTGTTGCTGGAAGAAAATAGAGCTGCGACCGTGTGGTGGCTAAGAAACGCTGCCGAGATCTGGAAGTTCCAGTTCAGATCTCAAGAGCTTCTGCAATATGGGGGTGGGGGGAATCATCCCCCCGCAATCCATACAGGGGTTGTAAGGAGGTAACACACGTGAAGCACTTCAAACCTGGAGCAGCACTGTACGAACGCTGCGCGTCGACACGTGCACCTCTCCTTTCCCGTCTCCCTAATGAAACCCGAAGGCTGCTTTCCTTCAGGAGTCTCCCAACAAGCATGGGATACACACTGCAGGGATAGTCTCTCTTGATGAGCACGCCCAGGGGTTTGAGCCATCAGAAAAGAAATCCAGAGAGAGACACAAACACACCCCATCCCTGGCGCCTCTTCATCCCAAGCGAGCAGGGACACTAATTGGACCCTGGGGAGATGAACAGGGCAACCAGCATCCACCCGTTTCTCAACACGGAGCTGCCTGGGAGAAGAGCAGACTCCATTCTGCGGTGGAAAAGCCCTAAAGGTGTTGATGCCAACCAGGACAGGGCTGTCTTAACACATGGGAGGAGGGCCTTCTCTGCGGTGGCGCCCCATTTATGGAATGCGCTCCCCAGAGAGGTCCGCCTGGCGCCGTCGTCGTTTTCCAGCGCCAGGCCAAGAGCTTTTTATTTAAACGTTATTTTAATGAACTGTTTATTTATTGGTTTTATTTATTGCTGGATGTGTCCGGTTTTTATATTTTTGTATTGTTATTTATTTCTTGGAAGCCGCCCCGAGGCTTATGCGAATGGGGCGGCATACAAGAACCCCAAATAAATAAATAAATGGGCACTTGCCCGTGGGCCCCTTACTAACCTGTGTATGTTAACCCTTGGAAAATTGGAAAACTTCCAAAATTAACAGTAGTTGTAGTTGTTGTAGAGGCCTCAGTACACTGCTTTGCCTGGGCGCATCATGCCATTAAGACGGCCCTGAACTAGGACTGGGAACAGAAATTATACTGTCTGGGACTCTAGGGGATGATGGATGTTGCTTTGACGCCCCCTGCTGGACAACAGGCTGAGGTGCAGCTGGTCGCAAAGGCTGCCTTCAAAAGCTTGGGGTGTGGGGGCAGATTAAAATCCCGGTGCTGCAGGGGCTTGTGGAAAGGGCAGAAAGCGGGGATGAGGGAAACTGGCTTCAGAACAGGTCCCCGAACTTTTTAATTATTTTAAAAAGCCACCGCAAGCGGGAAACGGCTCCATATCGCACTGGCAGCAGCTGAGGGATCCTTGATGCTAAGTTGCTGGCTGCGGGGTCTTTAGCCATGGGGGGATTGGTCCTCCGGGTTCAAGATGACACACGCCACCGTGGAGAATACAAACTCCACAGCAGGCCACCAATTTTCATTGTGGGCCGCTTAAGAAACGCGACCCATTCTGGGCACCCACATCACAACCAGACACTGGCTGTATTGTGGGTGATCTGATTGTCTGAACAGTCTGGTTTTTTTGTGGCATGGCTACTTACCTCAGCTCTTTGCTGCTGCTTTTCGAACAATGCTTCTTAAACGTGCTTTCTTGCTGCTTTTCCTGCTTTGGTTTTTAATGTGCTTATCGCTATGAACGTTTCAGCTGTAGGGAGACCCTTAAAATGAAAGATATGTATATTCACAGAAACATTTCTGTACATATGTACATGCGTGCATGCTCCCTCCCACACATAATTCATATACGGATGAATCACGGTAGTGGCCTCAAGGATACCCGTCCCCGGGGAACATGTGGCTGAAGGCCCCTGGCCTTAGCTCAAAGGGCTTGCTTGGCTACTCTGGCAACAATTAGATCAGTGCCTTCCAAAAAGCCGCTGGTTGTGCTCCTGAGGAATTGGCCTCCCATCACACCAGTCCCCCAGATCATCAATGCCAACATTGTGAGTTTTGGCCCTCCGGCTGTTTGGCTTACAACCCCCATCAGCCCCGCCAGAAGAGCCAGCGACGGGAGCTATAGGCCAACACACCTGCAGGAGCTCACCGAAATGTATACTTACAGAGCTTTGATTCTTAGACCATAAATAACTGCTCTCCCAGCCAGCTGAGAACAGGCACGGGCTTGGATGCTGCCAGTATTTGTCTCAAAGCGAGTGCCTGCTTTTTTAAAAGACGGACAAATTGTTCAAAAAGACCTCCCTGTGAGGCATCACACCAGGCCCTGCTCCTCCAGTAAGTGGCAAGACAAAACCATTTTTTAGTAAATTTATTCACAAAAAAAGTTTCAGCCTCTTCATTTTTCTCTTGTCATCTATGTACAAAGCCATCGTTATGTACAAAGTCACATGGTCATTAAAATCAGTAGTGGTGAGCAGACATTAATTCCCTTGAGGGCTAGGAGGATGGAAGGACGGGCGGACGGACGGACGGACGAGGGAGGCCCCGCTGCTTTTCCCTGCATGTACATCACTGCTCATGTACGCCCTCCCCACCACTCAGGCCTCGTCCCGCAACCCCAAACCTCCCCATGGGGTCTCTCCCTATCCTGCTTTAAGACCTGGTAAAATTTTTAAAAAAGAAAAACACAGAGCAAAAATAAAAAGAAAGAAAAAACGGGTGTGTATGTAGCAGGCGGATGACCCGGATCACTCTCAGAAACAAACCCTACACAGTGTCCTTTGTTTTATCGGACTTTTTTTTTGTTTTGTTTTGCCGTCTTTTCCTCCGTTTTATTTTAAAAGACCCAAGCACCAGTCTGAGGTAAGAGAGCAGCAGGCCAAAGCGCTGGATCCAATACTCTCACTGTTTCTTCCAGTGCACGTCGTCCGACTCGTAGAAAAGGACGTAGCCCTCGCTTGACGGGACCTGGTTCTCGCTGATGGGAGAGACCCTGTCGGAGGGGGGGAGGGAGGAAGGAAGGACGGACGCGTCAGAAGGACTTGCTCATTCACCTCCGGCACAAGGCCAGTCCTTTCCTGTATACAAAGATCTGCCACATCGAGCGAAGGTCAGGCTGGGGGGGAAGCACCTGCTTTGCACTACTCCTCCTCCAAGCCTGCAGGCCTTTTCCTTCCATGCTGGGGACGCCCGTCCCCGCTCTTCTGTAGGAAAAGCCCAGCGCGCATCCCGACACATCCACGGAGAAAGCATCGATGCGAGCATGGACAGAACCCGCACCTCCAGAGCCAAAAGGTGGCGTCACAAAAGCGATTCGAAAACGCCAGGCAGCAGCCGTCCGAACTCAAGGGCTGCTGAGCGCAGGGAAGGGCAAAATGCCCGCCTGTATGCCCGACGAGCAGAGTCGTGGCAGGGCCTTCCCGTGCAGTCAGAGCCTGCGAGAGAACAGGCCTCGGCTCTCCCGCTTACACCAAGGGCCTCAGGCCTCCCAGCAGCCACGACAGGGGAAAGGCAGCCGTGGCGTACGCTGGTCGTAAGCCACGAAGGGCCGTGCTGGTTTTGAACTGAGCCTAAAAGCCACCTAAGGATGCCGGCTCCACCAAGCAGAGACAGGCCTCTCCAACCAGCTGCCCCCAGCCAGTCAGGCTTGCCAGTGGAGGTGGAGAGTTGCAGGCCAAAATATCTGGAGGGCGGTGGGATATTGCAGGCTGGCACCTTTCAGGAGTATGGAGTCTGGGTGAGCAAGGTGACGTAGGAAGGTGCAGACAGCCAGTTCCAGGCGGGGGGTCAAGAGAGTGAGCCAGAAATAGAGCGCTTGTCCTGTTCCCCCACCTTCTCACTGGGAGCAGGACCGCATACAGAAAAAAGCAAACGGCTCCACTCCTGTGCCTCCCGCCCCCAGTTCCCTTCCCTGCCAGCTCCATCCTCCTTTGCGTTTACTTATAGATTGTATGCTGTCTGGGGCAGAGACCTGTGCTCTTGCACTCTGTGAAGCACCATACCTTTAGATACTATCGCATCACAGTGACAGTAGGGACAATAATACTGTTTGTGTGCAGAAGGAAGCAGAAGACACGGAGCGTGGAATTGCTCTGAGAAAGTTCCTTCCTAAGACACCCAAGCGTTGTTCCCCATCCCTCCGAGTAAGTTTTGCCCTCTTACGGTTGCAAAGATACGCTCACTGAGATCTTACAGAAGGGATTGTAATGGACAGAGACGATTTCTGGGGGCCCAAAGTAGGGGAATGGGCCTCTGTGAAGGAAAGGGACAGAATGGGATCAGGCAGCGTTTCAGAGAAAGCGAGACTTTGGCTTTTGTTTATGTGAGAGTCGCGGAACTTCACTGCCGTTGCCACGGAGCTGGGATTATCTAGGCAATTTAAGTCAGATGCATTTTTAGCACCACCAGCTCTGAGTATGGATAAGCCAACACCTTTGTGGTTTATTATGAGCCTGGATGAAGGGTATTTGTAGCACGTAGGGCTGTTTTCAACACTCCAACCCCTGCCAAGGAGGCCAAGAACTAGAAATAGGCACCTTAAGCCACTTAGCCAGTGCGCTGACCTTCCAGGGCTCTGGGCAAACAATATTAGCCTCCTCACACAGTAGAGACTCTACGACTGAGGAAAAGAGGTCAGAGCGGAAAAGCTTCCGCATTCCAACCCGGATGCAGCTTCGGTTCTATAATAAGAATGGCCCGTGTGTGCAGCACAACCAGCAAAGGACCGCAGAGCGACCAGATGCAGGATTCAGGTTTCCAGACCACCTTGGCCTAATTTACAACCTAAGATGAAGCTTCTAGTTCATACGATTTTGGAAAAGGTATGGGGGAAAGTGTGCGTGGCATCGCCAAAGTATCCAAGGTAGTTTCCTGCCCATGCCTGCTGAGTCACTGAATGAGGCAAGATTAAAGAATTAATTCAGATTGTCCTCAGGACCAATCTCAAAGTACCTTGTGAACTGGGACAGGCACTGGGCTGACCGCTTGTCCAAAACACACACACACACACACACACCCTCTTCTTTGTACCCATGTGACTTGAAGCTTTGCTGGAGTTGTGAGCAACCAACAAATTGTGTGGAGTGTGGAATTCAGGGTTTACACTAAGTTAATTCAGTTTCGGTCCCACTGAGATGAATACAAGTTTGTTCTGACTTTGGGGGAGGCTGAGGCTACAACGGCTTAAAGTTTGTTGATCCAGGAAATGTGTAAACTTCATTTTGGAGTTGTTGGTCCTGCACAGCGGCCCTGAAACTCCAGGCACTGGAGCAGCTCAGCACATCAGGACTTGTGCACACACCTCCAAGCTCATCTTCTCCATCTCGGGGACCTTTGAAAGAAACCTGAAAATTCCCAGGACATGGAAGTTTGTACCCAGAACCAGGGATCCACCTTTTTGTAGAACCATGGAATACACAGTCCAGCAAGCCGGGTTCAAGTTGCCTGGGCCTGTTTCTGCAACTTTGATGGGTTCCCCTGGCGTTTTAACATCACTGATATTGTCTTTGATCTCTTAGCTGGCTCCCTACAACCTTTGCTGCTGAGGCTGCTAAGCATAGCGTTACAGCCATGATTCCAATGCTATTTTAAGGCTGTTTTTGTCAGTTGCCCTGAGCTTTTTCAAAGTGGAAGTCAAAACGTCTTTTACAAGAAGGAAAGATGGAGGAGGGAAGGTCAGAGCAGGCTCTGCTTACCTGGAATCATTGTAAACCCGCCATCCGGACTGATCTTTGCAGAAGGCTGTATAATGGCCGTAATGGACACTGCCGGAATGATTACAGAGGGCGTAAAGGTTGTACACAGGTGTGCCTGTGAAAAAGTGGGAGAACGGGACATTTGAGAACTGAAATAATGTATTCCTCCCCACCCCCGCTCCCAGTTTTGAAAATGGCGAGTCGACAACATAAGGCTCGGAGCTTCCACAGTGCAAGACTGAGAGAGACCCCCGAAACAGAAGGGAAAAGCCATCAGCAAGACTTAACATAGCTGCAGTTTGCAGCCATGGTAAGAGCGGCTGGCAGACAGGTAACATGGGCGCTGCCCGGAAGCACCGGCTGCCCAATGCCGGAACGGAACTCACCGGCCTTTTCACTGGCAAACTCCTTCAGGTTAAGTTGTTGGAGGGGGAAATCCACGAACACGGAGCATTTCTTAATGGAGTAGCGGGTTGTGGAGAACCGATTCAGGTCTTGGGGAGGGTGAGTTAAGGAAAGGCTAGCTGGAGTCGCCAAATCACTCCAAGGGACAGAGGGGAAAATCACGGTCAAGGCGGAAGCCTAGCAGTTTGCCTCTTATTCTGTGGTTTGGCAAGCCTGCGTCAAAGCAAGCCAAGCAGCGATTCAGCTGAGAGGCACGCTTACTTCTCCTGAAACAGCTGCCTATTTGCCTCCATGCTTCTTAAAAATACAGAGCTGGGGGGACAGGGCAGGGTCTGTGTTGGGCTGCGTGCTCAAAAGATCGGTTCTGTTCTTCCAAGATTAGATTCCTCTTCGCCCCTGAACTCAGCAGGAATGGAAAGGAGTGGGCTGCCATCTGGCCTCGGGGGCCGGTGAATCGATCCTTGTCAATACGTGACCAGACGCTGCTGCTGTGATAGGCCGCCCAGCCAAAATGCCCCGGGGGTTGGGTTTGCAGCAAAAGAAAGGGGGGGGGGGGAACCAGTGGAAGCTATCCCAGAAAACAATGCATGTTTCCATCACTTTTTCACAAAGGGGGAAATTTTATTTATTTATTTATTTAGGAGACTTCTATGCCGTCCCATTCGCCAACGCCTCGGGGCGGCTCACATCCATAAATAAACTTCCATAAAATAAATTAACAGTATAAATTAAGCCGCCCTGGAGTGTTCCACAAAATAAAGCCCTGAGAACTCAGCCCATGTTATGATATCAGCTGAGAGCTGTTTCACATGGGACTTGTGTGGGTTATTAGCCCTCCACAGTCTCCCACGGGGCCCGTCCCGAGCGGCTCCGGCCTCGAGCAGCTCCAATATGCTCCCTTTTTTTGCTCCAAATGGGGGACTGGGAAGGATACGTAGCACGAGGATGCGGGGAAAGCGTTGGATAGTCAGCTTCTTGGTGCTTCGGGTCCTCTGCCGGCATTTGTCGCACACCTGCTCCGACAGACGCACACACACAGCGAGAGAGAGAGAGAACAAAGAGGAGGTCGGCTCGCTGTAAGAGACTGTTCTGGAGAAACTGCAGCTGAGAGTTGGCTCTCTCTCTCTCCCCTGCGCTTTGCAAGCTCTAGTTTGTGTCCCCGCGTGCCACCCGCCTCTCACGTCTGCTGTCCCCGTTTTCGGCAGCCGGACTGGCGGACGGAAATGGAGACTGGCTTCGGAGCCCCTTGGGGTTTGAGCCCAGGTTAGACTTGGTGGACTGCTCGGCTCTCCCTGGTTCGCCTCGGCCTGCACCATCTGGCCCAGACTCACCGGTGCGTTCTCAGAATCCAGCTCCTCCTCCTTGGCGAAGAGGCTGAAGCAGTCGAGCAGAGAGACCTTCCCGCCGGTGAAGCCTTTCTGTGGAAGCAGAGCAAGGACCTGCTCGAAGAAATGTGCCACCCTGTTCTGTCCCCGTCACGCTGGTCCTCCAGGGGCCTTACGAAAGGTAGCTTGCCAGTCTGGCTTGTCTCGCTCACGCCTGTGCCCCACTTCCCCCCGGCCTGCAAGACGCTCAAGGCGACGTTCCGTTCCTTCCCCGCTCCATTTGCTCTCACGACCACCCTGTGAGGTGGGTCAGGCTGAGAAAGAGGGACTCGCCCAAGGCTGCCCACTGAGCTTTTGGGCCTGGGTGAGGATTTGAACCCAGGGTTTGCCAGGCCTAGCCTATGTGGCCTTCCCCCACGTGGCACCCTCTGCCTTTGCTGGACCAAAAGTCCCAGGATGGCTCAGGAAGATGGGAGCTGCGGTCCAACACATCTGAAGGGCACAACAGGGGGAAGGCCGCTTTGAGAACAGAACAGCTGCCGGGCGAGTGCGCCCCAGAGGTTATAGACCTCAACTCCCATCAGCCCCAGCCAGCACGACCTGTCCCCAGGAATGCTCGGTGCGGCACTGCGAAAGAGCAGGAGCACCCCAGGTTGGGGAAGCCTGGGCTAGAAGGGCCGACGGTGTGGCTTCCCCGGAGCAGCTTCGTAAAAAGCCTCTCAGCTCCCCCACCAAGCTTGCCAAGACACTGTTTAAACCCACCTTTGGGATAGGCAGGGATAAGTCACAGAAGACTTCAAAAGTGGTCGACCGATAGCCACACGCTTGACACTTGAGGCAGCTCTTCAGCTGGCCGACGAAGAGGTCTGGCAGAGGGAAAGAGCCAGAGGACGTGTGAGAGGCCAGCGACGGGCCGCGAGTGGGCAAACCGGGCCAGTTCTGGCGACGGAGTTCGGCTTTTGCGTCTGGGACTTCTGCAAACGGCGGCAAGCTGGACTCAAGGAACTGGGCTTTCTTTTAATGAACAGGCCAGGATCCAGCCAAGGTTTCAGATTCAGGCTGGTTTAAGCTAATGTTCATCAGCACAGACCACGGTTCCCAAAGTCTGAATGTAACACAGAACCACGGTTTGCCCTTAAGAGAAAAGGGAAACTCCTTTTGCGTACCAAGGTAAAAGAAGCTGTGTCTGAATTAAACCGTGTCCAAACAAGGCCAAAGTACACCAAAGGTTTTCTAGTCTCTTTCACTGATTTTCACACGGCCTGCAAAGGCCTGCCTTGCACCCCATACCAAATGGGGGTCTCACAAGAACGGAAAGGGAGCTCACCCACTATTTTGCTGTCTTCTCTTTCCAGGTAGCGCTTCCACATTTGGTTGGCTTGTTCATCATCACTGGAGAAAGAAATCCAAATAAAGAACTGTAGGAGATGCTGGATTTTATTTGCCTGGGCTCCAGGATCATTGCAGATGGGGACTGCAGCCGAGAAATTAAAAGGCGCTTGCTCCTGGGGAGGAGAGCTATGGGAAATCTAGGCAGCATACTAAAAAGCAGAGACATCACCCTGCCAAGAAAAGTGCGTATAGTCAAGGCTGTGGTTTTCCCAGTTGCAATGTGTGGCTGTGAAAGCTGGACCATAAGGAAGGCTGAGCGCCAAAGGATTGAGGCCTTTGAACTGTGGTGCTGGAGGAGACGCCTGCGAGTCCCTTGGACCGCAAGGCGATCCAACCGGTCAGTCCTAGAGGAGATCAACCCTGGCTGCTCTTTAGAAGGCCAGATGCTGAAGATGAAACTCAAATACTTTGGCCATCTAATGAGAAGGAGAGACTCCCTGGAGAAGAGCCTGATGCTGGGAACAATAGATGGCAAAAGAAGAAGGGGACGGCAGAGGATGAGGGGGCTGGATGGGGTCACTGAAGCAGCTGGTGTGAGCTTGGGTGGACTCTGGGGATGCTGGAGGACGGAAGAGCCTGGAGGAAGGTTGTCCATGGGGTTGCGACGAGTCGGGCACGACTTTGCAACTAACTAAAAACAAAACTGGGAGGACAGCCAGGAGGAAGAAGAGGGGCTTGCCAGAAGAACCGCGTACATTGTCAGGAGCGCTTCAAGGAATAATAGAAGGCAAATGGGCCCGTCCTGAGCAGCTCAGAAGAGGGAGAAAAGGAAGGGAACCAACGGCGTGTTCGACGCCATGCTGAGGCAGGGCTACCTGTGCAGCCGAGTGACAAGGTTGAGAACTGCGGCATCTTGCCCCAGAAGCATCCTCACTGGTGCTGGTCTGGAGCTCAGCCCTTCTAGCCTGCCATGCAAGAGAAGGCAGCACCAAGCTCCCCTGTAGGGCTGTTGTTCAGATGAGCCACTGAATGGCCGTGAGGGGCTTTGGACACCTGGGCGTTGGGTAAATGTTTGATCTCATCAGCTGGTGCCCACAGGCGCGACCATGTCTGACAGCTCCTCAGCTTTGCGAGCGAGGAAATGTGTCCACCCAAGCTCTGGGCTGAGAAAGGGAGAGGAGAGCCCATCCGTGAGCCAAGAAGCAGGCTCCGTCGCTCGGAAGGGGCTACCGGCCCAAGGCAGGTGAGCATCTTGGGAATAAGAGCCGGGCTTGTGTCGAGTCACGAGTGGTGTGAGGGAAGGGGCCACAATGCAGTGACTCGGAGCTGCAGGAGAGCTCGGCGGAAATCAGCAGCAAAGGAAGCAGGCGGTGTTCACTTTCTGTGGGAGCTGTTCACGAATGCAAACTGACCCAAGCTGTGCGTGGATTTCAGACTCGCCAACGCCCCGCCCCTTCCCAGTAACCAAACCCCCCAAAACCAGACCCTTGTGGGGCTCCTGATGGCTCAGAGGAAGCCCCCAGAGCGGCTTCCTCCTTGGAGTCGGCCCTTCCCCTTCAGTGGCCCTCGGGCTTGCCACACCTACTCCAGGCTGGCCACTGGGCGGGCCAGAAGGCAGGACGAGATGGGCCTTTGGGAAGGTTTTTTTTTTTATTCTAATGTATATATTTTAATTTTTATTTATGGGGATCTAATTTATTGTTGTAAGCCGCCCCGAGGCTTCGGCGAATGGGGCGGCATAAAAATGTTTTAATTAATAAATAAATAAATAATAAGGTTCCGCTGGCCACGTCAGAAGTACAAAGGACTGACTTTGCAGCTCCTTCGGCCTGTGCAGGCGCTGCTCACCTCAAAGCGTCAGCGTCTTCCAGTACCGAGGGCCGCTTGGCGTCAGAGAGGATGCTGGGAGTCCTGCGCCCTTTGCGATTGATCTCCACGTGCAACCGATCCATGAGAAACTTCAAAAACTCCTGAGCGTCCTGTTGGCTGCCAGGGAAAGAGAGAAAAGGCGTCAGCTGCCTTATATTCTCAAGACATTGACGGGAGAAAAAACAGCAGAAGAAAAAAACCTATTTCCTTTCATCTGGAGGATCCCAGAAACATTCACGGCTACAGATGCAGCTTCTGACGACTTTTAAGAGCAAAAGCAAGCTGTGGATCACAAGATGGAGAGGTACAATATCCCCCACAAAACACCACTGACTTTCCCCTCATTTCTCCTCTCGGATCTTTGAACAGAAACCCCCACGTCACTGCCAAACAACTGCCTTGCAATGAATAGGCGCTATTTATACCAAACCAACAGTATATGCGACCCTTTACAGTTACAGAAGCGCCTTAGACAGGTCTCTGCTTGCAAGGAGCTTACAATCCAACACAACTGAAGCTCCACTCGATTTAGCCCCAAGGGAGCTCTTCTTGGGTACTCAGGTTTTGACTCCGCTTGAGGGGAAAAGGGGAATTTGGTCACGGGTATTTTGTGACCGCAGGGACGAGCGGGGTGCCGAGGAGCAAAGCACGGACAGAGGAGGAGCGAGGGGCCAACAGAAGCCTGGCTCACCTGTATCCCGTAAACGATGGCACGTATTTCTGAAAGACAGCTTTGAAGCGGCTGGGATTGGCGGCCTCCGTGGAATCGGGGTGCCACAACGTGGCGATGACGTCTGCGAAGGCTGGTGGGGGTCGCCAGAGATCGGGAAGGGGGGAACACAAGAGCAGCTCCGGTTAGGTTTCCGCCTGCGCCACTGCACCGGCGGCTCGCGGGCGAAAGGGCTCGGCCGCCTTTGCCCTCCTTGTTGCAAGGAGAGGCCCCAGCCGCTGCGCCCTGTGCGGGGCTGAAGGAGAAGCCCCGAAGCTGGGCGAGCGCGACAGAGAGGGCACGGCAGAGCATGGCTCCTGAGCCGAAGGCCTGCCCGGCTGCAGGGAGCCCCTGACGGGCCTGGGTGACCGCAGCAGGGCGGAGAGTGGCAGGATCCGGACCACCCTGCTGGTTTCATGTATTAGTTCATTCTTTCCATCCTGCAAGGCCCGCACAGCCCTCTTTCCCACCTCTCCTGGCAACAGCAACCCTGTGGGGTAGGCCAGAGAGAGTCAGGGAATGACCCAAGGTAAGCCAGGGAGCTTCGCAGGGGGCCTGGAACCCAGCCCTCCCGAGTCCCCAGTCTGGTGCTCTAACCACTACACCACATACCAGGGCTCTCCACAATTCAGCAGGCTGCATAATATTCTGCAACATTTAAAGGGGCACTGTGAGAGTGCTGGGAACGCCCCCCCCCCCCCGCAATAGGTATCCCAGAGAATGGCTGCAGTGGGAATTCTCTCCCAGGAAACCTGCTCCCGCCTTTCAGGCTACGGGGTGACGGACATGCAGCTGGCACATCCTGTTATGATGAAGCCAGCTCAGCCGCTTGTAAGGCCCAGGGTACATGTTTCTGTTGGCATTATGTATGTTGGCGTTTATTATTCTTATGTATCGCTTTGTCTATCGTTTCAATTCTTGTAAGCCATCCTGGGACAATTTTCGTATAGGAAACGGGCAGAAATATTTTCAATGAATGCACGAATGAATGAACGGTGTGTGTGGAAAGTCTTGTGCACCCTGGCAGTGTTGGCCCAAGGGTGGCCCAAGGGGCCCTTGCACAAGCCCACTCACGACGGGCCCGGACGGTTTGCTCCACTGAACTCAAGCGCTTCCGAAGGGCACGGAAGGAGTCTGTGAGCTTCAGGCTGGCAACGCACACCTGTCACAGGTAGGAGAGGGCGAGGCCAAGCGCAGGAACTAGGTGCCTCAATCAGCAGCCAAGGCCAAGGGGCTTATGTAAGTGTGGCCACCCAGGCTGGGATTAAGGCCTGCTGGAGACCAATTTAGATCGCTGCAATGGCCCAGGTGACAATCTGGTTATGTAACCCCTCAGGCAGAGAAACTAAGGCATGGCCAGGAAAGATTCCCTCCCCCAATCCACACACACACACACACACACACACACACACACACACCCCGCCAGCACCCCGCTCACCTTCAGTCAGCTCCTGCTGTGTCCGGAGCGTGCCGGGCTGCTCCTGCCGGAATTCCCGACGGAGGCAGTAATCCCGCAGGGGCTTGGTGCTGCTCAGACACTGCAGCACAGCGTTCATGAAACACTGGCGGAGAACAAAGGCAAGCAGAGCAGGGCGTCACGGTGGCCCGCGGGAGCCCGTTCCCCCCCGCAAGCCCGCCAGGGAGCGCCTCCAGGGACCGCCGGCCAGCGTGGCTCGGGGGGTGCATGCAGGAGATCCATGCGATGCCGATGTGAGCGCCTGGCCAGCTCCCCAGCAAAATTCCTCTCCTGGCAGGGAATGAGCTGCGCTGGAAGGAGGAAGGGAGCTGGGGGCAGCTGCCGAGAGACCACGACCGAGCAACGGCAGGGCTGATCCTCGTGCTAGGCCGGCGGGTCCCCCAGGGGCTGGGCACCCACAAGAAATCCGGTTGCACCGGGGCTGCATGTGGTGGGTGGGGCACACGGGCAAGGAGAGGACCTGGTGGGGCACATTGCTGGGATCTTGCCGCCTTCCCAACACCCTGGGGCAGGGCTGAGCAGCTTCCCCAGGAGCCAAAACCACCCCTAAATCCGCCACCCCGGCAGGGGGGAAATGTGGTGCTTTTGCCAATAGGCAGGGCATGGATGTCTCCCCTGCAGATGCCCACGAGCGGGACCCCCTCCCAGGCATGTCCTCCAGGAACTGATACAGAGAGGCCTTGGATCCAGAAGGAACTCTTTCTCCACCGTGACAAGTATCTATCGATAGCCTTATTCTCCAGCAGGGCCAGCTAATCTCAGAACAGTTGGCACCCCAGAGTTTGGAACCCGGCCTGCAGCCACACTGCGAGGCGCGGGGGGCAGCGGGGCCAGGGAAAGGAGCTAAGCTCCGGCTCCTGGGCAGCCTGGGGCAGTGAGACGACGACTGCTAGATCTTCCAGGGCATGTTGCATTGTGTGCCTGCTTCCTGCGCTTGGCACGGGGCGATTGAAGGAAAGCCCTCCAGCTCCGCCTGGCCTGATGCAACCAAGCAGCCAACGCCTTCCGGCACTCTAAGGGAGGCGGGAGTGTCTCTTCCCAGTGCGGATTGGTTTCTCTGCACTGAATGAGAGAAACTGACTGGCCAAAAAGCCGGGAAGGCAATCACTCCCGGCAACTCCAGCTTGCCCAGCCAAAGGAAGGAGGATGGGGGTTGAAGGCCAAAACATGTGGCAGACCCCAAGCCGTCTACCCCCGCCGTAACACAAACGCACCGCTGTTTTGCTGCCAAAATGTGAGGGGTCCAGAAGCCCTCTTTTGCTGGCCGGACACTGAATTTCGGCAGCATCGCCGGCAGGGCCGTGGCTGCATGTGCGGGATTCCTGGAAAGGTGGGCGATTGGCCCCTGGACCTCCAGAGGTTGCCCACCCTTGCTCGAGAGGCCCTGCTTCTGTTGCCCTTTCTGGAAGGCTGGCTGAGCCGGGAAACAAAACCGCCTCCTGCAAGAGGATCTTTCCGGCCCAGCCTGCTTTCAGACGCCTCGTGAAAAGGAGATGAAAACGGTGCCCTACGGGGACACTTGAGGAAGCTTTGTGAAAATTCCTGTGCCGGGAAAAGGCCTCTCTACCTGGGGCAGGGAGGGAAGTGCGGTGCTGGCTTCTTACCGTGTTGCCAAGGTTACGGAGTCCAATGTGCCCAGAGCCCAGCAGGAGCGTGTGATGCGTCTGAAAGAGAAAGAGGGAGGAGCGGGTGACTTGCTGGTGGCGACGGCGTGTGGCTCTGGAGGGTAACGGCGTGCGCTCGTCTCGTGGCTCCACATGTGGGCCGCATTTCCACACTGAAGCACAACACACCGGCTGCACAGCCCCCTTTCCCGCCCTGCGCTCTGTCCCCGAGGCAGGCACATCTCGCCAGCCCAGCACTTGCCCGGCACCTTTTCTGGCCCGGTGGGCATTCAGACATTCTGAAATACATGCACCTCTGCTCCAGGTGTGGAAGTGGCCCAACTCGCTACTCCGCTATCTCTCTATCTAGTGACACCCTCAAGGTTTTTACCGCTCAGGCTCCCCCTTCTTCAGATCAGTTCATCAGGCTAGCTTGAGCAATTAAAGCCTTAGGGTTTTCAGAGGCGCTGATTATATGCCAATCATGCAGATATTATATTTTCTCAGCCAGTGAGCCATGTTCAGGAAACAGAGGCTGCAATTCCCAAAAGTATTTCTTCCCCTGGGATATTTTCAGTGGCAGCCTTTCTTTTAGTCCTGGGGTAGGCCATGCGCAGCCCCTCCGGATGTAGACGGAGTCAAATGCCAATGACCGGGAATGATGGGAATGGCTGTCCAAAGGCATCCGGCTCCCTGCCCCTGCATCACTTGGGAAAGAAGAGGTGGAGGAGATCAGAGGAGGCCAGCTGCCAAAGGGGACGGTGCTCCTGCAGAACGGAAGAGGGGCGTTCGGTCCTTGCAGCTGCTCCCACAAGCCCAGCTGCCCGGGGAAAGCTCTCTTTGGTGCGGGTAACAAGGGACTCCGCTCCCCTCCTTTGCAGCCAGGCATTCTGGAAAGCAGCAGTGAAAGTACGAAAATGAGCCAGGAGAAGTGGCCCCCCGTCGCCGGCCGGGGCAAGAGTGGACAGTGGCCCCCAGAGCACTGAAGAGCACTGCTTGTGGCAGATGGTTTTCGGGCAGTTTGTGGCCCAGAGGGAAGGAGGGCACCCTAGAAGCTGTGGGGAGCAGCTGTGGAAACCCACTTTAGCACTACGCACAGGTGAGCTCAGGAGGCAGACAGTGGCCATGGGGCACAGCTATGGGGAGAAGCCGGGGGTGCGAAAGGAAGAGCTGCGGGAAGAGCCGATTGCTGATGGTCGGGCCGGGCCGGGCCCATGTGCCGCCACCTACCACGGAATTGAAGCAGCTTCCCAGCAGCCGCATGGAGGGGCATCCAAACGGACCCTCCCCGCCAACAGCCCACCCCCACCGGGCAAGAAGCAGGGCTCTCGGGCAGGGCGGGGACCACGCGGCGCTCCGGCCGGTTACCTCGCTGGTCATCAGCAGCAGCCCCATCACCGCCGTGTGCACCACCGACTCGGAGATGTCCGCCACGCGGCCCTGGAGCTCACGCCTGGTGGCCAGCGTGCGGTGCAGCTTCTGGGGCAGCTCCACGAGGGTGGCCCCCTGCAGCCCCGGCATGGCTCCCCGTCTGTCCGGGCCGGGAGGGAAGGAGGGAGAGCAACAGCCAGGCGAGGCACGCGGTGCAGCGCCAAACGGGAAAGGGCCTCCAGGCCCTCCCGGCTCACTCTATAAGCCATCAGCTCAGTGGCTGATCCGATTTCCCCCGGCTATTCTTGGCTCTCCTCGGAGCTCATCTCTGTGGGATTAATTAGCAGGGAGAGCCACTTTGGGGAGCAGGGGCTGTTTCGGGAGCCATGGTGCCAGAAGGAAGGCGAGAAACAAAAATAAACCAACACAAACACGGCGCGCAGGGCGCCTGGGTTACCACCGTCTCGGGGGAGCGCTCGCCTCCCTGAAGCAAGGAAGGGCTGGCGAGTGCCCCCCCCCACTGCTCCCAGGCACTGCCTGCCACACCACGATGGTGCACCCCAAGAGTGTGCACGCGACCCCTGCACCCCAAGAGCGAGACAGACTGACACGAAGCGTTGGCCAGAGGTGGGGTGGAGGGAGCGTGTGCCACGTCTGGGGAGGGGTCCTGCCCTGGCCCCTCCGCCCCCCGCCCAGGAAGTCCCCCCCCCACTCCCGGGGGACCCGGCTGCTGACTCGGCACGTGCTGCTCCACGCACCCGTTTCTATGGCAACGCCGTTTTGGCTAGGCCAGCCACCAAAGCTGCCTTCCCCCTGGCTTCCGCCTCCCCACTCCCGATCCGCCTTGTGCTTCTGAGCGTCGGAGGAGCGCGCGCAGCCAGCTCAGCCCCACGGCCGGCACAAGGCTGCTGGCACAGCCGGGCCGCCACGGCTTCTGGGGGCCGGCCTTCCCCGCAAGCACCTCTGCTTAGCCTCCCCGGGCGGGCGCAATACATCAGGGCACAGGCCACGAACTCTCGGCAGGGTGGGCACGGTTGGGATAGAGGGGCTGTCATGGGCACGCTCACAAAATGGCTGCCCCCGGGGCTTGCCCATTCCCCAAAGGGCTGCCCATGTGGAACGTTCGTTTCCCAGAAGACCAGCAAGACTAAAAGAAAAGCAGCTCCACTGAGAAAGGCGGCAGAAGGGCAGCGAGAGGCACAAGACGCTGGGAGGACCCATTTTGCTTCTCGTGCTGCATTTAAGCCCAGCTTTTCTTCCTCCTGCACAGAAATCGAGGCAGCTTCCGAGGTTCTCATCCTCTGCATTTCCTCCTCACAACCACCACCCTGCCAGGCAGGTTAGGCTGAGAGTCTGTGACCGGGCCAAAGCCATCCGGTGAAACGAGAACCTGCCCACTTTTTGCCTGAGACTTCTTTTCAAAGACCACAGGAAATCTGCACAAGCTAAAATTTGTGTGCCTCTCGAAGTCAGGAATCTTTCTTGGGGCCAGCCCGATTTGCCCCACAAGAACCTACTTTTCTCCTACAAGAAGCTCCCAAATACCCACCGCATAATCATAAACAAGCACAGGTAATAAGTCACTCTTGTCAGGGCTGATTCATTTCTAAAATAAATCAGATTTTGTATGCTTAATGATGGTGGGATGAAGACAGGCAGGGGGAAGAGACTAAAAAAACCAAAGGCCCATTTTCAGAACTCCCTGTGAGCTAAAAAAAGAACTGAAAACAATAATCAAATGTGTCTATTTGATGTGCACAAATCTTGTAAGCTTAGCAGAAAACCGCAGTGCTGAACTAGATGAAATACGGCAAGCTAATGGAAAAGCAGTGAGAGAACAAAACTGACAAGGTTATTTGCCAAGGGAATATGCTGCACCTGGTTAGATAACAGACTTGCAAAGACCATAAAATACTAAACCAGAGCAAAGGCACACAAAGGCTCAGACCCCATCAGTGGAAAGCACCTATTGAGCACATGCGCAGACCTTGGCTCCCGATGAGCACAGCCAAAAAGGCCCTCAGCTCCAGATCTGGACTGGAAACTCTGCACAAGTCCACTGGACTGAAGGGAAGGGGGTTTCCCAGCCTCAGACCACTTCACTTTCCCTGCCCGGTTGTGCTTTCCGGGAGCAGACACGGTGCACCGAGCAGGAGGCTCAAGCAAGGAACGCGACCGGTACGGGCCACCCTCCCACACGGACGCGGCTGCACGCGCTCCGGACGAAAGCCTCGAGGTGGCCTTCAAGGAGGAACGAGATGCCTGGGCAGCTCCTGGTGCAGGTGTGTGTCAGGCACGTGGTTTTTCAAAAGCACCTGCACGGCAGGCTGCTCGACAAGAAAGACCCCCCCACACCCCGTGCTGACTGCAGGAATGTTCTCTCTGCACAAGACCAAGGCTGGAGAGGTGCGGCTCCTGAGGACAGCTCCCAGGAGAAGCTGGGACCCGGTCAGGACGACGATCTGCTTGTCCCACTGGGCCACAGCCTGGCCCCCGGTCGAGCGGCCCCACGGGGAGCGCAGGCCGAAATGCCCCGAGGCTTTCCCTTGCACTGCGTTTAGAGCTGAGCTTGCCCGACAGGCGACGTTCCACGCTGTCTATTACAGGGGGCAAAACCTGCCGTCTGGGGGTGACACCTGAGACTCCACCGCCAGCCACAAAATGTGTGCTCCTTGCCCGTGTCCCCACGGCCTATATGGATGAACCTGGCACAGCCAAGGAGGCTCAGACCAGAACTCCATCTAGGCCAGCCAGTGGCCAACCAGCTGCCCAGGGCATCACACGCAGGACGGGCCGGGAGGGCAGCAGCCCAGGTTCCCAGCCTGGTGCAAACAGCCAGACTGCCTCTGGCGCTGGAGGGGACTGGCAGGAGGGGCCCCCTCCCCTCCAGGAATGTATCTCTGGAACTCTCCGCTTGTGTGCTCGTGTGGATGTGCACACACCTGGCCCCGGGCCAGCATCACGTGCAAGCCTGAGAGCTGAGGGGGCGGACTCCTGATCTCAAGGGAGCCCAAAGACACGTGCCGAGTGTCACCAGTACCCTTGCTGTGGTCCACCGAGAAAGAGCCGGTGCCCAGGAGCCGGGCAGCCAACAGAAAGCTGGAGAGGCAACCCCTCTTGCTTGGGCAAAAAGCAGGCTGGCACAGGCCCCACCGGAGACACGCTGAAACTACGACCCCCTCCCACACAAGCGGCTTCAGACGGGCTCCACAGCAGACAGGGGAGTCACCCCACACTGGAGGGGCTGCTGCGGGGAACTCCCCGCAGGCTTGCCCCAAGGCATGCTGGGAACGGGCGTGCCGGAAGGGTCTGTGGCCATCACCAGGCCCGCTTCCACCACCGGAGCCCCGAGGAGTCTGTTACACGCGCATGTGCGGATTGGGATCCAAGCCAGTTGGACGAAGGTGAAGCGGCTGCGCAGAGCGTTCGCCAACACGCTCTGCCACCACTTCCTAGGGACTGAACAACGTAAGCAGGGCCCTGCTGGAAGAGGCCAAGAGTGCCCGCTGCCACCTCCCGCTCAGTCGTAGCCAGGACTGCCAGTGGCAAGGGATGATGGGAGTTGCTGGCAGAGAAAACCTGGACAGTGGTAAGTTGCCCCCCATGCCGCAGAGAAGCCCTCTCCTGTCGCCTGTCCCAATTCGCTGTGGGGGGCAAAGGAGCTCGGATCGCGGGGAGGACCGGCAGACTGCCCCAACCAAGCCCCTTCTCTGTGCTCTCTGGGACATGGAAGCCCGTGCCTTGCCCAGCACAGAGAAGGGCGGAAGGGTGGGGCAGGGCCCTCGCTGGGCCCCGCCAGGCCCTCTGGCGCTGCAGGAACCCAAATACGGCTCTGCGCCCCTGCTCTAAGGGGCCACTCGGGTCGCCGGGGCCGCGCCGCCCCTTACGGTGCTCGCCTTCTCCTCCAGCCTGCTCGGCACGGGGGTCTTGCTGGGGGGCGGGCTCGTCGATCCCAGGATGTCGGGGGAGCAGGCATACTCCATGGCCTGGGGGTCCGAGGCCCGAGTCCTCAGGCAGGCCTCCGTGCGGACGGACAGCAGCGTGGTGGGGGGCCTCCCGTCCAGCCCCGCGGCCACGTTGACCCTCCGGAGGGAGGAGCTCCTCTTCAGGGCCAGGGCGCCCAGGCCCAGCTTGTGGCCGCACGAGGGGCTGCGGTCCTGCAGGGCCAGCCGGCTCAGCACGGCGCCCAGCTGCTCCTCCCCGCGGCTGCTGGCCTGGCTCAGGTCGCCGATGCTGATCGATTTGGAGCGGAGCAGGTTGCTGCGCAGGCACCCCGAGTCCGGCCCACCCAGCAGGGCCCCGGCCGGCATGGTGAAGGAGGCGCTGCCGGAGATGGTGATGGACGGGGCGCAGCCGGGCACCTTGAGCGCGTGGTCTGCCTTGACCGGGCCCCGGCGGGAGGCCGAGGCCCGCATGTCGCTGCGCTTGGAGGCCCGGCCTCGGTCCAGCTCCAGCTTCTTGCACCGGTCATCCAGCGGGCTCGGCCGGGGGGGCAGAGGCCGGAGCTTGGAGGTGGCAGAGAATCCGTTCGCTGTGGCGGAGGAGGAGGAGGAGGAGGAGGAACAGCTGCGGTGCTCTTGGCTTGGGGCCCGGTGTCCGTTCAGGAGCTTGCTGGTGGCTTTTGGCTGAGAGGTGATGACTCCCTGCTCTCGTGCCCGGCTCATGCGGTGCTCGGAAGCTTGGGGCATTGTGGAGAGAAGGGAGAAGAACGCCCTGAGAGAAAGGCACAAGGTTACGCAGGTTAGAGACGTTAGCCTCGGAGTGCCTCTTGCACAGCTCCGAGGCACGCAAGTTTCTAGTCCCTGAACAGCAGGCACGCAAGTTTCTAGTCCCTGAACAGCTGGTGCGGAAGAGAGCTCAGCAGATCTGCCAAGCTGCACGAGGCACCCTCCCTCACCGGTACGTACCTCTCATACGCCGAGAGACACTTGCCCCCCGGTCGGCCCCCGGCTCACACCTCACAGAGGTGGCTGACCACGAGAGGGCCCCCGTCGGCTGTTGCCCTGCAAAACAAAAAGACTGAGGAGGAGCTGGGAGGGGCTCTTGCCGTCACCCAGACACACTCTCACTTTCCCCGGGCCCAGAGAGAGCCTGGGGTGCTTCACCAAAGGAATGGGCGGCGCCTTCCCGTGCTTCCATACCTCCGTCCAACAACAGGTAAGTTTATGCTCCCCATCGGCTCCCAGGGACAGATCCGGAAGCAGACAGATCTTTAAACCCTTAAGGGGATCTAACAGATGAGCACCTCCCATGATGGGGATCGGCCTCTGCGGAACAGGCTGAGACTATGGGAATGGCACAAAACCAGGCAGGAACGGGGCTGCTGCCCAAATACCTGCACCACACCCATCGCCCATGACACATTTCAGCAGAGCTGCCGCCGCCGCTGCAGCTCCAAGCTGCAAGGGGTTCGGAACGCCCGTCCTTCGTTACCATTCGCACAGCGCTGGCGGCGTACACAGTGTCTTGGAAGTTGCCTCACTTTAAGCAACAGGTGGCCACAGGTGAGGGGAAACTGCATGCAGGTGGGTGAGTGGCCTCCTCTGAAGGAGATGGCGAAGCACCCACCACACCCAGCATGGACATGTCACGGGCTACTGCAGAAAGGTTGGAGGACTGCACCCCGATCCTTAATAATACCATATATATTTGAATCTTGCTTTGTAAGCAAACTCCTACTGGGACACCCGCCTATGAAGTATTTGTGATATGGAAGTCAACAGGGGAAAACTCTGCTTTCTTCCTGTTAGAAGGACTGCCAAGACTCCAAGGCAATGCATGAGAAGATCCTTCCAAGTGACACATCCAAAAACTGCTGTTTTACGCAAACTCTAAGAAGCAAATTCCAAAGGCCCTGTGAAGCAGAACTATGGTCAATGCAGAGACTACAGAAACTTAAAGAATGCAAGAAGCTCGTGCTGGGCTCAGCCCTGGCTAGCCTAACGCTCCAGTTCTAGCAATGGGCAGTCCCTTCTTTTCAAAGCAGAAGGCCACAAAGAACAGCCTCTGTTTCCCCACAGTGTCCAGCTGCTACAGATAGACTGCCACGGTATGTGCAGGTTCTATTTTTAGAGGTCACGGATGTCAACTGTTGGCAGATTTTTCTTCCACAAATGAAATATGAAGAGGTCTCCAGCGACAGTGGTCAGTGGGCACACAGATGCAGCACAAGATACCGAAGAGTTACAGCCACTTAGAAAATTCACTGCCATAGCATATAGTGAGGGGGAATCACATGAAGACTGACAGAACTGAAAGCAAATGGGTAAGAGAACTCACAGGGAATTGAGCAGGTGTTCCATCTGCCACACTTCAATTTCGCATGTAAATAAGGCTGCATATAGGATAGACACAGTAACAATAGATCCCACAGGGATATCTTGTTTTCCATATTGTCCATAATTAAAGAGCCAGTGGACTAAAGAGGCAGGAAAGGGTGGTTAGGTGGTTCATGTGAAGGTATTAATAAAATTAATACTGAGATTCCACTGCATAGAAGCAAGTTTTCTTCTTTTCTTGTATTCCCCACTGAGCCCTGTTTTTCATTTTCCTGTTGTTGAAGTATGTGACAACCCTTCTTTACGTCCGCCTCCATCGCTCCCATCCATTTGTTTCCCTGTACCTACTTTAGATTGTAGGCTCCTTGGGACAGGGACCTGTCAGACTTGTTCTTTATAAAAGTAACATGTACACACATCAAATGAGGATGACTAAATCATTTCAGGATGCTGCCAACAAAGCCAAAACCCATTCCAAGGAAAGTAAAAGCCTGCAACTTAAGAGAAACCGTGCAAATATCAATACAACACATTTTTAGTTCTCCCGGCTTCTCCCACTTTCCCTAATCCGGGGCCAGACAACAAGCAGCCCTCCAGATGTTTTGACCCACAACTTCCATCAGCCCTAGCCAGCACAGCCCCTGGTGAAAGATCATGGGAACTGTAGTCCGAACATTCTGCAAATGACAACCTTGCCTCGGATGTTAATATCAATGCTTCATTAAATCATGGAGATACCCAGACCACAAATCTAGTCCTCACAGATCCATCTGATCCAAGAAATAGGGACAGTCACATACTTAGCAGTTCCTACTCCCCTCATATGCCATTTTCAACCCCTCTGACGAATGCAAAGATGGGGGCCTCGCTCCTACGTCCAGCTCCCACGACGAGGGCCCGTTTACTCCATCGGGGGAGGTCTCCCCCCGTTGCCAAGAGCCCACCCCACCGCAAGCCCCACACAGTACAGCCCGGCCTCATCTGTCGCCCTCCAGCCCCTTCCCTTACTGGACAGAAAATCACATCGGAAGCCCCCCAGCCCTCATCCCACCCCCCAAACGGAAAGAACAGGGAGAGGGCATCCCCCCCTCAGGCTGAGACTCACCCACATATTATTATGCACTGAGCTTACATAACAATGTACGGCAGCAGCCCCTTCCCTCAGCCCCCTCCCCTCGTGTCATACACAGATCGATGTTTGGGGGTCGCCAGGGAAGCAGGAGGGGCCCCCACAGCCTGCCAATACGCCCCCCATCCCATTAGGCACCAAGAAATAAAAAGACATTCAATTAAAAAATGGACCTCTACCGCCTTTTCTCCCGCTCCTCCACTGGAATCCCCATCTTTCTAAGCGGCCGTTGCTGCCTACCCCGGACCAACAACCAGGACGCTCCCCGTCCCGGCCCCGCAAAGGAGTTCAGGTGTGCGGGCCTCACCTCCTGCACGACGCCATGGCAACAACTCCTGCAGCAGCGGCCGCCATCTTTGTTCCTCCCCCTCCCTCCGCGGGCTGCCCGGACAAGGCCAGCTTCGCGCCGCCTCACCGCGCACGCGCCGACGCCCTTTCCGGGCCTGGCGCGCCCGGCGCGTGCGCGTATCAGCTTTCTCCCGCTGTTCTGAACGTCACGGGTCGCGCTCTCCTCCGGTCGCCATGGAAGCAGAAAAAAGCGTCCCGGAGAATTTAAAGGCGCAGGAGCATTTTAAAAAAAAAAATGAGGCTGGCTGGCTGGCTGGCAGTGCAACTTAATAGCAGATCTGCAGAGCTCGTGCAACGGCACCGATCCGCGAGGGAGCACGCGTGGCATCGCTGCGCAGCAACTCGATCCTGGGCATGCTTGCCCTAGAGTCATTCTCTCAGCTCTTACCTGCGGAGGGTCAGCGCAGCGGTGTAGCCACCGCGAATTTCAGCCTGAGCTTTGGAGGAGCTGTCCGTGGTGCTGAAATGGCTGGGCGCTGCACGGTGCGAAGCTCCTTAAAAGATCAGGCTCCAGCTCGAGCTTCTGTAACGAGGCACGAACTTTGGGACCATCAATCTCAACTAATAGGGTGCCAAATTTGCAGCAGCCATAGGGGGCTTCCTCATCCGTCAGGCCCAAAGCAAAGCTCCACCAGAAGATCACACATCTCTGCTTCCCTGAAAGAACAGCAGCAATGGGGAAATGAACCAGACCCCATGCCTCAGGCAGGGGGCAGCTTCCCCCACCAGCAAATACTCTTTTAAGAACCTCGAAACTTTGCAGGAGACCTTCACGGACCCCATGCAGCCTCTTGAGGCAGGAATATGATGTGAATATTGAGCTGAGTGGCTTGACTTGGTGCAAAGCAGCACCTTCCGTTCCTACAATGGCTGGCTTAATTCACAACCCTGCACAGGGCTGGAGACATGCCTAGATTGCACCCCCCGCCCCCCGCAAAATTTAAACCATGACTGACTCCCCAGGAAAGATAGACATCCTCCATAAAACATTTACCAAAACAAAGACACACACTGACCAAGCAACCTGTTCCTTGAGTCATATTATCCAGAGGCATATAAAAATTAAACAGGCCTACCTAAACCTGCTTCATGTGGGGTTGTTATCACACATTAAGCCCAGCACAATCGTGCGAGGTAGGCGAGTTGGAGGCGAGACCCCTAAGATCACCCAATGGGCTTAGTGGCTGAAGCGTGATCCTTTGTTGGCACCTCCAGACGAGACCGAGCGGCAGTTTTGCTGTTCTTCCTCTGGTCCTGCTATGGCAGAGTTCCGCTGCTGCTGCTGCCCTCCTCCATGGAGGAAGAAGCCGGCCTCTGCAGGAGGTAAACTGACCCCCGATATCAGCTTGCAGAAATCCAGCTTTCTTAGTGCTCGCTCGCTTGGCATCAGCTTACCGGGAAGAGAACTGGGCCAGGTCTGCAGCCCCGCTGGAACCCTTACAGTTCAAGGATGTTGACGCAGTTCAGCCTCCAGCTGTGGTCAGACACAAGCACCCATCATCCCTGGTACACACAGCCAATAGGCAAGAAAGGCAGAAGCCCCCCCAAAATACGGAGGGCTGCAGGCCTCCCTAACCTCTGTATCAGGTGAGGGAGACTGAGCTAGAAATCAGAATTTAGGGGGTTAGATCTCACCTAATTTGAACATCGGACTAATGGGCTTAAGTACCGCTCTGAAGGCTTTTTGCTCATGGAATCTGGCCCGCTATTGTTTCCTCAGAACTGAATTCAAGAGGTTTTCCTGTGCTGCCCCACTCCCTTATACATCTTCCTCAGTCCTGGTCTCAGGCCTTCTCATACAATCGACCGTGCCGAGGGTTACAAAGAACAGGGACTTCTTGGGAGTGGCCTCCTACTTGGGGAACCCTCTTCCCCAAGAGGCCTGTGAGCAATCTTCACTCATGGCCTTTGAAGGCGTCCCTAAAGCTTTTATTACTGTTCATAGTTTGTACTGATTTGATCTCTTCCCCACCCCCTCCAAATATAACTTTATTGGATGCTTTTCCTTATTATGCGGGGATAAACAGCATTACCACTAGCTGCTCAGGAACAGCAGGCTAGAAATAAGGAATTAACGCCGAACAGAATGCCTGGCTGCTAACAGCTCGCACATGATGCCAAACTGAACCAAAAGGGGTAGAACGATCAGAAGGTTTAACTGTACTTGCATCCATAGAAAGAAATGAATTAATTAAAAAAAAAAAACTCCTGCTGGATCAGATCACCTTGATGCCTTTGCCATGGAGCAGTACACTGCCTCTAAACAGGAAGGTTCTGCTCCAAAAAAACCCCCAAAGACAAAATGTTTAGAGAAAGAAAAGTTCCACGACTCCCAGGATCCCTCCAGCTAGATTCTGTGACCTGCAAAACTTGTTATCCTGTCTACATGTGCACAGGAAAATATCCAAAGAGTTCTTTTGGATCACACCAGAGAGTTCAGCGTAGGAGTTCCCCAGGGTAGTCGGTTCGATGCCTCCGGAAAGACAAGGAACCCGTCTGCCTGTGCCTTCGCTGAAAAGGACTTTCCAGCATTAAAGAACCTGGCTTGGCAGGTCTTCTTGGGTTCCCCCTGGCCCAATGCGACAATCCTGAGGCCGACTAATCAGCACTAGGGGAAAAATCGTCGTGGGACTGGAGTGTGGGCAGAAGAAAACCAAATTAAGGAACGCGGTGCCACCGAGTTGCTGCCCCACGAAGAAATTCACTTACGTATTAGAAAACGAGGATGTGTATCAATGCTTATATTAAAGAAAAGTCGCAGTGATGTGAAGAGGGTCAGAACTCCTTCCCAGGAAAAGGAAGAGAAAAACAAATCCTGCTGGAAAAGAAATCTCAAGCAGCAAAACCCCAGACTGTGCCCGATTCGTAACAATGGGAAATTCTGAGAGATTTTTCTGTGAAAATTTCGCCTGTTTCCCAGCCCACCTGCACCTGTTTTTGCTGTTTCAGCAGCCTGACCTCTTGTAGCCACAGGCTTATATACCAACTCTCTTTCTGTGGGGTTTGTTTTATTCTACGGATGTATTGTAAGCCGTCCCAAGGCATAGGGGATGGGGGAGAAAAGCTTTTAATAAATAAAATAAACAGTCGCTATAAAATACTTTGCAATGGTTAAAACAACAGGGGGTCCCAAACTCTTGACACTCTACTGAAAGCAACCTGCAAGGAGATTGCAAAGAAGCGCCAACTGCCTTTGCTCAGGTCCCCTTGAAAGGAGCATTTTGCAAGGAAGCCACCTCAGGAAAAAGATGTGTGGAAGGGCAGTTTCTTCTTTTTATTGGAAAGCCGCTTTTCCCGACAGGTTGGAAACCTGCAGTCCCACAGGTGCAGACATGCAAGACACATTCCTGGCTGACGTCTAGGGCTGCCGGCATCAGCAGGCAAAGCCAGGAGGTCGGCCCGAGGCCCAGCCTCCACACGCAGTCACACCTGCCTCATTTCTCCTTGTGCTCGATCAGGCCCTTCGAAATCAGATCCGGGATCTCCACGGCCAACCAAGGTCCCAGCTGGAAGACAAAGAACGGCAGGCAGTCACCGGCGCTGCTGCCAACCCCCTCCTCCGAGTCCCAGTGCAGCAACTGGAAGTTGGGACTCATCGTTGGTCAGACGGTCCCTTATCTGTAGCCCTTGCGCCTCTCTCAGTCCCAGAGAAAAGGAAGCAGGAACCTGGAGTCCATCAACAACATCCGGGGGCCAAAATGGGCCTGGCCCAACGCCCACCAAAACCTGATTAGAGTGTCTTTTCGTGTGGGCATTTTACTGCAAGGCAATTTTGGCTGGCAAGTCATGGATGCATGCGTACACAACCCTAAAAGAAGAACCAGAGTGGCCTAGTGGTTGGAGCGTTGGATGGGGCAGAGAACTGGGCCTTACTTGGCCATGAAGCTCCCTGGGCAATCTTGGGACCGGCCTCTTTAGCTAGCCTACCTCACAGAGCTGTCCTGAAGCTAAACCCAGAGGGGGGTGTGAAGGCACAAAGGGGATCCAACCCTGTTGAAGCTAAGCAGATCTGAGGCTGGCCTGAGCTTGGAGGGGAGACCCCTTGGGAAGCACAGTAGCCACCCTGACTTCCACCAAGGGAGAAAGGTGGGGGATGAAAATAATAAAGAATAAACACAGAGGGGAAAGTGGCAGAAGCCATCTTGGGCTGCATCCAACCTCCTTCCCCACCACAGGCAGCTCCAAAGCACGCCAATGACTTACCCCCAAGGCCATGAGGTGAGCCAGCCCAAATTTGGGCACATTCCTGGCCCAGAGGGGCTTGAAGTGGTCCGTCAGACAGATTTTACCACCTCTGCAAGGAGAAAAAGAGTGAGAGAGCGAGAGATCCAGGCTTGAAAAGAGGACGTTAGCATAGATATGGAAAATTGAGTTCAGCATACAAGGAAACTAAGTCAGAGGTGCAGGATCTCAGGCTCGGGGGCCGCAGGGGGCCCTGCCCCCTCCATTGATGGATTACTTGGTAGCTTCCTGGCTTCGGGACAGTTCCCCCCATTCTAAAAGGCTGGGTTGACTCTCCCAGGACTCTGCTCCTGCTACGGCTGCTTTGGGGCCCCACCTACCCCTCAAATCTGGCCCACAGGACCCCCCCTCCAACGTGAGGGGGGGCTGAAACAGACTGTCCACCCCAGGTTAAATTTGAGAGGAGGACAAGAGCCGACCTGTACATTTTCGCCGTTTTTCCGTCGAGTTCTGGAATGGCAATTTCCGGCGCCGTGGATGGATATGTAACTGGAATCTGCAGTAGAAGGAAGATGGGAAACAAGAGCATAAAATCTACAAAGAAGAAACGTGGGAACCACGGACGTGGTGGGTGAGACCCTGGATCAGGGCCAGCTGCCCAAGGAAACCCGCAAGGAGGCCATGAGTGCAACCCTCCCACCCATGTTCCCCAGCTAGCCTGGAATTGGTCTTGATACCGTACGACTGGCTTAATTTCTGCAACTGGTAGAACTGAGCTATCCAGGGCGCAGAATTTCGATTCGGCTTAGCGCAGGCGGTAAACCTTGTCTTGCTTCTGGCTCTGCTCAAAGGCAGGTTCCACACAGGGCAGAACCAAGAGAGGATGAAAAGGGGTGGCGGGAAGCCCCAGAGGAACATGGGGCAGAGACTCACATCAAACTCAACCGCAAACTCGTACTTTAGGAGACTGTGGATGTACCAGCACTTCCCAAACCACCTGGCCAGAGAAATACGAAAGGAGAGATAAGAAAAAGTTAGGCATATTTAAGAAAGGGAAATAAACCCTTATTTATTTCTTTAAAATATCTGTACCCCGTCCTATACGCAAAGCATCTCAGGACAGCTTATAGAAATCAAAACAAACAATCCATGATCAAAAACAACAATTGTGTTATTGTGTTTCTCTTCCTCCTATTTATATGGTCATATTTATAACGTATTTCATTTTTACTACATTTTATGGTTTTGTTTCTTATTGTTATTCATTGTTATCTGTATTTTAAATATATTTATATTGTACATCGTGAGCCACTGAGAACCTTTGGCAATGGGATGGCATACAAATGTGATAAATACATAAATAAAATAAACTATCGGCCTCATAATGCTTCACATTTGTAGAGCGTTCCCAGAAATTCACATGATTATCTGCACTCTTTGACAACAACCCTGCAAGGTAAGCTGGTGTCCTGTCACCTCTATCAAGGGCTCTAACCTGAAAGGACAATTAAAGCAGGTGTTCCTTCAGGTATCCAGGTCCCAAGCCGTTCAGGGCTTTATAGGTGTTACCCAGCACCCCATGAGCTGTTGACCCCGTGAGCTTTAAGCCCCCCAGATCTGGTGCTTCCACCCTCACCTGGTTCCTTCCTTGTTGGATTCGAGCCTGAACCAATCGTTATCAGCATTCTTGTTGTTCTCCACATACTGCGGGGAAGAGAAAGACCCATAATTGCCAAGGTAAAGTCTGGGCCAATATTTCCCTACAGTTTTTATTTCAAATCCAACAGTAACTACTTCAAGGTGATTCCCACAATCAAAGAACAAAGTCTTCCCTGGGATGGAATGACTTTGGAATGCCTTTCCGGATGTCAAACCGTTTGAATGGTAACAATTAAACGGTAAAGCTAATGCCATTATCTTTTAAATGTAATCGGATTGCTGTGTTTTTGTTTGCTCTGGTGTTTGCTGCTGTTGCAAGGAATCCAAAATGGCTTACCGGTTATCATCCGCCTCTCTATTTTTATCAACACAACAACCTTGTGAGGTAGGCTAGACAGAAGGTTAGTGACTGGCCCAACCTTGAGGGCTGAGAGGGGATTCTAGCCTGCATCTCCTGAATTCCCTCTGCGCCCAAGCACTGCATCACACTGCTTCTCCTGTGGATTAAGTTTATCTGCTATTTTTACTGCTGTGCACCCTACCTTCAGATTCCTCGTGGGCAGAAGGATGGATTGGAACATGTGAAATGAGTAAATATTACCCCACAACAAAGAAGTGAAGAAACAACTTCCAGTTGACAAAAAAGGAAAGAAACAGACAGAGGGATGGATAAGTGAATTCCAACGAAACCTCAAGTCTGGGCAATATTTACCCAGAAATAAGCCCCACTAAGCATAATGGGATTTCATAGAATCATAGAATAGTAGAGTTGGAAGGGGCCATGAAGGCCATCAAGTCCAACCCCCTGCTGGTGCAGGACACCACGTTACACCATCCCACTCAGGTGGCTGTCCAGTTTCGCCTTGAATGTCTCTAGTGTGGGAGAGCCCACCACCTCTCCAGGCAACTGTTTTATTGCTCTCACTGGAAGCTTTTCCTGATGTCCAGCCTGAATCTGGGTTGCAGCAGCTTGATTATTCCGTCTGGCATCAGCAAGAAGAGATCTTGACCTTTCTCTTTGTGGCAGCCTTAGAGGTACTTATAGAAGGATATCACGTCCCCCCTCAGTCTTTTCTTCTCAAGGCTGAACGTGCCCGGTTCTCTCAGTCTCTCCTCACAGGGCAGTGTCTCCGAACCCCGGATCCTTTTTGTTGCCCTTCTCTGGACACTTCCTAATTTTTCTGCATCTTTCTTAAATCTTGGTGCCCAGAACTGGACACATTAGCCCAGGTGAGGTCTGACTAGTGAGGAGCATTCCATCCCTGGAGGGTACCTTGAGCTGGTCTCACAGTGACCTACCAACCGTCTGTGCTTAGTCAGGAAGCATCTGTGTCTCTTCTCACATCATCGTACCATAAAACTGCGGTCAGCAGAATGCAAAGCTCCAGATTTCTGGCCTCGGACTTTCAAAATGCCTGGCCATGTTGGCTGGATCCCCCGGGAGTCAGCATCGCCACCATTCTGAATGGCTGCCCTGAGAGATTGAAAAGTGGCTAGACAGAGCGCGTAACCGGCTGACCTGGGGTGCCGTGGTTAGGGCAGCTGGCCGGGTGCCCTCTAGATGCTGGCTGGGGCTGAGAAGTGTCGGAGCCATGAGACTTCAAGAAAGAATGGTTTGGGGAAGGCAGGCCTAAACCACCCATAAGAAAGTTGACACCATCAGTACTGCTGGATGCAGATTTGGAGGGTTTTCACAGCCAAGGGCCTCCTCACCGTTTGCAGAATGCAAACCGAATTAACTAATACAGGGATTAATCCTGTGCAGGTTTAGCCAAAAGGAAGACTGCTCTAGCCGGCCCATAGATATGAAAATGCAGCTTTCTGTCAATGTGGAGCATCTGACAGGAGTTTCCGCCTAGGAAAGCTCACTTCACAATTCGCTGCACAATTAAGACCAAACATGAGTGCACAGAAATCGTTTCAAATTCTCCAGAACTCTCCATTAGGTTTAAATAATAAAAATAAGAATCCACAAGCGCAGTCTTTCGTGAACTTCAAGCCCATGATGCAACCAAATAAGTAAACTAGAGAAACAAGGGATTCCTCAGACAGCCACAGTCTAAGTTAGGCAGAAACAACCTGACGCTCTTTCAGATACGTCGATCAACAACGCACAGCATATCCAATGCTCAGCGATAATGGGAGTTGTAGTCCAAAGCATCTGGAAGAGCACCAGCGCGCATATCAGACACAGCCAGCGTGTACAACAAGCAGGAGCAACGGGCGTTGGTGCAAAGCATCTGGAAAAGCATTCCATCAGCCGCAGCCAACATGGCCAGACGGCAGGGATAATAGGAGCTGTAGTCCGCGCGACACCTGGAAAGCACCAGGCTGCCGAACCCCCGTCAAGATTCTAGGAACAGAAGGCCGGGAAGAGCAAGAAGCCTGCCTCAAATTGGCCCTCCGGAGCCACCGTAGGCAGGCAAAGCCAATGGGAAAGCGACCCCTCGGGAGCTCGGGCTCCGCTTCCCGGAGGGGACGCGGCACAGACCTTAATGAGCGCCTGGTATTCCTCCTTCAGCCGCTGGATCCACAGCTCCTGGTCCCGCGGGCCCGCGTTGGTCTTCAGGAGCGGCAGCTCCGCCACTACCCGGCGGGTTGCCTCGTCCGCCATCTTTGTTGAGGGGGGAAAGAGGCGGCACCCGGAAGTGCCTTTCCCGTGTGGGAACCACGTGGGATGCAGGCGCCATCATTGTGAAGGGCGCGGGTGGCCGACAGGAAATGGGGGAAGCGGATGCCGCCATGATTGTTGAAGGCGGGAAGTTAGGCTTGGGCGGAGGAGAAATGGAAGGGATGCAGCGCCGCCCTGGTGGTCGGTGGCGGAAGCGCGCCTTCGCGTAACTTGCTTTATGACGGGGCTGGCTTGCTTGTTTTAAGCGCTACTGTTTCGTTTTTATTTCATTTCAGTCTTGCCCAACAGCTCAAGGCTCACCGCCATGCGTAATCCTGCAGATGCTCTGAGTTACAGGATTTTTTCTGTCGAAACACGAACAGAGCTACCTGCAAATGGAAAAAATGAATGGGAATCCCCTGCTAAGAATCCTTCCGGAGGTGTTCCTTGCCATCCTAAGCTTATAGAAGCCCTTGTATTAAAAAAATCAGATTTATCCCCTGCCCCATGAATCTGAGCCATATTTGTAGTGTATGCAAAATATTGTATTTCCTGGATCTAAGCCTCTGTGTATTTAAGCATGGTTCGCACCTGAGTTCTTCTCGCCATTAATTTTACCCCAGTGTCAGGACAAAATGGATGCTGTCGGAGCTGTGCCCATGTGCCTGCAAAGGCAGCCCATGCCGTCCTTCCTAGCTGCCTCCGTTCTTTCCCAGCTGTGATGATGTGGCACTTGGGCACACTTGGGCTGGGGGCGTTCTCAGCCTCACTGAGCTGGAGGTCCGCATTGGACCCCTCTGCTGGCTGCTTGGCTGCAGCACCTGGCAAGAGAGGCAGGAAGGGTTGCACCCTTGGTTGCGTAGCCAGAAGCGCGGCTTCTAGATCGAGAGAGCTGTTACTGCCACTCTGTACGACTCTGGTGCTCCCGCAACTGGAGTCTTGTGCTCAGTTCTGGACCCCTCATTACAGGAAGGATATAGCCAGGTTCAAGTCAGTGTAGCGCAGGGCCACAAGGTTGGTGACTGGTTTGCAGGGGATGGGGCATGAGGCGAGACTGAGGGAACTGGGTCTCTTCAGCCTGGAGAAGAGGAGACTCAGAGGGGATCTGTTGGCGACATGCAGGTATGTGAGGGGGTGTCACACGGAGGTGGGGAGAGACCTCTTCTCCCCTGCAGAGGAAGGCAGGACGCGCCCCAACGAAGCAAAGCTCAGGGAACCAAGGTTCAGTTTGTTTGTTTGTTTGTTTGTTTGTTTATTTATTTAGGGAACGTCTATGCTGCCCCATTCGCCGAAGCCTCGGGTCAGCTCACAATCAGTTTGGATGCCAGGAAGCACTTCCTGACAGTCAGGACCCTGTGGGTGTGGAATGGGCTTCCACGGGAGGTGGGTGAGGCCCCACCGGTGAGGGTGTTCAAGGACAGGCTGGACATGCGCATGGTGGGCATGTGGTGAGTGGAGCCGGCTGGAGCCGGGGGTCAGACTAGATGGCCCCGGAGGCCCCTTCTGACTCGCTCTGTTTCTGTTTCTATGAAGACTTGTGTCAATGTGTGTCTTTTGAAGACTCGAGTGTATCAGCAGGGCAACCCTTTCATCTCTTGCGGCAGATGCACGGAAGGCTCCACACTCCAAGTCTTAAATGCGTCCTGTGTCTGGACCGAGGGACAGGAGTGCCTAGCTTTAGGGCCAAAGGCTGGGGCCCAGTCTGGCATCTGCAGACGTTTCCAGCTTCAGCTTCCTAGCCTTATTGTCCCCGACATGCTTCCACCCCCCCCCCCCCCCCCCCCCCCCCCCCCGCATAGGCCCAGTTTTGATCTTGGAGGAGCAAGAGGGCAGCTGAGCTTAGAGGACCTCCGTGCTTGGTCTCTGAAAAGCGAGGGCCACCCGGACAACACTGGAAGGCCCAAATCAACATTCTGTGATCATTAAAACAAAAACCACAACCCCAAACTCACCACAAGGATGGTGTGTACGTGTATCAGATATCTCGGAACATTGGAAAGTTGACTTTTTCATTGAGTTCAACGAAAAGGGGGAAATCCTTTTTTTCCAAAATGCATCAGGTAGAATTAACCGTTTCCTTGGGCACCCGGGAATTTTCTCTCCTTTGTGTGCACAAATGCCTTCCCCCTTTGATGGTTTGTGTGTGTGTGTGTGTGTGTGTGTAAGACTGGCGTGGAAAATTAGGGTCTCCAACTTGCCTTTTCTCAAGCCCTGTCTGTCTGTGTTGCGAGTGCGTTTTTACATCCCTGGAGAGCATACTCAGAAAAGCAGTTCTCACCATCCCACCCCACTGCCCTGCCATAAGCACATCAAAAGATGCCTCAGGTGGGGAAGACCAGATGACCCCTCTCCCTTAGTGCGTAACCGTCAGAGTGTAACCTCTGTGTTTTATAGGCTTGCTAAAGTGCCTTCCTAACCCAGAAAGTTCACCCATGTAACCTTTTTGTTTGTTTACTCAGGGTAACTTCCGTTCAGAAGGCCTGTCAAAGGCATCTAATTAGAGTGAAATGTACCTTTTCTTTATGGTGCTGTGACGTGTATCCAATCACTTTCCTATCCATATCAAGTATGGATATCCATATCAATCCATATCAAATATCCAGTCACCTTCCAGTGTATTGTATTCACTCCCCCTTTTGTGTATTCTATATAACCCTGAGGAAATGAACATGGGGTGTTCCTACTTAGGCACCCATGGATCCATGCATTCGATTGTAAATAATGCATTTGCCCTGACAAGAAACTGATTCCGAGCCTCTGAATTGTGGGTCGGTGTGACAACAGTCTTACATGCTGGTACATACAGATTGGCGTCTACTCTGCATTGAGCAGTCCTCATCATTTCATGAATAAAGGAGGGAAACCACTGTTCCCAAAACATATCCCCTCCTCCCCCTTCTTCGGGAGCCCTCCTTGAAGGAGATTCGGCAGAAGAGTACCCGGAGCAGGGCCTTCTCTGTGGTGGCTCCCGACTCTGGAATACACTCCCCAGAGAGCTTCGCCTGGCACCAACGTTATATTCTTTTTGGCTCCAGGCAAAAACCTTTCCATTATTTTATATTATTTATTCATGTGCATGTTTCATTGGTTTTGCTTGCGATTTTATTGTGAATTATTGGATGCCGTGCTATTTTTCTCCATGCTTGTTGTAAACCGTCCCAAGATGTTAGTCATAGGACAGTCTATAAAAGCTTTAAATAAATAAGTAAAAAACTTAGGGCAGTTCCTGGACCCCCTTCACCCACCGGGAGCTCGCATTATGACGTCACTATTTACCTGCGTGGACACTCCGTTGAGGGGCTTAGTTTGGCCCAGGTATAAGCTGTTGGAACAGCTGATTAGGAAGAATTGGGGGCAGCCAGTGCCCGGTTCCCATTTCGGTCCCTGCCTAAAGGCCCTCTCTTAAGCGTGGATGACAGAAGTGCCTGGGAGATCTCCGGATTTCACCTCGCCACAGCATTGCTGGTACCCTGATCAACACAAAACCCCGGACACGCACTTAGAGGGCTGTTTGCCTTTATTGAGACCACAGCAAACTCGGACCAAGGCTCCTGTTTTATGCAAGGGACCATTTCCCTCATTCTGGTCTCCATGGAAGTGGCCCAGGACTAGTCTGTTGAGGTGCCCTTGTACATATTGTTCCATCTTTCCAATAGCTGTAATGCTTGTCCTGAGACCTGTTCAGTCATAGAGGACAAACCCTCGTGAAAGCTCTGCAGGTGTTCTCTGGAATTAAAATAGAAAAGAAGGCCTCTTTGCACCCTCATTTCATGTCCTCCGGCAGCCAACGGGAAGCTCCCCAGAAACCCAGAAGCAAGCACCTTTCTCTTATGCCCTCCCTGCCATGGCTGCTATTCCAAGGTGGGCTGCATCTGAGCATGGAGGCTTGAGTCATCCTTCCTAAGAGAAGGACGCCCTGTGGGATCAGGCTGCAGTGCCTCCAGCCCTGTGCCGGGTTTCTAATGCCGCAGAGCAAGCCAGCAGCAGAGGCCGGTAACCAGGCAGAAGGCTCTCGCCTCTGTACTTGGGGGATCCTGGGAAACCCAAAAGAGAAAGAAGCGGAAGGAGAAGAAGGGGGAGGGGGAAGGAGGAGGGGGGAGGGAAATAAAGGGAGGAGGAGGAGGAGAAGAGGAGAAGGTCCCACCCTGGCCTCCAGGCATGTCGCCTCTCCCCAGTCTGGCCGTGCTCCTTGCTCTCGGGCTGCCTGTGCCGCTGGCCTTTCCTTCCCCCCCACTGCTGCTCCCCAGCAGACTTGGCCCCCTGCGAGAGAGCCCCCTGCCCCAGTGCTGAGGAAGCCCCCCACTTCGCCCCTCTGGCTGCAGCAACACCAGTCAGAAGGAGGGTGTTGGGGAGAGCCTGAACCCTCTCGGGACTCTCCAGAAGCCCCCACTGACACCGACTCCAGCTCTGCGAGGTAGACCCCGCCGTCACGCCATCCTGTAACGAGGCAAACCCATGTCCCCCTTGGGGGGGCAGAGTGTCTGGCGGGGCCCCGGCCCCATCCCTCGGGGAGCAGAGAGCATCGCTTACCGTGCCTGGGCCGTGAGTTCGTTGACGTTACTCTTGGCAAAAAATTCTTTCAGAAGCTGAAGTACGGATTCCCCTAAGCTCTCCGGTGTCAAGGATTCAGACGGGGTTGGCTCTTCCACCTGCTGTTTCATAACAGCCCCTGCAAAGATACGGGAGACTCGCAAGCTGTGGCCTTCCGGCAGCAAAGGAGCCGTTTTAATCTGCTTTCGGGAATCACCTGCAGTCTTCCAGGTGGTTTGCCATTAAAGCCCCGGGAGCAAACCATTCCCTGTTGGCTATGCCGGCGGCAGCGGATGGCGTTTTGTGCCCAGATATTTGAGGAATCCAAAGCTGGCACCAGAAGGACAACCTTCCTGAAATCCTCCTGCCCCTGCATTAAGAATTTTGTTCGGGGCCCCCCCGGGTGCTCCTGACATCTGAGGTCAGGTGGGTGGCAACTGGCGAGAAGGGCCTTCTTGGCTGTGGCACCACAATTGTGAAACAGGGACGCTTTTCTTGCCAGTCGGAGAACGTTCCTTTTCTCCCACTGGGCCGTTTTAGAAAGGCTTCTGATATAACCTTGCTGTCGAACCTCTGGACCGATCTTGGTTTCCTTGGGAGTCCCTTTGGGGTTCTGAAAGGCTCTTCTAAGGCTGAGTTACTGACAGAATTTTAACCTTGCTTCATTGCCAACCCGGGATTTGTCTGGCGGACCATCAAACAAACCATGGCTTGTCTCCTCAATTCCTGGCTAGTTTGTTTCCTGCTTCTTTCACCTGCTTCCTCTTGGTATCCCAAATGACATGGACAGGGGGTTTTCTTTCTTTCCTTCCTTCCTTCCTTCCTTCCTTCCTTCCTTCCTTCCCCCATTCTCCCACGTGGCTTCTCTAGCTGGGCAAAACAACCCACAGCTCTGGGTTCCTATGTGACAACAACCCAGGGTTTAAGCAACCCAGTAAAAAAACTCTTCCTGGGTTCTTTGTGGTCGGGAAATCCTGGGCTGGGTTTGGATGATAGATGAGAGTTTCCTGGGGCTCAGTGGGGGTCCCCACTCTTCAGCCCTCCCTCCTGCTGCCTGTACCTCATGGGAGCACTGAGGGGGCGGTAAAGACAGCTTTTCGGATGAGGCACGAAGTCATGGTGGGTTCCTAAACCCAGGGACAAGCCACGGTTTCCTGGGTAGCTTTGTATGTCCCCCTGGGGGCACAGCAAGGGGAATCCAGGGGGATTTCTAGGTTCCTGGCTGTCTCCAGCCGCCAAAATCCACCATCCATACCCTGGGAAATTACGAATAGTGAAACCGAGCTGCGGGCAGGCTGCACGCCGAGTTGAAATTCAGTTTGTCCATTGCGAAAACTCACCCCTGTGTTTCCTCTGAAACAAAAGCTGCTCTAGTTAGTGGGTTTAGCATGGGCAGGATTCCCTCCATAAGGGGCATTTCGGGAAGGGGGTTGGAAGGCTGAGCAACCTTGGCCTCCGTTAATTGCCAGTGTCAAAGGCCAGAGTGGTGACGCCAGGCGCATTGATTTTTCTGCAAAAATGATTAGCCATGTTTATGGAACAGGAACCGATTGATCCGTACGTTTACTTTCGGGGTCACTGTCCAGGCCTGGGGGGAATGAACCTCTCCATGGCCAATTTTTCCTCTGGTTCCCAGCTGATCCCGGGACCTGCGAAAGCTGCTCAAAACACAAGTAGCGCTCCACATTATTCCCATTTTTAAAGGAATTATTATCCACTGTGTAGCAGGTGCTTTCTCAAGTTAGATCTGCTAAGTAGCCCAACACACACACACACACACACACACACACACAGAGAGAGAGAGAGAGAGAGAGAGAGAGAGAGAGAGAGAGAGAGAGAGATCCCATTCAGAACGGGTTTTTGCAAGTCTCTGTGCTTGACCTGTCAACTTTTACCCAAGGCTCCAGGTCTTAGCACAGAATCTTCTCGAGAGATTCCCCCGCTAAATTCAGCGGCACTCATTTCCCTAGTACGTGTGTTTAGGATCCTGCATCTTAGTGACAGCCTTCAAAGTACCTTCGAGGAAGCAAACGCTGACCAACAAAACGGCCAGGATAAGCACCTTCATCATTGCAGGGTCTGAGCGCTCGTTCAGCTTCTGGAGAAAAGACAGAACAGAGCAGGGGCTTAAACCAGGAGGAAAGAAAGCAGACTTCCCGTCTTTCAGGACACTGCACAGTGGTCTCAGATCGGAGCAGGAGCGATGTGGAAGATTGGCAGGGTGTTCTTTTTCCCCCTCCACCCCCCCGCCCCGATTCTCTTTTTCTGGGGCGGGGGGGTGGCTGTGCAACCCGTCCTTTGGACTTCGATCACGCAATGGCTCTTCAAACACAGGGGAACATGATGCAACATTTGTGAAGAAGAAGACAGGACAAGATTTCCTGCCGAATTTCCGCACAAATTTCGGATGCCGACTCACTGGTCTGCAATGGGCCGTTTCAAAGGATGAAAAGCAGGAGGGATTTTGTTCCCAGCCCTGTCCGTCCTCCCCGCACGGTCCCGCCGGTGTGTTCCCGGCCAGTCCGTGAGAAGAACACCTTGATCTTGCCCAGCAGCCCATGGGGGGCAGCGCTGAGGTTGGCATTGCCCAGGGGTCGAGAGTCTCTTAAGGACCAATTTACTCCTTGGACTTCTAAAAAAATATTTACTGCTGACTGCTTCCCCCCCCCCCACCTGTTAGTCAATCTAACATGTTGGAGGTTAATGTCCAGCGATAAGATTAGGACAAAGCAGTGTCCTTCACGACAGTGTCCGTCCCTCTGCAGCTCTGCCCTCTGTAATTCACCATGAGGACTAGAAACTGTGCTAACGCTTCCTTTTTGGATGTACAAACATGTTTTTGCTCCTGAAAATCCCTAAGACAGGGAGTTAAACCAAGCTGAGCATTATCACTGGAAGTAAGATGTGTGTCGATCGTTTTCATGAGGTGGTGGGAGGCTGAAAACGGGGTGGTGGCGGAAGGGTTGAGAAGGGAATGGGAGATTCTGAACGGGGCAGGGGGTGCCATGTAGTAACGATTTGCTGTCAGTTCCATGTATATTAAAATAGAAATACTAATATTAATCAGCAACAGCATCGTCAGGGATCAATGCTCTCTTTCCAAACAAAGACAGCACTTTCCTTTCGTCTTTCCTACTTCGGCTTTTGCTAAGGCTTCGCCACTTCCCTGGTCAGCCTTGGCAACGGGCCGAAATCCAACTGGTGCAGTATGCCAGTCGCAGCACCACGTACATTGCACGCTGGTCTTTGTCTCAGCTCAGGAGGTACTCGAGTCTCAGCTCTCGGATGGGCAAATAAGACAAAGGGAAAGGGTGCCCCCCCCCCCAACAGGGCTCAATTCCACCCACACTTCGGGGGTTTCCGGAGCGGAGGGCGACATTTCTGGACAGATGCAAATCCGCTTCTACAAACTCAACCCCGCAACGCAGCGGTGGGGGAAGCTATACCAGTTGCATTTCTGCTGCAAGAGCATTTCTGTCCAGCTAAAAGAGAGGCAAACTGTTGCCTTCAGAAAGAAAGGTCGCTCCTTACCTGAGGAATCCGTTCGATGGAGCCGGACTGGGTGATGAAATGTGTCCCAGGCGGAGCCGAAGGCTCTTTTATACCCTCTTCAGTGCCTGGTCCTTTGATTGGCGCTTTGGGCTCCGCATCCGTCACTTTCCGCATCGCATTCGCCCTCCAGATTGTATAATCGTTAATGGAGACAATTCCTAAGTAAACAGCTCCGGCAAAAGGGTCAAACTTCTCTTCCAAGAACTGATAACGCAGAGCACCCAGCTGGCCTTGGACACCGCTGGAACTCTGACTGGGGCCAGACCACGCGGGAACCCGGGCTGAGCGCGGGTTGCCGGACTGCGGCTGTCGTCTGAACCCAGCCACAGTGACAAACCGCGATTCACAGCCCGCAGTCCGTCACCCAGTCCTCTCCTTGGGCTTTTTCTGCCCGTGTGATATTGCGTGCTTTGTTGCGTTAGGCAAATAACATTCTTTCTCCTCATTTCTGAAAACGTTTCCTAAACGGGTAGCACATGGATAGAGGCCCTTGTATTTTGCCTTTAGAAGCATTTCGTATCTTCTCTGACAAACAGAGCTTGCCCCAGGATGATGTACTGAGCATCTGGGCTGCAGAAGCAAACTCCATTTCATGATGATTAATTTCAGTTCTCTCCTGCCCAATCGTCAAAACACTCTGTTGTCTCCCCAGAATCACACAATAGACTAAAACAGCGGAAGCAAGTTTTAAAAAAGAAATTCCAAATACTCCGGGGACCGAAGTAGCAACCCATCCTGGGCTTTCTATTTTGCTTTAACATGTTAGGAAAAGAGAAGCAGTAGTAAAATAAGAATTACTCTTTTGGGGTGGGAGGGGAAGAAAATGGAAGTTGCGTGTTATGTAATCGACTTAACCCACCTGGCCATCAGAGGAGACCCCCGATTTATAATGCTGCCAACTCCAGCCTCCAAAATAAGCTCTCTGAACCCTGGGCATGCATTTATTCACTGTAAACTAACTTGCAGCATGATGGAGTAATGAATTTGTGGAAATGGAACATGGGGTGCTTTGTTTTGGGATGGTGCGGAGGAAACCCGTTGTGGAAAACACGCCAGAATTGGACCTCCGTTCCCTGCTTTCGTTGGTGTCTTTGCCACGGCCGAATCTACGAAGCTTTGTTCTGTCTGCTTTGCTTCTCCCCATATCGGGCCGGCACCAAGGGTCGACATGATCGGGTCCTTGCTGGGGGTCCCCTCTCTGGCAGGGGCCACTGCAAAGAAGACCCTGGAATAGCACCTTCTCTGTTGTAACCTGTGGGTGGCCCAGGGGGAGGCCAAGCGAAGGGCACGGCCTGGCAGGAAGCCGGTGGCCACCACGACACGGTTGTGGTGACCGCGGTGGGGAGAGGGTGGATTCCCACACGGGGGTCCAGGGAGCGTGTCTTGCCCAAGGCCCTCTCAAGCCTGCAGTGCACCCACCTTGAGGTACCCTAGTGGGTAAGTTGGAAAGGGCTGGGAGAGGCCTCAGAGGTGGAGACGAGGCGGACGGGCCAAGCTGCTTGCTTTTGCGGTCGGGAGACGGCACAAGGGGTGTTTCCACCCCAAGGGCTGCATCCGACTCCAGAGATGCTCCCCAGGGGATGTGCCTCAGTGGAGGACGGAGAGGGGGGCAAGTGCTGAAGGCAGCGAGGGCCGGCCCCAAAACACCAGCCTCTTCCGGCACAAGGCTTGGAACTCAGGCTTTGGAGAGTTGTTTCCGCCTTCGAGAATGGAGGAAATCACACAGGAACTTGGACGTTGTCCCAGGGCGGGCAGCCAGGAAATGGGATGGGGGCAGATGGGGGAATCTCATCTTTGCTTCTCCCCAAATCAAACCACACCGAGAGAGGCGGATGCATGGCCCGGCTTTGCCTTTATTGAAACTGGAAAGAGCATCAGGAGGTGCGTGGAACAAGAAGGGACTGACACTTTCCTTCAGTTTGTTTCCTGCGGAGGCACCTCAGATGCCTGGGGCGCAGCCCTGTCCTGCACGGCGCTGACAACATACGCTAGGAAAGAAAAACTTTTGGAAAGCGTATCCTTCGCTGTTTTAGCAAGGTCTTTCACCCCCTGTTCCAACTCTTCAACCTGTTTCCTGCCATGAAAAAAGACACAGACCGTTTGCTCGTCAGAACAGAAAAAGAAGCCGTTCAGCAGACCCCAAGCAAACATTCTTTTCACAGTGGTGGCTACTCTAAGGTAGACTGCGTCTGAACAGAGAGGCTTGGGTCCCAACTCTCAACATAACAAAGTCCAGAGGGATCAAACCCAATGTCCCTCCTAGCTCTGTGACCAGTTTCCACCCGCAGTCCACCACGGGCAGGAGATGAAAGCTCTTGTCACCTGCCTGCTTGTTTAAGCCCAGAAACCGAGACTTACTTAAAAGAATATTGCCAGGGAATGTGGAGAGGTGTCTTTAAAATTAAGTAAATCAATAACATCCCATTCTGCATTTGGAAAAATAGCCAGTCCCCAGTATGATCCCAGTCCAGGCGTCTTGGGCTACACCCTCCATCATTCTGAGCCAAGCTGGCTGGGGTGATAGGGTTTGTAGTCCAAACCATCTGGGGGATGCTGGGTGCTGGAATTCTGAGGCGTGGTTAGAGTCGCTGTCGAGGAACTGCCGTTGATGAGTTGGGGGCAAAAGGGTTACCAAGGTGGGGTAATGAATTTCTCCTAGGCCCTCAGTAACACACCGTGCGTTTCCTGCGTCTCCTCCCATCCCTTCCTCCATATAGTGGGGAAAGGGCCACTGGAAAAGTCCTGCCCAGTTTTGTTAGCCCATGGGGAAGCTGGCCTTTGGAAAGGCCGTCTTGGGCACCACCACAAAATGGCTGCCATGGAAGCGCGGCAAAGGGCCAGTCCTGCCCCAGCCCCTGGGGATGCGGCAGCGGGGAGGCGTCAGGCCCCCAACGCAGGAAACGACACCTCTGAGCCTGCCTTTTCCAGCCCCAGGAGAGCCCCACGTTATAGCAAACCCAGTAATAAACACGGGCGATTTCCCCTTTGGGGTGAGGAATAAGGCGCTTTGGCTTCAGTGCCACATGGTCCCTTTTTGGGGAAGGCGCTTTGAACCGGGCACAAGATTCCAAGTGTCGACGCACCAGAGATTTGCATTTGGCAGGCCTGTTCTCGATTCCTTTCCGATTAAGCCCAGCCTGGCCGTTGCCTTTCCCACAGCGGCCGCTTCCCAAGTGCAGCACAAGTTTCTCTGATCTGCACAGCCCCTTCCTGGGCACCAGCAGATCAGGTGGACGCGAGAAAGACGGACCATCCCCATGGAGGGGGAGAAAGGAGACAGACCCACAATGCTCCGGGGATTCGCGGTGAACCCCCCAACCAGGCTGGCCCCTTGGCAGGGGCCCAATCCTGCTGACCCCGGCACCCTTCCTGGGTCTCCGCAAAGCGGATGGGTCAAACCACATCCATTTGGGCATTTTGGAGATGTGTTTCCTTGTGTGGTCACGGCAGGTACGAAAGCAGCCCGGAAGTCACCTTGCCATGATTCAAAAGGCTTCCCTTACTTGATTTCAATTGCAATCCTGGTGTTGTTATCATATTCCATAAATATCTCAAGCAGCTCATGCACGATCTCCTGAACCAGCTTTCCTGTTTCATCGTCCCCGCCTCCTCTCTGTTGCTGGCTGTGTGCTTCTACCTGTGTTTTGGCTTCTCCTTCATCCCGCTTCACAACAGCACCTGGAAGGGGGTAGGGAAACATGAGCCATTTGCAATATTTGGACGATCCTGCCCTAAATTCTCCGGCAAGTTTATGATTTGAAACAGGGAGGAGAGACACCCACCGACGAGGCCTTTTCTGCTGTGACACCCCATTGCAAACCGAGAAATTTCCCTTATTTTTTTTCCTGGCCCAGCAAAGAGAGTTTAATTCTGCAGACCCTTCTGTGTGCGTTGTACTAATGGAACAGTCTAGAAATGCCTAAATATATACAATCAATAAAGAAAATGTTCCAGGCCTTCTCAATGCTCGCATTGGCTGTTTTAAATATAAGAAAGGTGTTGGACCTCAGGCCATTTTTAAAGGAATTATTGTGCCATCTTGTGGCAGGGAGTTCCACAAGTATGGGTGTCTGGGGAGGCAGTATGACCAACTGATCCAAATTTTGCCACAGGCTCCCAGTTCTGTCTGGCGGCAGAAATAAGGGGCCAGCACTTGAAGTACCTTTCAAACAGCAGACTGCAACCAACAAAATCGCCAGGACAAACACCTTCATTTTGACACGATCTGGGTGTTCTTACAGCTTCTGGAGAAAAAAGAGAATGAAGCAAGGAGGGAAACAGCAGACCATTCTTTGTCATATAGCAAGATTCTTCTGCTGCGTTACTGCCTGCAAGTTACCATGAGGACTAGAAACTCTGTGATCCCTTTCTGTTTGATTGACAGAAAACACCGACTCTTGAGTGCCCGGGACAGAGAGGGCTGGAGAATGCAGGCAATGAATGTCTCTCAGCCCAAGGGCCCGATTCCTTTGCAGAGAAGTTGGGGGGTGCCAAACGCAAAAGGGGCAGACCCCAAATACCAGCGTATTGTAGGGAGGTGGTCAGCCTTTTAGATCATGGAGGAACACACAAGGATTGGGGTCAGGAAAAAGGGGAGCGGACTCCAGGGGAAGGACCAAGGGCCACATCAGGCCTGCGGTTATCCCCCCACCCCAGTTTTATTCGCTGAAATCTGACATCTGATGCTGTCCTTTTATTTTATTATATTACCATCCTGGATCTTAGTGCAGGACGGTATAGAAAAGCTTCAAATAAATGTAAGAATAACAGAAAATGAGGGACAAGAAAGGGTTTCTCTCTCCAGCCCAACACAACACGGGGACAATGGGCATTGCAATCCTAGCTGTGTCTACTCGGAGGGGAGCCCCAAAAGTTCAGCAGGGCTCACTCCTCGGAAACTCTGAAACGGGTGACATTACGGGTGCCCTCTTCTGCGCGGTTAGGCACCGAGATAAGCCCTACAGCTCCCAGCATTCCCCAGGCGCCACAGGGAACGCTGGGAATCCTGGGGCTTTCTCCCGGCTAACTGGGCATAGGTTTCTGCCACTGGTTTCCTTCGGGCACAGGCATGACGCCGCCTGCACACAAGGCAGGGGCCGTCGGCAGAGCCTCGCGAGGCGCCCTTTCCGCAGCCCGGCACTCGACTTGCACTTTGGCATCCGTGGCCCTTTGCCACGGATCACACACCTGGCACGCAAAGTCAGACGAGACAAAATGTCCCCAAACATTTCCACAGAGGGGCTTCTCCGGCAGGCGGGTTCTGGATGCAGGGCGGAGGCGGTATTTCGAGACAGACGTGAGCCCCATCACAATCCCAAACTCACCTCTTTAATGCAGCAACGGGGAGACTGCACCAGTCGGATTTCTGCCCGCCCCATGAAAAGCTGAAAGGGGTTTTCGCAGGGGGAACTGCCAAATGGGACAAGGCCATGCTTTCCCATTTTCCTTCTGAATTAAAATAATAATTTGTTTCCTTCTTACCTGTGGAGTAGTCACAATAGAACTATAGTAAGGGCAGAGAGTAAAGGATTTATATCCTACACTGGAAGTCCAGCCTCTTTTAGCTGATCTGAACTTTGTTCTGATTAACATTTATGTCCCACTTTACATTTGCCAACTCTCCCCGGAGCTGTGTACTTTTTGTATAGTTAATCACAAAAACAACTTCTGCGTAAACAGGTTTGGGGTCACAATGTGCACAGCTCAGGGATGAGGTGTAATAGGGACAGGAGGGGCATGGCAGGGCAATTCGACGTGGCCCAAAGGAATCCTGCACTCCGTGGGGAAGCCTCCTCTCAAAACGACACAAAAGGCATTGTGGGAGATGTAGGAAAAGGCAGGGAAGGGCATTTTGTGTGTGGGGGGGTCTGAACTGGAATCGGGTCAGGGTGCCCCCATTTTTTGGGCTTTGGGGAGAGAGGATTTGGGGTGATTTGGGGTGTGGGACTTCTTTTGGAGAACCATTTCTGGCTGCGTGCAAAAGCTGGGAAATAGTGCTTGGCTGTGGCACATGGATACCAAAGGCTGTGACACATGGATAGAGAGACACTTTTCTGTCATTCCTCCCCTGGCAGAACCAGGGAATTCTGAAGCTGGTCCTTGGCAATCCAGCGGCCCCCTCCCTTCGAGGAAACCACCTCCGAGCATCTCAGTCACGGAACTCCTTGCCCACAAGCGGGCTCCAACTGAAATGGTTAAAAAATGTATTTTGAATTATATTTATTTATATCAACACTATGGCAGCGGTTACAAACCTATGGCAAAAGGCTGGTTAAAACGGTCCAGTGTTTTAAAAGCTTGGAAAAATGACACGCTCTTTTCCTAGCCCTCCAAAAAAGCATACGGAGAGCCCCTCTGCTTTCTAAGTGGGGTGTCACGGCCAAAACAGCTTTCTTACTAGTCCACCCGTCCCCAGATGTTAGGTGCATGCAGTGCATGGCCAAGAAAAACAACTTAATTTTAACTTTTTTAAAGTTTGTCCTTTGGCTCTTTAAGGAAAGCTTTAAACACCCAACCGGCCCCGATAAGCGGATGAATTTTTCCTTCCTATCCATAGATCTCCATGGTTGGAAACATCCAGGTACATAAGTGTTTCTGCTGTAATTCCCAGACTGGAACCACGCAAAAACCAGTGTCTAACCAAGCCTTCATCCTATGAGGAAGACCCTCGGCCATTTAATTAGCTGGCTCTGCAGAAATGGGAAGGGGATGTCATTTCGCCTGTCAGCGTCATCAGCTACCCCAGCCGGGCAACCGAGCTGATGCAAAAAACCCCAGAGCAGACACTAGGGGTTTTTCAAGTTGGCCACCCCAGCCCTGGAGATGCAACGGCTGCCTTTCAACGTCCCCAGAGGTCCACAGGGTTTATTAGCGAGCGAGGTGAAGGACACCGACCGCTTTGTCCTAATCTTATCGCTGGACATTAACCTCCAACATGTTAGATTGACTAACAGGTGGTGGTGGGGGGAGCAGTCAGCAGTAAATATTTTTTAGACGTCCAAAGAGTAAATTGGTCCTCAAGAGACTCTCGACCCCTGGGCACTGGGTCCAATATGCCCCCGGCCTCTCAGAGGAACATATCTCTCTATATGGATTAATATTTATTTCTGAGGAATATATTCAGGGGTTGGGCCTGGTCCCCTTCTTGGCCCCTTCCAGTCCTGCTATTCCACAATTCTATAGGAAGCAGTGGGCAGGGCCTTTTCGGTGGCAGCTCCCCCGTTGTGGCCGGCTCTCCACAGTGAGGTCCAGCCACTGCGAGGTTCAGTCTTTCCTCTTCTCCCAGGCATCCAGTGGGGCATTTCCAGGTTCATTTCTTTCAAGTTTGCTTGCTAATTAGTGCCGGTCTAGTTGTCGATCTTTCAGAAGGGTTCAAGATATTTTAAATGTTTAACGGGCTGCTGGCAGGAGGTGGGGAAAGTTTGGCCAAAGGGTGGGACAGAAATGAAACGAATGACAGAAATGAAACGAATGTAAGGCCTTCACTGCTCCCCCTTCTTAGCGGTCAGTGCCAGGAGCAAGAGAAGACGCTGCCACCTGCCGGAAGATGGGATCCCCGTGAGACGCTTTCTAACATCTCGTCTTCCACAAATGTTGGAGCACGGCTGCCAGCGACCCCGGGCAGGGGTGCCAGGAGGTGCACTGGGGAACCTGGCCCAAGACCCAGTGCACAGTCTAACCCCGCAAGCTGCACCGTTGCGTCCGGATGCCAAGCACCGCGGGCCGAGGTTTGGCGTAACAAGAAAGGGCTCCGCGCGGAGCGTTGCCGGCCCCAGAAGCTCCTCCTCCGAAGTCTGGATGGAACTGGTTCAAGTCATGGCTGAGCTCAAAGGCGGCGGGCCTGATCCGCACAAACGCTTGCAACAGGCTAATGGCCCAGTGAAACACGGAACGGGCGACCCGGTCCAACACAGGCCTGCAGGAGGGACAGTGGCAGCTGCACACACAGAACCCCAGTGCAGCCCCCCATGGGCTGCTGGGCAAGATCAAGGTGTTCTTCTCACGGACTGGCCAGGAACACACCGGCGGGACCGTGCGGGGAGGACGGACAGGGCCGGGAACAAAATCCCTCCTGCTTTTCATTTTTATTATTATTATTATTATTATTATTATTATTATTATTATTATTATTATTATAACATTTCTATGCCTTTGAAACGGCCCATTGCAGACCAGTGAGTCGGCATCCGAAATTTGTGCGGAAATTTGGCAGGAAATTTATTATCTATTAAAAAAAAATCTTGTCCTGTCTTCTTCACAAATGTCACACCATGTTCCCCTGTGTTTGAAGAGCCATTGCGTGATTGAAGTTCAAGGATGCGTTGCATAGCCAACCCGTCCCAGAAAAACACCGAATCAGAGGGGGGAGGGGGGAAAAGAACACCCTGCCCATCTTCCACATCACTCCTGCTCCGATCTGGAAATCCACATTCTGGGAGGAGGGAAAAATTACCGGTTCCAGCAAAGAAATATCGAAGCAGAATGGGGTTCCTCCTTAAACAGAGGCTTCAGGAGTAGTGTTTTAATATGGAATTTAAACCTTTTTATTTAAACAGTATTTTAAACTTTAACAGTTTTTAAGTTTAGTCGCTCTGTTTGTTTTATTGTTTTGCTCTGTTTTATTATTGGAATTCTAGTTTTAATTGTCCTTTTAAATATTGTAAGCCATCCTGAGATCTTGTATAATAGGACGGCATACAAAAGCTTTTAATAAACAAATAAATTAGACGAGTCAGTCCCCCAAAATGGCAGGTCATGAGTGGAGCCGGCTGGAGCCAGAGGTCAGACTAGATGGCCCAGGAGACCCCTTCCGACTTGCTCTGTTTCTGTGTTTCTATGTTTCTAAAAACAAAACTCCTTGTCTGGATTAAACATTGGTTTCAATTTAGCAATTCTGTTTCCTGCATCTGAAGAAGCAAACAATGTCTGTGAAAGGGCATATTCAAATAAATTTATTTATTCAAATAAAGTTCTTAGACTTTAAGATGCTTTGAGGTTCTTTATTAACGGGACCCAAGCTTTATGGCAGAATTTTATGCATATTCAGGCAGAAAATAGCCCTGCAGCTCTCAGTTTGCCCCAGCCATCTGTTCTGGGAGTTGTAAGGCGTTTTTTCCTGTGTAAATATATATAGGATTGCATCATTGTTTCAGTCCCAGTCTTTGAATGTTTACTCAGAAGTCAGTCCCATTGCATTAAATGGAGTTTATTCCCTATCAAGGATCATGAGAATCACAGATTAGTAGAGCTGGAAGGGGCCAGAAGGCCATCGGGGCCAACTCCCTGCTGTTGTGGGACATTAACTACACAGTCCCAGTTAGATGACTCCCAGGACTCTGTGGAACCCATTCATTCCCAGGGTTGCCCTAAATTGGAGATGACTTATTGGTACCAATGAATTCTGCAGGGTCATGGACTGATGGAATGCACCTTACCAAGGAGCCATACACAGAGAAGACTTACAGAGGCAACATATTTAGGATGGGATGGTCAATGGGAAACATCTTTCTTTCACAAATTGAATAGGCTGGACACAGCTTGTCCACACAGGAATGTCTCTTGTGCTCCCACGGTCCCCTGCCTCCAAAATCTGGCTGCAATGGTGTCACCATTTAATACTGTGCAGTCCGATCCAACACTTTTAGATGAAGCCAAGCCTCAGGTTTGCAGTCTTATTCTCACTTACCTGCTTAGGGTAAACCCCAACCCATACATGTTCACTGGAAAAGTCACCACGCTGCGCGCAAGGAAACTTACTCCCAAGCAAACCTACAGAAGATTGCATGCTTCTTTGGGAGGGAGCTCCTATTGAGGCTGTGGGCTTAGCTCTTTTCCAGATTGTCTAGGCTGGCATGTACTTTTGAGCTGAGCGCATTGATTGCTTTAGCTTTCAAATCAGTATTTCCCCCCTGTCCCTTTCAAAGGATTTTATCAGTCTGGGATTTAGTGAAGAGGCTGGTTTGTGAATCGCATTTCAGACACCTTTGGGGACATGGACTGTCCCTCTCAGTTAAGGAGACACTCCTGTACTCTTGGACTCACTTTTCCAGGGTGTTTTTGGCACTGCTGGGAAGCCACAACACTCTCCTTGGTCTTGCCATCGATCCCTGCGGAGAAGTGGCAAAACCTAAGAACAACACTGGAATTGCACAAATGTGAATTCCTGTGGGCGTCTGGCTGCCCCCCGTAGGGCTTCCTAGCCCCAAGGAAGCCTCCCAAGCAAGACAGGAATGCAACAACACTCCCCCAGCCGTGTTCCCCAGTAACTGTCTACACAAGCACACTGCCTCTGCTGGTAGTGTACAACCATCAGGACTAGCAGCCTGGAATAGCTTTCGCCTCCATGAATGGGCTCACCGCGCCTTTGAAGCCGTCCAAATTGCCTCCCTGCATCTTGCAGAAGTGAATCACAGTTTAACTGCACCAGGTGAACTTCAGAAATCCCGTGTGCTTTTAATTAATGCTATCGTGGGCGAAACAAAATTTGATTCCAAATTTGCGATCATGGTTTACCTTGGGCATAATTAGACATTAGAAAGGGTCCAGAGGAGGGCAACAAAGATGGCCCAGGGTTTGGAGACACTGCCCTGTGAGGAGAAACTGAGGGAACTGAGCATGTTCAGCCTTGAGAGGAAAAGACTGAGGGAGGACATGAGATCCCTCTAGAAGTCCCTCAAAGACTGTCACAAAGGGGAAGGTCAGGATCTCTTCTTGCTGATGCCAGAGCAGAATAACCAACTCAAGTTGCAACAACTGAGGTTCAGGCTGGGCATCAGGAAGAGCTTCCTCACTGCCAGAGCAACACGGCAGTGGGACCAGCTGCCTGGAGAGGTGGGGGGCGCTCCCACACTGGAGGCATCCTAGATGGCCGAGTGGGATGCTGCGAATTGGTGTCCAGCAACAGCAGGGGGTTGGACTTGATGGCCTTCATGGTCCCTTCCAACCCTACTATTCTATGATACTATGAATGCCGGGCATGTTTAGTTGGCGAAGAAGCCCTAGACCTCCCAGCACCGTTGGCTGGGAGTTCCAGGGTTCATCTGAGCATGTGCAAAGCATGGGGAGCAGCCCTGCAACCTGCTCCCTTCAGGGCGGGACGGACAGGCACGCGGGTTTCAAGTGCGGCCAGGCGAATTCGCAGCTTGGGTCACGTTGCGACGCTTTGGAACGTTGAGAGGCGGGGGCAACATTTTGGCCCAATCACAGGGAGAGAAAAAGCGACCGCGTGACGTGGCTTCGGAATGCGGAAGTGTGCGCAACATGGCTATCCAATCAGGAGCCTGGCTGACTTCCGCTCCGACGCCTGGCTGGGACAGGGGACCGTCGGGAGGGGCTCTGCCCGCTTTAAAGATGGCCCCCGGAGGAACAGACCGGGTGGTGGGCAGGAAACACTCTTCCTAAAAAGAGGGCGGGGGAGGGGCAAAATGGCTGCCCCCATCAAGATCACCGAGTGGGGGGTTATTGGGGTCTGGGCTTGCAGCTAACGCGCCTTCTCCCGCCCCCGCTGCGCCTTACCTGCCTTGCCAGGACATTGTCGGGTGCTTGGTGCCGGGGGGGGGGTCTGCCTTCTGGAGCCGCCTTTCTATGCACGCCCCAGATCTTGCCTTCACCCCGCCTGGCACATCCAGGATGCTCCATTGACGGTCTCCTCGCTCGGCTCTCCCGGAGCGCGCAAAACCGCCCCGCTTGGCTGGGGGATCATGTCCAGACAGGGCTGCCCGCTGCACCCCCGTGGCCTCCACCTGCTGATCCTAAGCTGCTGCTTTGTGTGACCGGGATCCCACTGCGCCTTCACCCCCTCCGAACTTAAAAGAGCGAGAGCCGGGAGAGCGGGCACGGCTGCCCTGAGGGTTTTTCAAAAGCCGCATGGGTCAGCATTTGGGCTGAGCGTGTGGGGGGTTAGAAGGGGCCATGGGGAATGTGGTGTCCCCTGTGCCTGGCCTGCGAAGAGGGCTTCGTCGCGAGGAGCCCATCAGCAACCCGGGCAGCTTTGATGAACTCCACCGAAAGTGCAAAGGTAAGCCTTCCCTCCTTGTCGCTAAAGCACGGAGGAGCCCCAGTACCCCTGCGGGCCAGGTTTAATCAGGTGTAGATGGGGAGGGTGGAGTCCTACAGCTCCCAGGATTCCCCATCTAGCAGGCTGGGGAATTCTGGGAGTTGTAGGACTTCTTTTCCTCCCAGGTATCCATACACAGAACTGTGCCCTGAACCATTAGACTGTATCATGATTGCAATACTTGGAATCAAAGTTCCATTAGCCCAAGATGGATTTGATTAAAAGTTTAATGAAAACCTTAGCAGATTTAATTAAAATCTTTAACGCCTGAAGCACTTCCTCAGCACAGAATTTCACTTGGCTAGGAACTGTGGGATTTTTTTCTGTGTTAGTGTGAGTGCGTGCAAGACTGTGCTCCAGGGTGTGTCATGACGGGGAAACCTGGATTTTGGCAGTTCTTTGGCCTGAACCAGCCTTAATAATGAAGAAAAACCTCACAAACTATATCTGGTAGCTTGCACGCTACTTCTGGCAGTTGTTCCTGAGCGAGGCCAAATCTAAATGTTGCTTCTGCTGGTTTCTTGTTCTGCTTTAGAAGTCTTCCCTCAACAAATGGAAGGAGTCAAGCTAGTCATTAATAAATCCCTCAGCAGCCATTTTCAGGTGGGTATCTTAGCTGAGTAGTTGGACACTTGCTTTGCATGAAGAAGATCATTCCTAGTTCTCAGGTAGCAACTGATGTGGAAAGACCCCTTACCTGACATAGGTGAGGGACCACTGCTGGCCAGGAAAGGCGATTCTGGACCAGGTGGACAGACAGCAGAAGGCAGCCTTCTAAGCTCTGTCTGAGCCACCTTATATCCTGCCTTTCCATCAGTCTTGCTCCAGAGGTGGGCCGGTGTTGCTGACTTGATAGCCTGGCATGTTCCTTGCATGCGTGTTTCAGCATCTTCTGTAGTCCCAGCTCAGCTGGTAAATTTCTAAATTCATTGCAGAGGCATCAGATGTGGGCATGAGGGCTCTCCAGTCTTCAAGGCCTCCATGCCAAATTCGCACGTGGTTCAGCATGGGCAAAACCAAGCCTTGAAGCAGGAGTTGGTGGTTTTGCGAACTCCTTCACCCTGGCAGATCCCAGAGCTCCCAAAACTGTATGTGGGCACCTGCTCTTCCCATCTGTGGGGTCATTGCTGCCATTTCTCAAAAGGGACACAGTGTTTTCTCCTGCCACACCCTGGGGGGGGGGGCGGGCATCTTTTTTCAAGTCTTCTGCTTCAACCACTTGACCCCGCCATGGGCCGGTCTGCTTCCAGGTCACGCACACCATTCACATGAGCACAATTGGCCAGTCAAGCTACCACTTCAACGCAACCTTTGTGGGGGACCAGCAACTGAGCCCTACGGAGGTGAGGAAAGAGTCTTTTTTCTTTAGGACAGGGTGGAAAACGAGAATTAGGGAGGGCGGTAGGACCCTTGACTTTAATTCTCAAGGGAGATGCATGTCATTTTGGGGTCTCTCTTCCCTTGCTGTCTGAACATTCAGCTCAAAGAGGGATCCCAGCCTTAACCATCCAGGACTAACGACCTCCCTAACAAAGACTGGTCATCTTCTTAATACAGATTTTTTTAAAATAAAGGAAAATATGCTGATTCCCCCCCCCCTCATCTGCCCCTCCTACTGGGTGGTGCAAAGGGGCAGCCGGAAAAACCCAAGTGCCTGGTTCTTTCTGTCTGCCTTCCTCCCTGTAGGCCTTCCCGACGCTCATTGGCGATATCAGCAATGCCGGAAGCCTCAATGCTCAGGTGCTTCATTTACTGGCGGAGCGGATACGAACAAAGGCCATATTCCAGGTAATGCTCGCTCTCCCTCCCTCCAGGGCCACCTTGACAGCATTTTGGGCCCCGGGCAAAGCGGTGCGCTGGCGCCCCCATGACAAGCTCAGTGCCGGTGTGTATCAGGAACGATACAAAGCAGAAAAGAACTTAAATTAGCAATGAGTGAAGAGACCGTACGCCTTTGATCAGTATGTATCATATATGATACAAGCTGCATTGAAGGGTTAACATACACAGGTTAGTATGGGGCCCACGGGCAAGTGCCCATCAGGCCCATGGGCTAAGACGGCCCTGTCTCCCTCCCTCCCTCCCTCCCTCCAGATGGTTGCCCTGCGCTGGATTTGAACTGCAGCCCCCATTATCCCCGCTGGGTGGGGATGATAGGAGTTGCAGCCTGACAACTTGTGGCCCCTGAAATTCCCGCCACAGAATCATGCTTCACAGGGCTCTTCCCCACCTGTGCGGTTGGTCAGTCCGTCCATCCGTCTCCCGGTCGTTGGTTGTGGGGTGGTGTGGGAACGAACGAACAAACCTGCCATGGTTCAGCCAGAGCACAAGGAGGAGGCCATTGAACATAGCCCTGGCCTTTGCTGTGGAGATCAAGCCCTGTCTGGGTCGCACCGCTTCAAACTGGAAGTCTTACGATGGGCCTGTTTTTGAACGAATTCCCCGCACCTTGAAAGTTAGGGCATCACTGACCTGGCATGCTAGCTTTCTACATGAAGGGCGTTTTGCTGTTCGTGGAGATGCCGTCGCTTGTGCCTTTTCTTTCCCCCGGGACCCAGGTGCCGGTTTGCCACCGCTCTGACAATTAGGCCTCGGTCCTGTTTCAAAGAGTCCCTTCACTCCTCGCCCCGTTTTGTCTACCTTTTCTTTCAGACGCAGCAGTCCAAATTTGTGACTTGGCAGTTCGATACTGAATACCGGGGGGAGGACTACACGGCCACGCTGACGCTGGGCAACCCTGACCTGATCAGCGAATCGAGTGAGTGAGTGCCAGGCCGGGTTGACACCCCTCTGCAGCTATCGGGGGCGGGGGGTGCAATCTGCCCCCTCCGTTTTCTTTCTCTTGGCTCTGCACTTTGCGTTGGCACTCCTTAGCTGCTTACGTGGCTGTGTGCGTGTGTGTGGGGGGGGGGAAGCAGAGGCGAACCCCAAATCATAAACAGCAACCCAGGTTTATTTCCTGGTGATCATTCCCCCTTCCTGATCGTTAATCTCCTGTAGGAGCTGGGAAATTTGGCCCAGTGACTCGCGTTCTGCTGTTGCTTTGGCATGGGGAAGCGCCTTGCGGGGCCTTCCCCAGTGTCTCGCCCCACAGGAGGGTGAGCAACCTGTAGAACCCAGCATGTGGAAGCCACAGCTCCCATCATCCTTCATCGTGTGCTGGCTAGGGCTGATGAGCGCTGGGGTCCCAACATCTGGAGAGCCCAGGAGGGGATCACTGCTGCTCCAGCCACTGAAAAACCGCCCGTCTCTGCATCGCTTCCCTCTCTACCGGCGGGGAACACGCGTGGTCGTCTCGAGTCCGTGGGTGTGAGCGTGGCGTCCGTTTCTGCCCGCATCTCTTCTTGCAAGGGCGGGGAGAGGCAGGGGCCGCACCCTGTGCCTCAGACCGCGATGGCCTTTCCCTCTTCGCAGTCATCCTGGTGGCGCACTTCCTGCAGAGCGTGACCTCGCGCCTGGTCCTCGGCGGGGAGATGGTCTACCATCGGCGGCCGGGGGAAGAGGGAGCCTTCATCACCCTGGCCGGGAAGTACACAGGTGGGTCCTTTTTGCTGGAGATAATTGGGACTCGGAGGGTAAACATCCTGGCGAGTTGTTTCATCGCATCCCATCCATACTGTGGCACTGGGCGGTTTGCATTATAGCGCCCATCCCTCTTGCCACGAGCCATGCCGTCCAGGGATGATAGGAGTTGTAGTACAAAGGCCTCTGGGCCGAGCATCGTGTTGTCGGCTTCCCTGATCTGTGTCGTTTTCCAAGTGTATCTTCCTGTTACTTCTTTCCCGGCATCGAGCGAGACTAGGAAGAGCCAATTCAAATTTAGGGAGGCCTGTGGGGAAAATGGTTCAGCCCTCTTGGGACTGTACCATTTCAGAATGTGGGGGCCAGGAGGAGTTACACGGATGAGTCCTCCCTTTGACAAAGTGGGTGGCAAGGGTCGCGATGGCTGCCTTCGTCTGTTCCCGGCCCCTTTCGGAAATCAGCAGGGGACTAATTCTCAAAAAATCCTTCCCACACTTGCAGTTATCCATCAGGAGCAGATTTGGGATAGAACCAGTGGAAAATGTGTTCCCAGAACTTCACCACCACAAGTTGCGGTAGTGGCTTGGCTGGTCCGAAGGGAATTCCGTATTAAACCTTGCAAGGACGTGTCTCGTCACTGTGCTTTTCCTTCCCTCTTCATCTTTTCTCCCTCTGTGCGGTGGGAAGAAATCTGCCCCAAACCTCTCCCAGTTTTCTTGGGTCGCAGGTTCCAGATAATCCAGGGACAGTGTGGGAGGGAGACGAAACTGATTGTGGCTAACTGTCTAGCAGGTGCTTCTTTGATCTAAGAAATCACACGGCCTTTCAGGAGATGATGCCCATGGCATATCACAAAGGTGTCTCTGTGCCTCTCCTCCGGCCCCTCTCAGTGCGCTTTTCTCCCCATCTGCCACAGCTCTCAAATGGGTAGCCACGCTCAACCTTGGATACGGCGGTGCTCACGCCAGCTACTATCATCGGGCCAACGACCAGGTAATTTGAACGGGCGTGTTATCTCCTTTCCTCCTCGCTCCTTCTCTGCCCCTAGTTATTTTGGCCCGCTGGCTCCTCTGATTCCACCTCTGCTTTTTTCCCCACCAGATCCAGGTTGGGGTGGAATTTGAGGCCAACACACGGCTGCAAGACACGAATTTTGCCTTCGGCTATCAGCTGACACTGCCGCAGGCCAATGTGGTTTTCAGAGGTGGGTCTGAGTCAGGATGGTTTAGCGCTCAAAGCAGAGTTCAACAACAACGGTTCTCTCTCTTGTTCCTCTTCAACAGATCCTGCCTCTTAGGGCCTGTTTTATACCTGACTTGAAGCCAGGATTTGTTTGGCTCCTGTTTGGAACCATGGTTTGAAGCTGGTTTATGAATCCTGGCTTGTTCTAACCGAGGTTAAACCTGAATCCAGAATCCTGGCTTACCCAACCAGGTTTGCCCAGCCCTCTCGCCAGTCCACAGAGGTGGAAGAGCAGCTAAAAATGACAAACCGCTCTCACTTGTTTTCCCCCACAAATACCACGTTTTTTTTCTTCCTGGCAATTATCCTCCTCCAAATTCCAACCCACATTGGAAAATACCCATTTCACAGAAGGAAACTCAGAGCTGCTTGGGGAAACCCATGGAGGTAAAAAAAACACTCATATTGAAATGGGCTCCTAGCAACACTTTCCTCAGGAGTATGTAACACACACCAAGACTGGGTTCAGACAACACATAAGCCATGGTCCTTTAGAAGCCAGGTTTGTTGTGGTGTCAGAACCCAGCAATATGGTTTGTTGATCATGGACAAGCCACTCTGTCTAGGTTTAGACAACCATGGTTTTTAAAATGACAGGGCTTGTTACCTTGCCTGAATCCAGCCACAGATAATCCCTGCTTACAACACAGCCGCAAAATACGCACCCACAGCGAATAAAATGGAAAAAATTAGGGAGATACTGTTAGATGGAAGAAGATGCAGAGGGAAAGAAAACTGGGAATAGGCCAAATAAGCAAGAACTCTGCTTGTCGGGAAAATTAACTTGGGTTCGGCAGGTAAAACTAATCTGGGACTGTGCAAAGCAGCCAACCTCGAGGGTTCTTTTGTCGGTGATGGTGCGCTCCATTTTGTTCCAAGTGCTTAACTTGCTCCATGGATGTGCCTTCCCACCTACACACACAGTCCAGTGGTCGGAAGATCTTCCGAGACGGGGAATGAGCTTCTGGGACCAGCTCCGAGGCCCCAAGGGACTCTGCATGAGACTGAAAGACCGAGCCCTCCTTCGGAAGAGAAACAACCCGATTGCGGCTCCTTGTTGGTGGGGAAGGAGCTTGTAGGATATTTTTTAAATGTTGTGGGGGACCTTTGCTGCTTCAGCTGCCCGCTTTCTTTCCTTTTTCCTTCCTTGTAGGATTTCTGGATAGTAACTGGTGTGTAGGGGCTGTCCTGGAGAAGAAGCTGCCTCCGCTGCCGGTCACCCTGGCCCTGGGCGCGTTCCTCAACCACTGGAAGCACCGGTTCCACTGTGGCTTCAGCATCATCGTGGGTTGAACCCCCCGGGGCCGGTCTCCCCTCGCAAGAGGGCCGTTGGATTTCACTGGGTGAACCTGGCGTGGGAAGAGGGGCCCATCCGCATATGCGCCGGTGTGTGGTGTTTGGGCGCAGCGGCGCGTTCCTGAACGGGCACATGCATGCGGCGGGGATGACGGAGGTGATTCTGAGATCTGGCGCGGCATTCCTCTGAGAGCACCCACGCTGCCTCCGGCCTCGAAGAGGGCTGGCCGGTTTGTTTTTTTGACACGCAATGCTGCAAGATGGCTCTTTCCTCTCCCGGCCCGGCCCGGCCCGGCGCTCTGTGTGACTCCCGCTGGGTTTGGAGGGCATTCCCGCCGGGACTGGACGCTGTCTCCGAGCTCTGAATTTCGCAGGGTCCACAATGCAGTGGGACACGGTTGCTGTGCCTGCTGGGTCTGTGATGAGGGCAAAAGTTGTAGCTTCTGTGTAATGGCGACTTGGAATCCAATAAAAATCATGCCTGGGGTTTCCCCATCTTGAGAAGGAAAGTCCGTGTCGCTCTTATTTGGGCTGGGTGGGAGCAAAGCTCCGTTCAGAAAAGCACCCCCCCCCCCACCCCCCGGGCTGCTGGATGTGTAGAAACATGGCCTTTCGATGTTCTGGGTCCATCTGTCCATCAGCCCTAGCCAGCACAGTGGGGGAATATGGGAGTTGGAGTGTGAAAGGTCTGGTTGGGCTCCAGCTTTGCCTGAAACAGTCCTGCCCATTCGGACTTCTAGTATTTAGAAAAATGCAGCTTTTTAAAGGCGTACCCCCCACTAATTGGACATCAGATTAAAAAATATTTTAAGTGGATGCTTCTGAAAGCTGCCAGTGGCCGCGTGGAAGCAGAAATGCCTTTTCTTGGTCATGTCAGCAGCAACCGCTGTTTGCCAGGAAATTCTCCCAGTTTTTTGTTTGTTTAAAGAAATACAATACTAGAAGCTTTGGATCTAGTGGTCCCTGAAGTGCAAGAGAAGTTAAAGGGCTGGGCAGGTGTGTTCAGCAAAGCTGAGGCTTCAGGCAGCATCCGACACCCTCAGCTGGCCGGGATCATCTTTGCAGGGGGCTGGCTGGACCGATCGGCGGCTGTAGGATCAGCTCCGTGGGCTCTGAGCAGGCGGAGGAGAAAAACTGTTCCTGCCCCGGGGGAACAAGACGGGTGGACGGGGCCGGTTCCAGGTTCTGGCGGCCTGTGACCAGCCCTCCGTGGGCCCCTCCGGCAGCCCCTCTGCCCTTCCTCTGCCAAGACTCCCACTCCGACTTGCGCTCCTCCTCGCGGTGGACAGGCAGGGAGCAAGTCTGCTTCCAAGCATCGCTGGGCCAGGTGTGGATGGAGCACCTGGCAAAGGTGCCAAGGGGGATCGGCCAATCTGGGGCTCCTCTCGCTCGGACGAGAGGCCCACCCTGATGCCGAGCCTGAGCGGAGTGACCCGGCCCTGTTTCTTACCTTCCCCTTCACTCCCACGCCTCGGAAGCATATTCCTTCCGAGGAACGCTTGCAAGTCCCGTCCTCCGGAGCTGAGGAAGGGGCTCGTGGAGCCGCGAAACACCATCGAGACCCTCCTCAATTCAGGCTTTAGCTGATGATTTCCGACAGCAGCGGCGTCATGGAGGTGAGGTTCTGGGTGTCCCGGAAGTGCAGGATCTGACGCGTGTTCTCAGCTTTGAGGGTCTGTAGCTCTGTCAGCAGCAGGACAAGCTTGGCAAAGAGGAACCTGGAGGAAAAGCCACGGCGGGGTCAGCTGTTGCTTCCCACCCACTCTGTCCGCCCTTTCCCCCCGTCTGTGGTTCAAGAGTTACCGTCCCTTTCCACTCCTTCCACTGATCCGTCTTCAAAGGGATGCCCCCTTGGCAAGACGCATGTTCACCCGCCCTGTTCCGCTTGCTTTTAGGAATACACAGATCTGTGAATGCACTACATTTTCTGGTTGCTGGAACGAGGGATTCCAGTGGGCCTTTTAAAAGGCGGATGAAAAAGGAAAGCAGCGAAAACATCGACTCGACGGAGTCAAAAGCTTACGAGGCACTGAAGTGAAAAGCCAACTTAAAAGCTTTGGTGCCCTCGAGGTGGGACTTCTGGGCAGAAGTCCAGGGCCGCGTTCTGCAGTTTGAGTGGGAAGATCTGCCCCCACTGCAAAAATTTCCAATTGGCCAAATTGTAAACGAGTGCATGCAACTTATCTATAGAGCTGGGAGGAAAGGCTGGAAGACCAGTGTTTAAAATCACCAAATTGCAGCGCTGCTTAAATGTCCTGCAATCCTGGAGGAAAGCCAGAAGGTGCGACCCTCTTGCCCCCACTGGAAGGAGGTACCAGAAAGAAAAGATGAGCTGAGCATGAACAGGCCACGGAGCCATCTAATCCTGCGTTCTGTTGCTGCAGCCACTCAACCAGTTCCCCACAGCAACCCACAAACGGAAGAGGAGAGCCCCGCCACCCTCATGCCCAAGTTCCCCAGCAGCTGGGGAACATAAGCCGCCTGCCTCTGGTGCTGGAGGTAGCACGGAGCCTTGAGGACTAGTGGCATGCAGAGCCTTCTCCCTGAAATTGGCCCCTCCCCTTTTACAGCCACCCAAGTGGGTGGCCTTCGCTACGGCTGGGCATATGAATTCCTTGGCCGGCCCCAAATTTCCAAGCATTCGGCTTTGTGGGCTGTGACCTCTCTGAGCTCCAGTATTGTGAGAGGGACAGAAGCGTCTCCGCCTCTCCACTTTCTCTGCCCGCGGCTCTCTCAGCCAAACGGCCCCAGTCACTGCAGCCCCGAAGAACTGGGGTCCGGAATGCCTCACGGGTTGATCCTGAAGCTTTCCCCTGCCTTTCCCCGCTCACCTGCCTTCGGACGGAGGGTGCTGCTGGTCGATGTGGCGCTTCAAAGTGAGGGCGATTTTGTCCTGGGCGCGGTCGATCTCCTCTCGCCGCAGGATGTTCGGGTGCTCTGCAAAGTGTCAGGCTTGGGCATGAGAGACCAGGCAGAGGAGAGACAGGGTTGTGAGGCTGGGACCCCCTTGCCCCCCAAGCCTGGGGCAGCCCCTGTGATGGATCCCAAACTTCCTGCTTTCCCCCAACCACTAAGGTACTAAGGTCCATATTTATTCATTAGGACATTGCCATCCTCCTCCTCCCCATATTACCTCCACAACAACCTTGTGAGGTAGGCCAGGTGGAGATTCAGTGACTGGCCCCAGAGTCACCCGATGAGTCTCCCAGCCAAATGCGGGGCTTGAATCCAGGTTTCTCAGGTCCCAGCCCAACATTTGAACCACTCAACAGATTGGATCTCCCTAGAATGTTCTTTTCAGGCGCGGCTCATGCAGTAAGAGCCTTAAGCCACAATTTGAAGGCCGTCCTGGGATGTTTTCTAAAGGACGGGATCTAAATATTGTAATTAAATTAAAATTAAAATTAAATTTGCTGGTATAGGAGGAATTTTGCTCCCTCCGCTTCTGCCTTCAGCCCTGCATCAAATGCGGACCCAGAAGCTGCTTCAAAATGAATTTGGCCTTCAGACCAAAGAATTCTCTGCACCTTGTTTTACAGACTAGCCTTCTTATGGTATAAACTTTCATGAATCAACTCTCCATCTTTTCCTGATTTGTATGTGCATCTGGGTTTGGAGAGAAACAAGACAGTTTGGGAGGCGATAAGCCACTTAATGCAGCTCATGTGAAATTATGGGGTTTCTTTTTTCCCCTCTTTTCCCCCTCCCTTTCTAAAATCCACCAAGGCAGTTTGCAAAACTTTCAGACTGTAACACCCCTAAGCAAACAAGCGACACTAAAGAATTGTAAAGATAAAAACAAACATGAAAAGCCAGAATAAGCACGCTTCGTGTGTTGTCATTTTCAAAAGAAGATAGTACCCAAGTTCAGACAAGCTCAGGAAAACATTGAAAGCCTTTGGGAAAAGATGCGAAACTCTTTTAATGATGACAGATTTCTCCAAATCAGAAAGAGACCAAAGTACTTGACAATGTGAATTGTGCCCTTCTTGGCATGAATGGTAATTTTTTGAGATCTCTGGTGTTTAGGGTATGGGGTGAGGTGTTTTTCCAAGATCTTTTTGAGAGTTTTGGGGTGGGTGTGTTTTGGAAAAGACTTGCATGTAAGGAGAAGAGTGAAATCCATATATTGAGGTACAAGTGTTCTTTAGACCTTAAGGTTTTTTTTATTTTTTGCGAGAGGATGGTACTTTTGCACGTAAGGAATGGCCTAGAATCTGGAGCTATGGGGTACCATTTTATTAATTAATTTATTTATTTAAAATATTTTTACCCTGTCCTACACGGAAATCATCCCAGGACGGCTTACAATACTGAGAACAATAAATAAACAACATATATAATAACAAACAAAAATCAAAACGTGACTATAAAGATAATAAAACCAAGTTAAAATTCCTCCATCCTTAAAATGATGGGTAAATAAAAAGGTTTTTACCTGGAGCCGAAAAGAATATAAAGTCGGCGCCAGGCGAACCTCTCTGGGGAGCGCGTTCCACAGTCGGGGAGCCACCGCAGAGCAGGCCCTGCTCTGGGTATTTACCCTCTTTACCTCCCTCAGGGAGGGTTCCCGGAGCAGGGTCTCCCCTACAGATCTTAGCGGGCAGGAGGGCATCTAGGGAAGGAGATGTCCCTTCAGGTATCCTGAAACATGGGGTGGCTTACCTGGGTAGAAGAGCACCAAAGCCTGTAGCAGGATGTATTCAGTCTCATGCAAGCACAGCCTCTTCAGACTGATGTGGAACTTCAGAAGTGACTCCAGATAAACCTGCTGGAACCCCGCTGAAAGATCAAGGGTCGAACGGATGAGGATTGCGTGGCCGGGGGGCCGCTGCTAAGGCAGAGTAATTTCCCTGGGGATTTAAAGTCCTGCTCCGCTTCGAGGCCCCTTGGCCATGGTAAATGCCTCCCCGTGGCCACACGAGGGTGCATTCACACTGTATAAGCCGCCATGGATATTTTGCGGTCCAGCTTATTCCGGAAGGTGGCAAGAGGCAGGCCTCTAGGGGCAGACCTGCAAAGAAGCCTTGTGGGGTCCCCCATACCCACCTTTAATTTATTATATTCCTACTCCACCTCTTGGCCTCACAAGGAGCCCAAGGGGACGTCAAGGACTCTCCTCTTCCATCCTGCATGCGCACAACAACCCTGTGAGGTAGGCTAGGCGGAGAGTCCCTGACTGACCCAGAGTCGCCCTGTGAGCTTCGGGGCTGAGTGGGGTCTAGAACCCGGGTCTTCTGAGCCACGCAGCTGGGGCCAAACCTTCTGGCCGGCGTCTAGGGCCCCGCAGCCCAGCCTAGCCCTCCCCCCTCCAGAGGGCAGGGTCGGTGGGGCCAAAACCAAGCAGGCCCTGTGCTGCAGGTGTATCCACAGGTGTACCACATCTCTGCGTTACTTGGACCCTTGCATTCATCCTGGAAAGGGGCAATAAGATTGTAACTTAAAGGGAGCCCCCATAAAAGCAGAGTGCGGAGTCAAGGATGATTTGGCTGCACCCCTGCAGCCGTCCAGGGTTCGTGTCTTGGCGGAGAGATGCCGAAGTTCTCACGACTCACCCAAGGCGCCATCCTTGATGGTGTAGCAGTGGGGACCGCATGCCCAGGACATGGTCTCCTCGTCGAAGAAGGTGTTGAACTGGATCAGGCTCACATCGAGGGCGGACCCCTTCAGAAGCGAGATCTGGTCATCGATTGGCAAACATCTGGTGAATATGTGCAGGAGAGGAAAGATTATAACTCGCCGGCACCTGCTCAAAGCTTTGCGACAGATCTCTTGCAGTGTGGAGCTTGCAGGACCAGATCTAATTTTTATTTATTTTATTTATTAGGATATTTTTATCCCGTCCATTCTGGTCCATCTCTGGATGGCTTGCAAGATAAAACACCTAATAAATACATCCATCAACAACAAAAGAACACATGACTGAGGATACCCATAAAATTGCAATTAAAATATTTAAACTTTAAAATAGCGGGTAAATAAAAAGGTCTTGACCTGGCGCTGGAAAGCATATAACGTCGGTGCCAGGCGAACCTCTCTGGGAGCGCATTCCAGAGCTGGGGTGCCAATGCAGAGAAGGCCCTGCTCCGAGTGTTCTCTCTCCTAACCACCTTCAAGGAGGGTTCCCAGAGGAAGGCCTCTGCTGCAGATCTTAAGGGGCAGGGGGGCATGTAGGGAAAAAGGCGTTCCTTCAGGAATCCTGGCCTGTTGGGACCAGCTGCTGCTCAGCAGGAATTTGCTAGGCTTGGGAGCCACGGGATCTTGGAGCGGGATGCATTTCCCAGGCCCCGGGTGTTTACTGCTGGCAATGGGGGTGTTTTTCCCACTGAGCTTAATTGCTGTGCGGGGGTCACATTGAAGGGGCTGCAACCGAGGAGAGAGGGGCTAAAGCTCCCGTTTCCAGCATGTGAGGGTTTGCCCGGCCTGCTTTGATCTGAGTCCAAGCTGGATTGTGCCAAAGAGACTTCTGTTTTTCTGCTTGTCTGGCATTTCTTGCAGCGAGGAAACCTAGCCAAGAATCATACAGAAGACAGGGGAAGTCTATCTGATGAACCCTGCACCCAGTCCCTTGGGGTCCCGCACTCCTGTAATATAGAAGGTGGGTCACTGAAGGCAGTGGGAGCCCAAATTTCGGCCTGGGGTGGCCAAACCATTGGACACGGGCCAAAAGCAGCTCACAGGCCACCAACCTGAAAGACGGGATAGCTTTGGCAAACTGGATCACTTGTTGAATCATGTAGGTGCTGAGGTCGGCAAAGAGCGGCAACATGGAGAAGACATCCGGTAGCACCTCCTCCATGGGCTCCTGGGGACTCGAGGGGCACGACGGAAGACACGGGTCAGGTGCGGGACTCCACGGTCTCGGGCTGTGGATGGACAGGCGCACCGGCGTCTGAAGAAAAAGGCAGGTTAAGAGGGGCTCACCGTGGCCACAAGCCTCTGTTTCTCTGGGCCATGCTTGGGACAGCCTGAGCGGTCTTTTCATCTTTGCTAAGTGCCTAGTCCTCATGAAGACATTTTAAAAGCAGGCCAGCCTTTCACTTGGGACTCTGTGAGGAAAAAGGCTCATTGACAGAAGTTGTTCAGCAGAGTCCCTTCCATTCTCTCTCTCGCCTCCCATTTTTGATTTATTTTGCAGTAAAGATCTGCAAAGAAACCTTTGGGAAAAGCCTCGGAAAGCTCTCAGGATGCAAATTCAGGAGTGACGTTCAGACTGTTTAGAAGGTGAGGAAAGTGGAACTAAAGGCAGGAGGCCACCAAACCATCCGTGATGAAGGAAGAGAGAGCAGCATGGGACATGTTTTCCTCATTTGAAGTGTGCCAAGACATTTTGCCGGCTTTGCCACAAGGACACAAGGACTCGCGTCTACTGTGACTTGTGGCCACGCAGATTTTCTGCCACAACTGTTGTTTCCTTCACGATATTTCCATACAAAGGCAGATGCATGAGGAAGCTTGTTTGTTTCAGACAAGAATTTACCAATATTTACACATTTCTTCCTCTATGGGACAGAAAAATTTGGTTTTATTTTTCAAAGAAATGTGGGAGGGAGCAAAATGGATCGATTTGTCTCTTTCCAGCCAGTGGCACTGTGAGTAATAAACCTACAAGTACAGACCCACAGAAGTGCAGTTCTTTGGCTTACTATTCAGAGGTGTTTCGAAGCCCTTCTGTTTGAACCCAAGGCACGGTCTGGAAATACAAGACTCGGACTCCGGCACCTGGCCAGAACCAAGCCCAGCCTAAACCACAGGTAGGTTTGCTAGGAAGACGCCAACACCTGTGTCTGTGGCACACCTGGTAGTTGACGAACTGCGAGAAGCTGGAGTCGAAGTTTTTCTTGTGCGCTTCGGTGAGGACCCCGATCAGCTGCTCCTGCTCGGCCGTGAGGCCTTTTTCCGTGGCCAGCTCCGCCGTGGGACGCAGCTGCTGGTGCTTCTGTTGCCGCAGGGCCCGGCGCTCCCGCAAGGCGGCCTCCGACATGATCACTGGGGCAGAAGGAAGACGCCGCGCTCAGGATGGAGGACGCCACACCTCGGGTCTCCCTGATCCAAGCCCAGGCTCCAGCGGGGACACCCGGCGGCCGGGCCTCACCAAACCTGCCTCCCAAATCTGGGTTTGGCGGAGTCGGTTGGCCCCTAAGAATTAATTTCGGGCTGGATCGAGACTAATGGGATCTAGTCCAGTCTGGAATTTGTGGGGCTAAAGCCAGGGCTAATGTTTCCGATTGATTTCAATGGGCCCTGAGTTCAGTTTAGTTTGTATCCACCCCTCTATTTCCGTCTACTCTTTTAACCTCCCTGTTGGTTGTGTCAGCATCCCTGGACCGTTCTCCATGCACCCTCGGCTTATCCTTTGTCACAGCAACCCTGTGGTGTAGGTTAGGCTGAGAATTGATAGCTGGACTGCTGTTGCCCAGTGCCAGCCTCATAGGAGAGGAGGAGTTGAACCCGGGTCTCTCTGCTTCAATTCCCCTAACTCAGCCTTTCCCTTCCCTAGTCCCTTCCAGATGTTTGGGGGTCCTGGCTCCCAGCTGCCCCTGCCAACATGGTCAGGGATGCTGGAAACGTCCATCCAAAACATCTGGAGGGTGCCTAGTTGGGAGCAGTCAAATTGAAAATAAGTTTCTAGTCCTCATGATGCTTGGAGCCCTGTGGCGGGTATGGCACAACCCTGCTTCCTCTTTTTTTCTTTCCCCCTTGCCTGGTGCCAGCTGAACTAAGACAGCTCTCCCCTCTCTGCATACAGAGCCTGTGCACAGAAGCGAGTGCCTTCACACAACCAGGGAGGGAATCAGGTGCACGTCCGAGCTGCTTGCATCCATGCACCACAAAGCTGGAATACAGTTTGTTCTTTCCTTCCTTCCTTCCTTCCTTCCTTCCTTCCTTCCTTCCTTCCTTCCTTCCCAATAAAAATATTAAACCAAAGAGCAGCCAGGAATGGCTTCAAAGCTCTTTCTTTCTCCCTGCTGCCCCGAACAGCGGGATAAATCCTGCACACAAACTTGCCCCCAGCCTCATATCCTGACTTCCACAGCCCAGCTCGCCCGGCTTGCTCTGGGAAGCAAAACCTCGAGTGTTTTCTTCTGCAGCCGGAGGAGGAGATGAATCTATTCTTGCGCTCTGGCTCTTTCCAGCTTTCCCCGCTTCGAAGAGAGCCGACCCTGTGGGCCGGCCGGTGCAGAGGAAAGCTAGGCGGGGCGGCTGCGTCCACCCAAATTTCCCAGCCTGCGCTTCCCTGGGGAGATGATGCAGTTTTCCTGACAGCCGCCCGCCTCCTTCCCCGCCCTGCAGCTGCGGCCCCGCTGCCTCCCGCCTTCGCAGGGACGGCTTTGTGGAAGCCAAGCAGCTGGGAGCTCTTCCACCCTGCGGAGGGCGGCTTTCGCCCAAAGCCCCTCCAGCCAGCCAGGCTCCTCCACATCTTGGATGTCAGAAGCGCGGGGCGATTTTGGACCGGCGAAAAGCCAGGCGAGATCGGAGCAAGGGGGTCTCTGGCCCAGCATCCCCGGTGGCCCCCAGATCCTGCCGGGAAGCAGGGAATGCGCACGCACGACTCCCCGGTTGTGGCCCCATCCCTGGTTTCCAGGGGAATTTTTGGGAACCTCCGCTCTGCGCCAAATCGGCCCCACAACCGCAGCAGCAGCAGCAGGGGTGCGGAGCCCCGTTCGGCCCGAGGGCCGCATGCCAGTGGTGGGCGGGGCTAAGGGCCAAAGGGGCGGGGCTGGAAGGGCAAACAGACTGCATTTTAGGCTCAAGCGCTTCCCACCCCTAGCAGTGCCTTGGGGGAAACATTTCCATCTTTCTAGGATGGAGTGTGGGAAGAGAGCAAGGACTCGGTGGCCGGGGAACGGAGGATCCGGCCTGCAGGAAAGGCGGCTTTGGCCCCCAGCTCTGAGATCCTGCAACCCGGGACTAGAGCGTCACGGGAATCTCCTGGAATCCACCTCTCCCGGAATATGGCCCCATGCAGCTGAATTAGGGCATCTCTTCCACTGCTAAACCACTCCAGACTTTTGGGGTGCCGTGTGTCATGGTGATGAGCCTGTTGGACTGGGGACCTGGGATATGCAGGGTCCGGTTCCCACTTGGCTGCGGAGCTCACTGGGTGACTTTGGGCCAGTCACTGCCTCTCTGCCTGGCCTACCTCGTAGGGTTGTTGTGAGGGGGAAACCGGAGTGGAGGAGAATGGGGCGAGCTACCTGGCTCCTCGCAAGGGGGATATAAATACAACTGGAATCTCTCCCTGCTCAGATCTGCCCCCCTCCCCCCGAGAAGGACCAGACAGCCTTCCTATCTGGTCCAGGGTTCGGTTACCCGCCGGGATCAGCCAAATGCCCCGGGAAGGCCAGGTCTGCCTTTGCCCAGCGCCGGCTTCGTGCCCACAAACCGGCTCCAGCGCTGGGCCCAAAACAAGCCGAAAAGAGCCGGCCCACTTACTGTCCTTCCTCATGCCAGAGGACAGGCACTTCTCGTAGCGGCAGGCCTGGCACTGGCGCCGCTTGGCTTTGGTGATGCTGCAGTTTCGGGAGAACGGGCAGGTGAACTGGATGTCCTTGATGACCGTCCGCCTGCGGGAGCAACGGGGAACCGGAGACGGCCGTGAGCACCGGGGAGACGCAGAGCCCGACATTCCTGTCCCGGTGAGCACCGCCTGAAGCGAGAAGCCGCCGCTCGTCCCGAGCCAGCCCCTTCCCCGATGTCTGAACAGCACGGGGGGCCCCAGGCAAAGCAGTGCCCTGGGGCCCCTACGACAACGGCTGTTCGTTTTGGCCGTTTTCCCATTTTCCAAGGGTTAACATACACAGATTAGTATGGGGCCCACAGGCAAGTGCCCGTCAGGCCCCTGCGTGAAGACGGCCCTGACCGGGGTCCTGCAGGGGGCAGGGCGGTGGACCTGATAGCCCTCTTGGCCCTTTGCACCTCTACTATTTTCTGAAACAAACACAGAAATACAGATCGCTCCACATGAGTCCCTACGTGCCGGCCCGCCCCTTGAGATCTGAGGCAGAGGCCTGTCCCCCGGAGCCCTCCTTGAAGGAGATCAGGAGGGTAGCTACCCAGAGCAGGGCCTGTTCAGTGGTGGCGCCCCGGCTGCAGAACACGCTCCCCGGGGAGGTTCGCCTGGCGCCAACGCTTCTTTCCTTTCGGCACCAGGTGAAACCCTTTTTACTTTCCCACTATTTTAGCTCCTAATGGTCTTAACTGTGGTTGTATATTTAGTATGGGATGCTGTGCTACTTTTATTTTTTCTTATTTTACTGTTGTTTTTGTGAACCATCCCGAGACATCGGTGATGGGACGGTATGCAAAAGTTTTAATTAGATAATAACATAAATAATTTACCTTTCCCTTCCCTATCCCCCCTTTCCTTGAGTGTTATAAGCCTGCAGGAAAGGCCTGTCTTATGTTAGGATTGATTGCAAGATGTTCCCCCAAGCCTTTAAAAATGGGGGTGGGTGGAAGAGCAGCGTAAAAATATTGTTAAAAAATAAATTGAAAGGTGATCGATACGGTTGGTGTGCGTTTCATAAGACTCTTGTGTTCTGTGCATGAAACAGAATTAAATGATAACATCCTGGCAGCGGGTGTGTGTGGTGGGGGGAGATAAACATTACGATTATCAAAATATAATAAGAATGATAATAAAAACTTGGTCAGGATTAAAATGGTTGTTCCAAAATTTTAGGGCTTTTATGTTCCTTTCAGCGTGTTGTTCTATTGTTTTGAATTGTGATTCACCACTTTTATGGCTCTTTAGGAACCAAGCCTGGGTATCAATTTTGATACATACATTAAATAAATAAAATAAACATGGAAACACTAATCATGAGCATCCCCGCTGAGTTATACACCTTGGGTGAAGGTTCCATCTAGAAAATTCAAAGATTTTCTACTTGTAGGGCGGTGTGAGTGTATTTTTTTCCACAGGGTAGCGTTCAAAATATTTTTCTTCCCATCCTGAAAATAGCTGCCCCTAGAAATTGTACAATCCATGCTTTTACCTTGAGGCTTATTCCGCTCCAGCTGTGTAAGAAATCAGCATCTGGAAAGGCCGTACAGCGGCTGACAGTGCCCCAAGGAAGATTTTAATGGAAACAGGCTGGGACTGCTAAAAAATATCTCGGTGTTTTCCCTCTTTTATTTCTGTGCTTCTGTACACAAAGGACTTCTTCACATGAGACATTACTTGTGTGCTTGTGCTTTCTCCCTGATGGTAGTTTGTGGGTGCTTTCATGACCGCATCACCCAAGTGGATCTTTCTGGGGCTTTGCAACCTTTTCCGTGCCGTTTTTAGAGATGAAAATGTGCTTTTTGGGGCAAAGCCCACTAAAAGAAACGCCTGAATTTTATACCTTTCCGCTGTCCTGCAGCGCCAACTTGTGGTTTTGTACTGGAATGTATAGGAAAGCAGGAAAAGGAGACTGAGAAGTTGCGGGGAAACCGCGTGTAAAAGAGCTGATCTTAAAATTGTAAGGAATCCAGAAGCCTTGGTAAAGTGGCAGGTTAAAATCCCGACATACTCGGAGACTTCAGCGTCCACCAGTGTTATGCTGGAATATCCATGGAGTAGTGGTCATTTTTCAAATACGGATACATATAATATCTAGGAATTTTAGTTGTATTTAATTACTCACAGTCACATTTTGAGTTTGAGTTTGGGTTTGGGGTTTGAGGTTTGGGTGTTTGAGTTTGTTCTTACTGGTAATATGTTTTTGTTGGTTTCATGCACATTCCTAATTGTTAACTGTTGTTTTATTCATCGATTGTTTTGGTTCTTCTAAGCCGTCCTGAGACATTTTGCATATAGGACGGGATAGAAATACTTACAATAAATAAATTTTAAATGAATAAATAATGATATTCCGCAAAGCCCACGGGCTTCCATATCAACCAACCAGTACTAGGAGCCTTCCTCTCCATCAGGAGATGGGTCCGATTTCCCATTCAAAACCAAGCCACACCCAAATATTTAGCTTTTTAGCAAGGGTAGCTCACAATCATATATATCGGTTTGCACTAAGGAAAACCCAGAGCATGGATTGTTGTTCAGTCATGGCTTCTTGCTGAATCCTGGGTTGTTGTGTGTGAACTCAGCACTGTGGTTTAGGTTTTTAACCACGAACAAGCCAGGAAGTACCCATGGTTTGTTGTTGGGTTGCGAACTCTGGGCGGTTTGTGCTTAACCCCCATTTTTAAAAGGCCCAAACTTCAGCTCTCCTTGCAGAGAAGTCACGCCAGGCCCCTGTTATTCGGGTGACTTTCTCCAGAAGGAGGGGAGGAAGAGGCGCCTCATGGGAAGGTCTCGGGTGGGAACATACCGAAAGAAGCCCTTGCAGCCTTCGCATGTCATGACATGGAAGTGGTAGCCCGTGGCACGGTCCCCACACACGGCACAGGTTTTCTCCTCACTCTCCGGATCCGTGTCGCTGCGACTCGAGGCCAGGATGCAGGGGCTGCTGTCACCGTCCGAGGGACACTGCATGCTTCCCACGCTCAGCACTTCTGGAGGAGCAAAAGGTGTCTGTGTGGGGTGGAGATATGCGCAAGCAGGCAGGCCCTGCCGTTTGCTTGTGACTGGGAAATCGAAAGCACACCCTTCCTCCTTGCTCCACGAGGGGTGGTGGGTCCGTGGAGCAGAGCATGCTTTGGTGGTGGCCCCCTTCAGTACCATCTGTTACTGAAGAGCCCTTTTGCTCCCTCTCGCCTCTGGCCCTGCCCACCACTTTGACCGCGGCTCCCAGAGCGAATCGGCCCTCAGTATGAAAAAGTCCCAGCATCCCTTGGAAGGGTGGGTGTCTTCAAATAAAGACAGTCTTGTCTAAAGGAGGGCACATGGCCGGCCTGAGCCAGAGGGAAATAGAACAATACTAACTACAACTATTATCATCTTAAGTCATGCGGCCTCCAAGAATAACAACGGAAACCATTGCTCTGTCTCAGTTTTGGTCCTCGCAGCTGCAGACCCTGTTCTGCACTTTTCCCCTGGAGCAACCCTGGGAAGGTTGGTGGGTTTACTTCTCTTCTGTAAGGCAAAAGCTGCCCAAGGATGGCTCAGGGAAAGAGGCTGGGGGAAAGGCCCTCTTCCTACTGCTGCTTCTTGGTCATTGCTGTGGTGTTAATTCTGGCTTTGTCGGTCTTGTTTTCATGGTGGAGGAACCTTCTCAAGGTGGATTTGGGCACCGCTGAACGGCCCGGCTGCTACTCTCTGAACGCAGGGACTTGTGGAGCGCTCCTCACGGTCTCCAAAGTATTTAGACTTGTTATTAATTCCTGGCATCAAAAGGGGAGATCCAACACTAGTTTTACCAGAAAAACGGCCTTTTGACACTCCTGCATTTTGTCTAAACTTGGGCTGGATTGCACCATAAAGGTCTTCCATCTCCTCATGAGGAGGAGAGGTTGAGGCATTGCTGGATCCCCCGGGAGATGTGTGTGCCTCGCTCGTCGCCTGCTTGTCCCTCAGAACGGCCCCTCCAAAAGGTGGTCCTGCATCTTCGGCGCCACAGAAAAGCAGCCCTCCTAGGTGGGTAGGTGAAGCCCTAACCCAGTCCTGGGGAACCTTTTAGAGACCGAGTGCCCAGACTGCAACCCAAAACCCACTTCTTTATCGCAAAGTGCCAACACTGCAATAAAAACGGAGGTTTTAGTTTTGAAACAACTCACGGCCAGTCCGAGCAAATACATATATATCCTTGGCAGCGCATGGACCATCCATGTGAAAGCTTGGACGAGTCACGGCTAATGAGTCGCGGCTCGTGACCTCATCGCCTGGCACCCCTGCCCCTTTCCGAGCGTGCGCATGGCCCCTGTGTGCGCTGCTATCCGATGCTCGGCTGCTGGGGCGCTGCTGGGGCGGCTTGGCTCCGTGCCGACAGAGAGGGCTCTGCGTGCCGGAGGTTCGCCGCCACTGCCCTAGCCTGACCTGGGCGTGTTTTTTTCCTGTTGGTGATAGGACTCTGTGTCCTTATCCCTTGATAAAGGTTGTGTTCTGCAATAACTGGACAACACAACAACAACGGTTGTTGACTGACTGCCACATGTAATAAATCATACCCTTCTTTCATTCATATGTTCTGGCAAGGTCCAGCTGCGGTGGAGGCTCTGATACGGAGAAACTGTCTGTTAAAATACTCGTTGATACTTTTCAAATGTACATGCATTTTTCAGGTATTGACTTGTTTCTTGGGAGATAACACTTGGTCAATGTAAATGGGTTTTTCAGGGCCCTTGAATAGCTAAAAGGTCGAGACTGCAATGCTGGAAAGATAAAAGCTCAGCTCCTGTGAGATAATGGACTGAAGGCTGAACAATGCTTTCAGTATTTGGGCAGGTGGTACGTGGACGCCAGGGTGGGATGGATGGATAGAAGGATGTTGCTCCATATTTCCTGATGCTCATGTATAATCACTGCCTCTAGATATATGTTGCTATCTGGCTATTTACAGAGCAACATTTTTTAATTTCAGGGTTTTCCTCCCCTTGTTCCTCTGATTTTTGAGTTGGTTTGTTTCAGTTTGTTTCATTACAGTGAAACAAACTGAAACACCAAACTGACTCACCATTAAAAAATGAAGGAAAAAAAAAGACAATTTCCAGCATCCCCAAACATCAGACACACTGTCTTGGGCTGGCAGAGGGTGTAGACTGAACCTTCTGGAAAGCACCAGCTTGCTTACTCTTGAGTAAGTGCAGGAAGGAATGCAGAATACATCTTAAAGGTTTTAAATCTGCATACTTATTATTGTATTATTAGTGTTAGTATTACTACATTCCTATTATTTATATCATTATTTCTTAGTATAATAAATTCACATTATCATGAGTTTTCCTGCCATTCTTTGCCACTTGGATATTTGATTAGATGCAGTGATAGATAAATGGATAAAAATATGAGACAAAACTCACCTATTAAATGGGGACCTAGAACACATGAAAAAATCAGTCTAGCTAGCCTGGTTTTCTTATCCAGGGAAACCCCTCAGGGAAGCGCGAAAACACGCTGGAAGAATGGAGGCAGCTTCCAGCCACGTCCCCGGATCCTTCTTGAAGCATCTCAGCCTTGCCACTGACCTGCACAATGCTTGTTTTCTCCTCTTCCACCTCCTGCACTCTGTGCCTGCAAACGGAAAGGACGAGCGTTATGTAACCTGGGAGAAAGGAATAGGCAGGCAAAGGTCAGGAGAAAAATGTGACTCTCTCCCCAAAGTCTGGCTTGTAGGAAAAGGAAGCTGAGCAAAGAAAACCCCAAGAAAGACAAAACTGGGGGCTGTTTGGCTCCGTCTCCCCCAGTTCTCTCGGGACGGTGCTTTTGCGGCTTTTGGTACACCTGTGAACCTAACTACCTAAGGACAGGAGAATGAGCGGCTGCAGTCTTGCCAGTTTTGGTCCTGCTCGGCCTCTCCTGATCTCTGACTCCTTCGCTTTCTCTTCTGCACCCCCAAATTTTTGCCCTCCACCTGCTAAGTGGCTGCGTCTCCGCACGTTTCTGTTGCCCTACCTGGTTGTCACCTCTTGGCCAGTTTGGAAGTTGCACGTGTGGATGGAGCATGGAAGGATTCAAAAAAGCAGCCAAAAGCTGGGGTGAGCGGTGGGGTTCCCGCCGGGGTCCTGGGACAACGTGATCCCTTTCCCAGTGGCGTTCAAGACACCAGGAAAATGTTTGGCTTGATTTCGTTGGATGAGCGTGGCTGAAATCTGTACTTTGCCCTCGAGAGCGAGAAGGAGGGAACCTGCGCAGCCTGTGTGTGTGTTTGTGTGTGTGTGTGTGTGAGAGAGAGAGAACGCCCAGCCCAGCAGAAGAGAGGGCAAAAGTAAAATTGAAGTTGCAAGAGGAGGAGAGAGGCGCTTCGGAGCCAATGTGATGAGAAAAGGGGAGACAATCCTTGTTGGGTTACTGCCAAATTATCCGGCAGAGTTTCTGTGCCCAAGATCAGCCGGATCTCCTCTTTTACGAAGGATGCTTCTCGATTTGATACAGTTCTCCTGGCCACGGCCTGCTGCACTGTACCGAAATTTGTTGCATTTTTGTTTGAATTATATTAAATATTTCTACGTTTGTGTCTCTCTGCCTGCATTGCCTTAAGGCCATTCAAGGCATGCCGTCTTTGGCCCTCTTTTTGGGCCATTCAGAAATGACCAGCTCATTCCCTGTGGCAGGTGCCCCCATCTTTTTTTTTCTTTCAGTTGGAGGGGACAATTTGGAATGGCCAGAGAGTGTCACGGGCGCTCTCACAAAATGGCTGCCACAGAGAGTATTTTGTGTATTCGCTAAATCGTTTCTATGGGACAGCCTAGTTGCAAAAAACACGGATTTTCCAAAAGCTGAGACAAAAAAACACACACACTGCTTTTCCTGCTGACGTCTCCCCTTTCTCGGCAAAAAAGCTGTACCTGCTGAAATTCTACCCGTTTCACAGCTGTTCATAGCTCTGGATCCCTGTCTAAAGGGAATGGCAGCCAGAAACAGGCATCAGAAGTGACCCGTAAAGCCAAAATAGCCAGAAATGGCATTTAGGTGGAATTATTTGCGTGTGTGTCATGCATGGCATTTGAAAAAGAATAAAACTTGCCTTTCTTCGGAAGTGTGTCTCATACATGGTCCTCACAAGCCGTGTATATTTTAGGTTTATTCATAATAACAGGTCTGCCTTGCATTTTTCCGTCAAAGAAGAGAGATTCAAATCTGTGCTGTCATAAAAATGCAATTAATGTAACACATTAAGAGTTTTTCAGAAGCCACTGAAAAACCCAAACCCAACAATATAAAAACTTAACATTCCTATAACAACCCTGTGAAATACTGGGGAACTTATAACAAGCTTTCAGCGCTTTGCAGCTTATATCTTAGGGTCCTGTTACCAGAAATGGGCTTTGAGGGTTCTTGTCACCAGCACGCAGGCCTGGAACTCGGAGCTGAATGAACATAACTCCTCTGGGCATGTACAAAGTGTTTTTGCAGTGATTGCAACCAGCTTTCATATCAGTCTGAGATTAAGGGAGGACACTGTTGTGGCTGAAGGTGTAAATTCCAGCCTGGCATAAGCAACAACACAGCAGGCAGAAATTCAGTGGGTGAAGCTTCCCCCCCCTTCCTGCTGTACTGATGGGTTCAAATGGAAAGGTCTGTCTCAGTTTTCACTCCTACACAGGTTTGCCCATTTACTACCAACTTTATTTTTATTTATCAGATATGTTGCTTAGCTACCTTTCAAAACGACAGTCTTCCCAAGGCAGTTTGTGACAGCAAAAATCATACTTGGATTTTCCAAAATAGGAGGGCAGTGTGGTGTAGTGGTTAAAAGCAGAGGACGGGGACTCAGGTGACCTGGGATCTAGTCCCCGCCCAGTCATGGGGCCAACTGGGTGACTCTGGGCCAGTCTCAGACTTTCAGCCCAGCCTACCTCACAGGGTTGTTGTTGCAGGGAAAAGATTGAGAGCAGGAGGGGAGAATAATGAAAGCCACTTTGACTGCCTCAGAAAAGTGGGATATAAAATAAGTAAATAAATAAATAACAGAGGAAGGCAGCCGTACCTCTTACAGATGGGAATCCTATAGGGCAGGGGCCAGCACCAAGAAGTCCTTATCTTCAACATTTCCAATTGTAATGGTGAACCTCTAATAGTGTTGTTGTTGTTGTTGTTAGTCGTGAAGTCGTGTCCGACCCATCGCGCCCCCATGGACAACATTCCTCCAGGCCTTCCTGTCCTCCACCATCCCCGGAGTCCACCTAAGCTCACACCCACTGCTTCAGTGACTCCATCCAGCCCCCTCATCCTCTGCCGCCCCCTTCTTCTTTTGCCATCTGTTGTTTCCAGCATCAGGCTCTTCTCCAGGGAGTCCCTCCTCCTCGTTAGGTGGCCAAAGTATTTGAGCTTCATCTTCAGCATCTGGCCTTCTAAAGAGCAGTCAGGGTTGATCTCCTCCAGGACTGACCGGTTGGATCACCTTGCGGTCCAAGGGACTCGCAGGCGTCTTCTCCAGCACAATTCAAAGGCCTCAATTCTTCGGAGCTCAGCCTTCCTTCTGGTCCAGCTTTCACAGCCACACATTGCAACTGGGAAAACCATAGCCTTGACTATACGCACTTTTGTCGGCAGGGTGATGTCTCTGCTTTTTAGTATGCTGCCTAGATTTCCCATAGCTTTCCTCCCCAGGAGCAAGCGCCTTTTAATTTCTCAGCTGCAGTCCCCATCTGCGGTGATCTTGGAGCCCAGGAAAATAAAATCTGTCACTACCTCCATTTCTTCCCATCTATTTGCCAGGAAGTGAGAGGACCGGATGCCATGATCTTCGTTTTCTTAATCCCCGTGCAAAGTAGGTTCCTGGGGCTGTTGGGGACATTTTCCCCATTGCCCTTTTGGAGGTGCCATGCGTGATGCCCTCGTAGCAGGCGGCACTCCCAGCCGATTAAAAAAACCCACCTGTGAAATTCCCATTAAAGCGCATTGGAGCGGGCCTAATTTGCTAGATGGCTCCCCAGAGGAGAGAAGGAAAGAAACAGAAAGTCGGAGGCCGTTTCCTGTTCCCGGCGTCTGATTAATACCTCCGGTCCCCAGGCAGTGAGGACCAATTTCCCGCTAATGAAATGCTGGAAGCCTCGATTAAACTGCGCTGAGCTAGGCTGGGCTGATGTGCCCCCCCCCACCCCGACTTCCCCTGTCGCCAGCAGCATCCTTCAGGTGAAGATGATAATTATATCCGGACAGGCTGTCTTCATTTGCCATGACAGCACAGCCACATCCTCCGCTAAGGGAGGTGAAAAATTCATCCAGTCCTCGTGGCAGCCCGTCATGTTCTCCCCCGGGGACTTCAGCCCTTGGAGCTGAAGTTCTGAACAGCAGAGAGCCTCTGCCTTGCCTTGTAGGCAGTCCTGAAGGCAGTACATGGCCCCGGGTCCAAGCCAGGGGAGGCAGCTTGCTATTTAAAGCAGGGTTTGCCCAGAATCATGAGGACTAGGATCCTGGTTTTCAGGGGATGGGGTATAGTTCACTTCAGTTTATATCCTGCCTTTTTCCTACAAAGGGCTCAAGGCACTTACGTCTCCTCCTCCATCTTATCCCCACAACAACAACCCTGTGGGGTAGGTTGGGCTGAGAGTCTGTGACTGGCCCAGAGTCACCCAGTTGGCTCCATGGCTGAGCGGGGACTAGAACCCAGATCCTCTGAGTCCCAGTCCCATGCTCTTAACAGCAGGTGAGAAGGCACACAGATTTCCTCCCAGGCAATTCCAGGTATGGCTGGGAATATTCCTGCTGAAATTCTGGAGCAATTCCACCAATCCGGGTACATAATATACGGCTGGTGGATCAAAGTTCTCGATAATTAAACTGCAGCTTTTCAGGTTAATTCGTTCGTGGGATGCTCCAGGCAGGGCTAGGTCAGGATTCTGCTGCCAGTTGCTGTTGACAATCCTGCATGAGGTAGAGGAAGACTCTAACCTGATACAGAGCAGATCTTATACTCCTCGTTAAAACAGCTGTTACTGCAAGCCATGAGGACTAGAATGTTATCTTCTTTTTAAAAGAAAGGGCCGAGGAACAAGATGCAGGTAGCAGCACCCATTTAAGACACTGGGTGTCTTAAAGCTTTGCTCTGGACTTGCTATTTGGCTATCTTCAGCTTTGTTCCTGTCCTACCAATCATAACTTTGTTTGAGGATCTTTATTATTTATTTTATTAATATTTGCATTTGCATTTATAGACCACCCTAATAGCCCAGAGGGCTCTCTGGGTGGTTTACAAACATTAAAACCCACCTATCCTAAACAAATAAATAAAATGGCTATACCACGACAGTATAAAATAACATAGTTAAAATGAATTAAACAGATAGATATACCATTAAAATTAATTAATTTTAAAATATTGGTTAAGTAACAAGATCTTGACCTGGCACCGAAAAGCATCTAATGACGGCTCCTGGCGGACCTCTCTGGGGAGGCCTTAAAGTGGCATAAAACCCCATACCATTAAGATAATTTGAGTAGACTTACCTCGCTCCTTGAGGGAAAAGACAAACCCAGGCAGAAGAGATTGAACTGTGCAGTCTCCATCCGGCCCTCTGATTTGCTTTCGCACCACTGCCTTTTAAAAATAAGTTGCACAGAAGCGTCACCACTTTCCAGAAGTTGCTGCCTTCCCTTTGATTTGTTTTCCATGGTGCCCAAGGAGAATTTATTCTGTGCTTTGCTCCCAGTTGGAGGACCTGCAGAGAGAGAGAGAAAGGGCTATTTTAGCCCGGCACAAGGCAGAGCAGTTTGAGTCCATTCTTGGGTTTTGCATCTTGGCCACAAACCTGCTTCAGACGAGGGGAGATGTTTGGTGCTTGCCAGATCTGGGTGCGAGCTGAACCAGAGCCGGGAGGGAACTATCGGGAGCAGTAAAACCAGATCATCTGGGATACAAGTGACTTTTCCCAGCGTTCAGGAGGGGCAGCCAGGCTGTACTGGACTTGAGGAGCTGTCCATGGCACCATATTTATTTTGTGGACAACCTCAGCCCCCCCGACAGCTCCTTTCAAGTCCAAGTGGCAGCCTGGGAAGCGTCAACCTCCAATTCTGTATTTGATATAAATTTAAGTTTATAGACATGTATATATGATCAACTTCAAGCTTCCAAGCGGAGAGCCAGCTTGATATTGGGGTTAGAGACTCAGATTCGAGTCCCCACTCAGCCATGAGACTCGTCGGGCGAGTCTGGGCCAACCGTAGACACTCCATCTGACCTACCTTACAGGGCTGTTGTTGTGAAGAGAAAACGGAGAGGAGAAGAGCTTTATAAAAAGTTAGGGAATGAATGCAATGAGCACAAACATTTCAAGGTGAGGTGCCTCAGGTCCGGAGGGGCAAATCCAACCCTCTGTGGACTAAATTTGGCCTGCCGGGGTTCCCAGAGAGGGACACAAAGAGACACTCCAAAGCTCACAATCTGGAAACAATCTTCTTCTTAAAACAGAGGCATTTCGAAGCAATGAGTGTAAAATCACGGAAGTGCAGTCCATCTACGCAGTCATTCCTGCTTGGGGCACCACAGCACCCTTCTGCAGGCTGTGGGCACCGTACCCAGTTTATTTATTTATTTAAAACTTTTGTATGCTGTCCCTTAAGCAAGGCATCTCGGGAGGGCTCACAATCGATCAATAAAAACCAGATACATTAAAAACAGTCAATAAAATCGAATAATTAAAAACAATCTGAGCGATAAATGACACATAACCGATAAAACATGACTGTTGCATTAAATACTAGTTTTTAAAATACCGGTTAAGTAAAAAGGTTTTGACCTGGGGCCGAAAGGAGTATAAGCTCGGTGCCAGGCGAACCTCTCTGGGGAGCGCATTCCACAATCTGGGCGCCACCACAGAGAAGGCCCTGTTCTGAGTAGATGAAGTTCAGTTGAGGAAGCGGCTGTGAAACCCCAGGTATTTTTCGCCTACCTTTGATGCTCCCTCCGGAGCAACCTGGCACAGGTGGCTTGTTTAACTGTCAGGAATTCCAGAATTCCTGCTTCAGAAAAAGGACTGCAAGAGTCCCAGCTTGCAGAGGAACAAACTGGCAGGCAAACAGCACCCGGCCAACTGAGGTCCAGGTCGTTCCAGGGAAGGGGGAAATTTTGCATGGAGCCCGCTTGTGCCGGAGTAGGAGACACGCTCCCGGGAGTCCCTCTGGGTACATGCTTGTGCCTCAAGCAGGAGGAAGCAGCGAGAAAAAGGGAGCCATGCTGGGGGGAGCAAAGGAGCAGCAGTTCCAGGCGTGCAGCAGTCTGTCTGTGCATAAGTTGTGTTCTCCGAGTGTGCGAACAGGGCCTGGGTTTATGGGGGTGGGAACACTTCACTGCACGCTCACCAGTGGGAGTATAATTGGAGCCGCTGATGCGCTCGGCGGCTGTGAGTGTGGCTGGGATCGGAGAGGGACGGGAGACTGCACACCGCGCGCTCCCGGGTGCCTTCTGCCTGACGTTGGCGGGGCGGCGGGAGGCGACGTGAAGGAGTGGAGAGCAACCCAAAACCGGGGCAAGAGCTGCGATCGAAACAGGAGCTTCCCCAAGCAAGAGGCACCTGTTGGGCTGGAATTCTGCACACCCTTGAAAGACAAGAAAACGTGAGGGGGTCCGTCGTGCAGAAAGCTGTGCGGCAAAGGGATGCTCTGTTTAATTGACGAGGTCTCTACGGCCTATTTGGTCGGCTGGAGATAAGAGCAGATTTGGAGATAAGAGCAGATTTTGAGGTAAGAGCAGATTTGGAGATAAGAGCAGATTTTTCATGATGGAATTCAGACCACTCCATAATTCATGCACAGTGGAGGCAGTGTAACTACTCCGGGTTTCAGTGTGGGCTTTAAAGGAGGAATCCACGGCATGGAATGCTGCCCCCCGCATCCCAGTCTCCAGAAGAGGTTCAGCACTATGGACAGCACCTTGACCGGTTGGACGACCGCCTGGAGGGGATACACCCCTCCGCTCACACCGCCTCACTGCTCAAGGTGAGCTGTGGGTTGTCTTGACAAGTGGGTTGGTGTAGAGTCTGAACAACCCAGGCCTGTTGACCGTGAACAGCCCAGGAAGGGAAGCCATGGCTTGTGGCTGGGTTGTGGGTTCGGACAATACAATACCTCATTGTTTTAACAACCCGCAGTTCCACATCCAACCGCACATAACCCTTGCATGTGTGTTATCTGGTTGTCTGAACCCAGTCCTAGAATGAGGGGAACCTGCTAAAAGGGGTTCTGGCTGAGGAAATGGGGGTGTAGCCATCCAGGGAGCCCTCAACTCAACCCCAGGAGGGCTGGATTTGGGGGTTTGAGATTGTAGGCGCCGGGGGAAAACATACTAGGGACAGGCCTGTGAGGCCGAGGAGGGAGGGAGGCAGAAAAGGGGCTGGGAAAATATTCAGAAATTGGGGGACCCACATCACGGGGGAACGGGAACAGTACGTGCTGCTCTGTGACCCCCTTAGCTGAGCAAACCCACACAGTCTGGGGCCACACGCAGCGCCTGGCCTCCCTCACTGCCTTCCCAGACAGCAGGGAGAAGGCCGACGGCAGCCAGAGTCCTCTGCCTCCGTCGGCTCCCTGCCTTTCTCCGGGTCGGGCTGTGCCACATTAATTTTTTATCACCTGCTTCTCTGGCTTTCAATTAAACATGAAGGGGGAAGGAGGGAGGGGAAGTCACCAAAAATACAGGCCTTTCATCAGCTCTAAATGGGCCACGGCGGGTGACGGGGGCTTGACGGGGGCGTCCTCCTTTTTCGGGTGCCGCTCTTTCAGACAGGCAGGACAGAGGCTCTTGTGGGGCGCGAAGAAGCGACTTAAAGGCCCGCTCCAACATCATTTCCTCCTCGCTCCATTCAACACACGCATGGAACAACACTTGGCGATTATAAAATCACACTTCGAGCGCTTGGAGGGATCCAGAGCCGTTATCTCTAGGATTCTTTCACAACAACCCTTGGAGGTAGAGCTGGAGTATTATTCTCCAGGTGCCAAGGGACTTGCAGCGATGTTTAAGGCTCCGATCTGACTACAAAAACCAGCCTGCTTTTCCCCCTTCTCCACCCACATACCTGCTTTTTATTATTTACTTATTATATTGTTACCCCACCTTCCCCCCAGGTGGCTTACCTGTGGTTCCCAGGTGGTCTCCCCTCCAAGCTCAGGCCAGCGCCACACTTGTGGCTTCAATGGGGTGGATCCTTTATGCACCTTTAGACCATCCTCTGAGCCTTTTTGGTAATGCCTTGCGCAGTGGACACATCTGGAGATCTCAAAAGCATGCACATGTTTCAATCTTTGAGTTAGTCTAATAAAGGTATTACATGATATGGAGTTTTTCCCCTTACAAGCAGCAGGCAGCTTTAGATTTATTTTTTTTAACCAAGTAGCAATTTAATAATTATTACTATTAAAATACTATCTCCAATGGTTTAAGGCTGGAGTTTAAGGGTACAAATTTTCCTGGGAGGAAGGCCCAGGCAGAAGTGGCTAGGAGTCCTCCGTACAGACTGCAAAGCTGTGCCCTTTGTTCAGTAACACTTTTAGTGGATTTCGCAGGAGAGGAACAAAAGCTTCATATATTGGAGCAAGGCAGAATCACTTTTCTGACATCTCTTGGTTTATGGGATCCTCCTCTTCTTAAACTGTCTCCCTGCTCAACATTCCCCAGTAAAAAGTGATTAGCTTTGAAAGTAATTTATAAACAGGCTTTCCATAAGAATAAAATATTAATCCAGAAGGGAGAAAAGTACATACCAATACCTATTTTTATACACACATAATGAGAAAGAACACTGTCATTTTTTAGCAGCCAGATTCAAGATGAAGTAGATTTAAGATTCAAGCGGTGTACTTGTCACATTAAAGAATATTATTATTCATGGTTACATCTTTATTTCATTCTATTTATACCTCCACTTTCACCCAGATAACTCAAACCGGCATACAACATTCTCGCCAGCCTTGCATCCTCCCAACAGCCCTGCGAGGTAGGTCAGGCTGTGAGATTGTGACTAACCCACCTCATGGGCAAGCGAAGATTTGAATGTGGGATTCTTTACATTCTCATCCAGTAGTCTAAGTCAGCCTTCCTCGAACTGGTGAAGTTGGGTACTACTCTGCCTATCAGCCTCAGCCAGCATGGTTGGGAGGAGGATGGGAGTTTTAGTCCACAAGATCTGGATGATACCAAAACACTGTTTGCCCTGCCATTTAACTCCCCCACACACTTTGTAGAAGACACCCTAACAGGGTTGAATTGGTAAATTGTCTGGCTTATTATTTCATGTGTTCCAGTTGTCATGATTCTGAATAAGGGGCTGAAAGGAAGCTGTCTGGGGTTGAGCTTAATCCACAAGCCATCGAAATGAACTTATTGTTTAAGTTGATTGGGGGCAATTCCTCAGGTAGGGTGTTGTTCTGACCATAGCTGGAATCACTGGGGACCTTTTGCAAGCAAAGGTTTCACTTTAATACTGTGCAACAGTCCTTTCTGTAAAAACAAATCAAGGTTCCAGTCCTCAAGGTCCAAATAAGGGACTGATTTAAATTGGGACCTAAGAAACTGTAGACAGACCCTTGGTTCACCTCATTCACTACTGCCCACACATTGGCCAATGCCAGCCCCCAAGAAAGCAGGTCCTTCCTAGGAATATCTGGAGCTGCCAGGATTTGAACCCGGGTCTGTGTACAGGACCCACAGCAGATTTTCTGTCCCTGAGCTGCATCCCCCACCCAAGGAAGTGGGGGGCCGCAGACTTTAACGCACGAGAGGAACCCGCTCTAAAGGGTGCGGACGGCTTGCCACGCTCGCTGGATTGCAGGAAGGGCAGAGGACGATGGGATTCCAGGAAGGGCATGTCGCTGGGCTACCTGAATCCCAGCATCCCCAGGGTGGCCTTTGCCTGCACTCCCCCCACCCCACGAAACCCTTCTGTTTACTACCACGAAAACCCAGTGTGTTAACCCAGTTTTGCGAATGCAGCAGAAGGCACGGATCCCTCCCATTGGCTGCCTGCACCTGCCACTCAAAGTGCCGGGCACCTCTGAGTCTATGCTATATTTGCCCGAGAGAGAGAGAGAGAGAGAGAGAGAGAGAGAGAGAGAGAGAGAGAGGTGGGAGAACCCGTGTATGAATGAGAGCGTGTCACACTGGACAGACCGGAGCATCTCTGCCGGAGTGATCCCTTGGGTACCACCGGCCCAGGAAGCATCATGAGCAAGGTGAGATGGAAATGCACTGCCTTTGGGGAGATGAGACGATCTAGAGGTGGGTTAGTTTTTTTGGGGGGGGGTCTCTGTCCCCCTTCTCCTCTCCGAAAGATGCCCCGGCATCTTTGGGCAGATCGCATTGCTCGGATGCGCAGAGGTAGGAACTGGGGACTGGGTGAATCGCGAGGCTCTGGACACCGGAGAGCGTGGGCACCAAAAGTGAGACGGACAGGCAGATTGCTGCTGAATGGATCGGAAAGCTCGGGGGGCTGGCGAGAGAGACAGACAGACTGACAGACAGACAGACAGGCAGGCAGGCAGGCAGGGAGGCAGGCTTTGGTGTTGTCGCCGTGTGTAATCCCGCTGTGTGTGTGTCCGGGAGGGAGCTCAGGATGGGTGCGCACAGCTTTCCTTCCCTGTGCAAGGAAAGGGGCTCCCCAGGGAAATTTAACTCTGTGGAAAAGAGGGGTGGAGGAAGGAAGGGAGAGGGGGGCAGAGACCCGGCCAACTTTGTGATTACGTTTGCGAGAGAGCAAGCAGAGAGACCGAGGATCTGACCACGCCAAGGGCTAGCCGGCCGTGGGAGTCACTCAGCACTGCGGAGCAAACATCTGTATGATACACACACATCTGACATACGGAGAGATCGCCTGTGAGTGTGCGATTCGTGGCTCCCCCTCCCAACACACACACACAGTCCTCACCCCAGCTCTTCTTTCGCACAGCCCGTGCTGGTGGACTAGAAAGAAGACTATTTCCATATGAAAAGGAGAATTTTTGGGAGTGTTTCTCTTTGCTTCCTAGGAAAATCTGCAGGAAGGGAAATTCACTCCCTTTTTACAGAACTGTTATCAAAAGTACAGCGAGCTTGTATTGAGACAGGCTCCGAGTGTGTGGGCGAGAGAGAGAGGCAAAATCCCTCTTTTTCGTGCAAAGTGAGGTACAATTGCATGGAGCACACATTTAAGCCGTGTTGGCACACACACAAATATGTGTGCAAGGGAGAGAAACCGGCCCTCCGTTGATCGGTCAGATGCGTCCCTGGGGCATAAACCCAGCCCTCTCCTTCTGTGTGGATGCGTGAGCCGGGTGCTCCTGCGGGGTACATGATCCCTTTCCGGCTTCCTTTTCCAGCCAGCAACAAGGGCAGAAAGGATGGGGTGACAGAGACTGGGACAAATAAACCGTGCGAATGACCGCAGGTATGGATACAATTGCATTTCTGTCCTGCCCCTTTTTTGCTTGGGCAAAATCCTGAGAAAGGCCATGACTGGCCCAAAGTCTGCCAGAGAGGTTCGTGGCTCAATGGGGACTAGACCCAACATCTTCCAAGCTGCACTTTAATTGCTGTACTCCACTGGCTTTCTTATGCTGCAGCTATTTCAACTGAAATTCACCGGCAATAGGAATGAAAGGACTGGCGAAAGCAAAGCATTTCATTTAGGGGCATATAATTATCGTGTGGAGCTTACTTCGGAAAGGTGGGATGGCTTAAGAAAGAAGCCGGCCAAAGGCTCGGGCAATCTAGGAAAGAGAGTCCATCAGCTTGGCCCAAGAGATGCATGGAGCATCCCTTTTCAGTAGCAGTCCACCTTGGAGGACCACTGGCTGGGGGCAAAGCTGTTCTCCTCAAGCGGCCAGATGTCTCATGGGATTGGACCGAGGCTGCATTTTGCTCCAGTCTAAAATCCCAATTCTAATACCAGCCAGCCGATGCCACTGGGAAACCCACAACCAAAAGTTTGGGGTCAGGAGACACACCCCTGTTCCTCACCTGCCCC